CAACACGGAGCAAATAAAGTTATGATTTCTTTTTGTGACGAAATTTACAAATTTTTACCCTGTTTAGGTGTTTAAATTTATCCAATGTTAACATATCACTGCCATATAATAATTTATATGACCGGCGTATGGTTGAAATATTGTTAAGTGATCCATAGTATCATAGTACGTAATATAGGGTGTTTAAGTTGGTATACTAATATTTACTCAATTTCACACATGTTGAGATATCATACAAATTTATGTGACTAAATTTACCTATTTCTGCCTTCTGTATTTGTATTTGCCTATAACAATGAAATATTTGAACAATTCCAAACACATTCAGCTCACAAAATAATGCTGGGGGGGGGGGGGGGGGGGGGGGGGGGCCAACCATATTAAAGTATATTAAAATGTAGGATTTTTCCCGATTTTGACCCGGGGATATACTTTAATATACTTTAATATACTTTAATATACTTTAATATATCCCTATCTCCTTGGAGGCCTACATCAAAAATTGTTGCCCAAAATATGCTTGAAATGCAATCCTTAATCGATTCCAAAAAGTTCTTGAAAAAATATTGAAAACTGATAGAGTTATTTCAATTTTAATGAAGTTATTTTGGCTAGTATTCTGAACCGAGATATTATGTGCAATTTTCCCAATTTTGTTCATGGAGGTCTTTTTACTTAGTATCCACTATATCCAACAAACACTGAGTTATATCTTTCACATAGAGTTAGTCTCATTAAAAAATATTGAAATTTTATCGAATTTGGGCAAAAGCGAATTTGGACAAAAGCGTATGCCCAAATATGGGCATATTTTTTAAAGCTCATAGCTCAGCCAATTTTTGACCAATCTGGATGGAAATTCATGTACTAGTCCTAAAACAGGCTTATCTTGCGAATCTGAGTGAAAAATATAGTTCATCATGTAAATCTTAACGAAGAATATAAATCTTCTAATTGTAGGTATATTAAAGTATATTAAAATGTAGGATTTTTTCCAATTTTGACCCGGGGATATACTTTAATATACTTTAATATGGTTGGCCCCCCCCCCCCAATGCTAGACTATTCGGCATTTCTTGTCAGGATGTCATAAACATCCCTCTGCCCTCATATAAATTTCTTAAATGTGTGACGGAGTTTACATGGTGCTACCATTTAAGGAAAAAAGTCGCTAAATATGTAGATAATAGTCATATACAGCTATTCTATGAATTGGAAATTCGAAAATTTGGTCAAACACGGCAACAAGGGGTCCATATAAACTCCGTCACGTTTTTATAGTGTGACAAAGTTTACAACTCACTGCCGGCCGCATTTAAGCGATATCTTATCGTCTGATAAAGATATCGTTATGCGACAAAGTTTATCTAGAGGATGAAACGATTATCTTAGGGTTAGAGGGTTTATATAGTTTCATAGTGTGACACATTTTACATCATCGTGCCATTCAGTAGGGTCACTAATATTTACCAATATCCTCAAACTTCAATGAACGTGTCCATATAGTAAATATTGAGCACATAGATAATAAAAGGCATTTGTACATCGATTACAGACAAAACGTGACGCTAAGGCAGTCGTGTTGCAAGGATCACATAATGATTATGCCTCATGATGCCAATATTTTAGCTGTGACATATAACTATACAAACTGTATAAATATCTTAATTTAATTTTGAAACATTCTTCACAGCACTCAGATCCCAGACGCTTCTTTGGATCATTTCATTACAAATTGATAGTTTTTTTTGCTGTGTTAAGTGTTAACACATTTGTAGGAGCTAAATTTTACAAGTGAAATTGTTTTGTGCCAATTTCGTAGATCATCAACAGTAATACATGGGGAGAAATTAAAAGCATTTTAATTTTTTGACTGCCAAATTCGGTATGGTAGCTAATATGATAGCACATTTAATTTTCTGAATGTAAATAACGTATTTAAATATTATTATAATATGGGTTTCGGTCTTTCAATTACATGAATTGAATTCAGATAATTAAAAAAATCCTTAATTAGTAAATAAAGATCATCTGTCAAATGTTATACTAAAAAAAAGATAAAAATTAATAGCTTATTATTTATTGGCGCGAATTATATTGAAATTGATAATTTAAATCTCATAAAAAACACATGTACTTTTTTCAGGAAACACAGAAATAACAACAAAAACTTTGCCATCTTTGCTTCTTGCGTTAAATTATACACATACAAACCATAGTTTATTATCGGTTATGTGCTCCTATAACATCCTACAGTTTCTTATCAGTATTTTATAGATAGAATTGTTTGAATCAGATATCTCTCACCCCTCCAAACGCTGATCTAATTCGCCCCTTCCCGAACACAAGAAAAGCGACCATGATACCTGCTAGGACCAACAGTACCCCTCCCGCCACTTCCAGTTCGGTCTCCAACTTGTGACCACTCGGGTGAACCGTCACCACAGCTTCCCCCAGCAGCTGTTCTGGCTGTTGTTGGATAGCTAAGAGCAATAATTGGGCTCTGCAGTGGAAATGGTAATTTCCGCTGGAGAGTTTTGATGTTGTGACATTTAGGACTGAAAATAAGCCATTTGGGAATTCGCGGATGTTACATTTGAATCCTTCTTCAATTTGCTCGTCACAGTTCAGCGTTTTATTGATGATCTGCGATTCCGTTGTCATTGTCCAAGTGAGCTGATCAAGACCGTTTGAAGAGTTTGTTCTGCAAGTCAAAGCATACGAATCTCCAATCCTAACATCTGACTTTGAAGGAGTGATCGAATAACTGAAGAGTTCATTTGCATTGTTGTTCGAGTCGGATAGGATTACACCATCAGGTGAGTTCCCAGTTTTGGAGGTGGTGATGCCACCTTGTTTTAATGTTCCGGTTGTTGTGTAGTATGGGTAGAGGTATGATACTGTTGTTGGGTTTTCTGTCGTGTTGCTACTGACTGACCCTGCTTGGCTGTTGGGAAGTGGAATTGGTGTCGGAGTACCCTGAGCCAGTACAACCACCATGTTTAGTAGCAAGACAGAACGAGTAAAGTATGATTCCATTCCTGCTAAATCAAAAGTTAAACACTAAACTCAGAACCAGTAAATATCGGACATATTAATACCGGACCAACTAGTCACGTGATATTTACCTCTAGTCATGGTGTTCGTGAAACCGAACTAAGAGCCGGACCAACTAGTCATGGTGTTCGTGAAACCGAACTAAGAGTCATGGTGTTCGTGAAACCGAACTAAGAGTCATGGTGTTCGTGAAACCGAACTAAGAGTCATGGTGTTCGTGAAACCGAACTAAGAGCCGGAAATTTGCTGTAAAATTTTAGCGGGTGAAGAATAAGCTACAATTTTAAATGGCGCCACTGCGCCATCTTACTATATATAAAGCGAGACGATATATATATATATGTGTATATATCCGTGCCATTTTACTGACACCACGGCATCAACTTTAACGCGACTTTCCGCAAAAACCGTAAAACATATACAACTGAAACTTTTTTGACTGGGTACGGTCAAATGCTTTAATGGCCTTCAAATCAGCATGAAAAAATAAAAAATTGGCCAAGGAATAATAATTTTAGTGCCCAAAATTTGGACTCTCAAGTGGTGTCAAAAACGCGAATTAAATAGGTAATAATTATTTTAGTCTCTCGAGTCTTGACACCACTTTAGGGTTAGACGGGTTCCTGCTAGTATAACTAAGTGGTGAACCTCATTTTAGCATTAATTAATTGCACAAGTCGTCTGTGTCAATTTATGCCACTTGAAGTTGAACTGACTAGACTAAGTACTTTCGATTGGTTTAACGAAAAGCATAGATAAAAGTTTCCTGTCAAATCTAAAACTAAGAATTTGGAACACGGTTATTTAAAAGTCAGGGAATGATTTACGATTGAATACGAAGGTTAAAGATAACTAATTTCTGTTAAATCACAAAATATGAAAGAATGATACGAACACTGGCAGAAATCATTTAATAAGAATGCACCCTAAATGCACTGCTAAATAAAAAGTAAAATAGAGCATCATTAGGTTTCCGGTACTTCTGACGGCCCACACCCAGAAAGGTGGCAGAAACATTAGCGGGGAAAATTGGACTGAGAGGTAATTTAAAACGTTCTGGATGTAGGTGTGACGACGGTCATTGTTGTTGACCAAAATTATAAAAAAAAGAAGATCAAAGCTCGTGATTCGTCAGGTTGGCACGATGCCTAACTTACCGAACCTTATAATATACAGGTGGGGGGGGGGCAAAAGTCAGGCAGGATGAACTTCACCTAATGACCTCGAACTGGCATTAAAGCAGTAGTCCCCTCCCTACGAAGGGTTGTTGCTGCTTACCACCAGAGCCTCTATGACAATTCGTTCGCTGTTATTGGCCCACGCCTATGGAATTGTCTTCCTGTTCCAGCGTGATAAACCTAACAAAAGGAACAAAAACAATATTGTAAAGTTTTATCCCATTTTGATCAGATTAGATCGTGGAACTATCATCTGACTAGCATATTATAGGAGCAAGATAAAAGAGCCTTTAAAAAAATCAAACTGAAAATATTATTCCTTTAACCCTACATAAAATATGTATGTACCGCGAATCGCGATAACATGATACTAAGAAGTTTGATGGATAAGGCATTACCCATAATTATGTCTTGGCATAGTGTTTCCGGGATTTTTCAAAAGCTGGCACTTTCGGAAGGTCGCTGGAATGACCAAACACCTGATAAGCTGGGAAAAAATCCCTCGTTTGTTCAATTGCATCCTTGAATTATAATTTGATTATTACACTTTAATGATGATTAAAGACAGGCTGAAATATACGTGAACAAGTTAGGGAGGGCCCAGCCACTGGAACACTGGTTAACTCGCTTAAATGATTCTGGGAAAAGCAGCTGAGCACACCCAGTCCCAACCAATATAGCTGTTAGAGTAACTGTGTTACTACTGTGTCAGTCTTTCATACTTAATTGTTATAATATTTAATTACTTGCTTATTTCAAACTTACTGAGTAGGATGTCATGGTTCTCTATAGGACCAGGATGATCACCATCGTACTTCACGTGGCGGTTCCATCGGTCATACCACTTCTGGCTCACTACATACCTGAAACACAAGATAATTGAGCTTTATCTGAAAATGATTTAAATTTGATTCTTGAACCAATTGTTATAAAAATGCTTGTGATACACAAAAACAATCAATGTAGTGTGTCAATAATTACCAGATGTCACCAAGAGCGAGACTGGTGTTGCGACCATCATTCACATACGTCTCCTCAGTTTGACCACTTTTCATACTACCCTAAATTTAGAAACAGTATAATTCATGAGTCTAATTTTCAAGATCGTGTGTCTAATTTTAAAATTACGAGACTTGAAAATCATTTGCAATGATTAGGGAGGAAATTTGAAGCCTCATGCCATTATGAGGTGCAATTTAGACGATACAAATTTTTAAAGAAAGGTTCGACATAAAACCTAAAATGCGTTGGCTAAAAGCCAATAATCAAAATAAATAAGAGCAGGCCTGTTCCTGTACAAAAGTTGCTTTCATTTTCACATTCGTTTACACTTTTTGTGTTTTATTGTACCACAGATACTTTAATATTAACAGACACATAACTGGTCACATTTTGAGGGTATAATAAAATTATGCAAAATTATGCATCATGAATTGATTGATTGAAATATTTCAATATTTAGCTTTTTAAAGTTCAATTTCAAATTGCAGATTATATCACATAACACAGATAAAAACTCTATGATTAAAAAAGCAAGCTTTTATTACAAATTTGTCGCATGCTATACCTTATCTACTTTTGATTTGTGTACTTGAAAGGCTGGTGTTATCCAGATTCCACAGCTACACTGTGTCGCTGTCCAGCTAAAGTTACCTATTTTAGCAGCACACTTATCACAGTTTATTTTACCACCAACAACTCCCTCAGGTTTTGGTAGCCAGGGTAAATCTGGGTTTAAGAAAAAAGAGGTGCATCTCTTTAAGTTGGCATCTACACCTTTTGCCCCATAGACAGCAGACAATGAAGTCCCTTTTTGATGTGCCTCAAGATCTTGGTCACCGAACAAAAGTTTTCGGCATTTCTTGCATTTGTAACAGCTTTCTTTCTGTTGAACATTTGTGTTACATTCTCTAGACATCAATTTTTCCTTGATCTTTTCTTGGAGTGCAGCTTCAGCAGATGCATAAGCTGTTAGATTGGATTGTTGTTGCTCTTTGATTAACTCGTGATGAAATACAGCTGTTGTTTGGTATTCGTCACAACTCCATCGTCCGCTTGTTACATCTTTCTGTAATTCTAACAGTTGATCCATGAAACCATTATTTGGACAGGCCCATGGCCTTCTTTCACGAATAAATTTAAGAGACTGCTCTACAGTGAATCCTAGAATGGCAACCATGTAGCTGATTATTGCTGTCACACTGCGAGACATGCCTACTTGACAATGAACCAAAATATTTCCTTGCAAGATGGATTCTGAGATGATTCTGATAAAGGTAGGAAACATCTTCTTTATATTCTCTTGAGGCATGTCTAACATTTGAACCCAATGATAAGATATATTGGGTCCTTTTGTAAAGGTATCTATATCCATGACTGTCAGAACTGTTCTTATATCATTCTTTTCCAATTCAGCAGGTTCTATATCAGGAAGACCTCCAACAAAAATTCGTGGTAGCACTTCATGCATTGAAATTCCTGAAATTATGAATACTATCAATTTTGACAAAAGCAATTACCCAACAATTTAAAACTAACGACCAGGTTCACAGCTGTCACTTGTGCTAAAAAAGGATGGGCAGCTCATTCCACAGCTGTATCATAATAATGATAGCAATGAGAGAATTCAATTTTAATAGCAAATGAAACATAACTGGCCTTACATATTGTGTATGCATCATTTTTGAAATCCTGATTTACCGAAAACAACCATTACTTGTACTACACAATAAGAGAAGATCTGTCAGGCCAGAATTTTGATTCAAGCCCCTTATCCACTATGACAGAAAGTTTCAATTGTCAGCATTTTCAGTTTGTGTCTACCAAGTCCCAGGACGATCCCATAAAAAATACAGGAGATAGATTTTTAACTTCTAAAAATAGAATTAGACATACGCGCTGTCCTTCAAGGACCCATAACTTTGGCAAGGACCACTACTTTTGGTAAGGTCATGAGCATCTGGTAGATCTTACTCCCCTGTTTTTTCTCCCTGATCCGCCGAATCTGGACCCTTCTGGCCCCTTTAATGGATTTCTGGAGAGAAGAATTTCTGGAGAGAAGAATTTCTGGAGAGGTGAATGACATCGTTCATGTTCTATCCTGCAAAAAGGGATGCTATGTGCCAATCAGGCAATATATCTGCTAGCGGACTAAAGCAAAGACAGCATCATCTGAGTGCACTTTCTTTCATGTAAGGGTGTCTTCTCCATATAATGCATCAAATGTTAGTTGTTACTGTCAGTCTTCTAGCACTATGTGGGAGAAATGTAAAGGAGAAAGGAGACACATACCAACAGTGGCGTAACGTTACCTGTTGGTGCCCCCGCTGAAAAAGTGTCCCCCAGTCCCATGTTGGCACCCCCTCCCCTTTTGGCACCCCTCCCTATAATTGGACAAATTAGATGATTAGGCACCCCCTAAGATGGCGCCCCCTGCACAGCGGGGTCGGCGGGGCTATTTGTTACGCCACTGTGTACCAAGATAGGGAACTGGGAAACAGAGAAGGGATCATTTGAACCTCTTGTCTTCTTGGCACGGGGGCCTCAGGACCAAGGTGCACCAAGGTCTTAAAGAGGGTGGCAGCCAAAATATCAGATAAAAGCAATATATACATTCAATTAAATCAAGCAATGCAATTGGCAGAGAACAATCAAATCAAGTGTTGCAATTGGCAATACATAGGTAACGGAAATGGTCCATTACTACCAATATCTTTAAACTTTAAACAATCAAATATATACACACAATTTTCAAACACACATGACCTACTCTATCATAGGGGCAGGGATTAGACCTTTTATGAGACTTCTGATAGACGAGTATCATGTTTGTAATCCATCTTCTTTCCTTTGTATTCACGTAGAGCAATAAGAATCTTATCCTCATCCTCACATGCCTTACCATTAATATCTCTCCTTCCTCTTTCTGGCTATGAGGTCCGCTAGTCAGTTGGCAAACCGCTTTCAATTAGACATTCCTCCAGATGTGAGAAATACAGCCGGGGTGAAGGTAGCCTTCTCCACATTCAACACTATCTCCAAGTACTCACCCTTATTCTCGTTCTCGTTCGAATATCACATAAAAGAGGTGAGGAGTATGCTCTCATTCCATATCGCAAGTCATATGACTGTTAACATTATTCTTGGTAGTTCTTGTTTGTGGAAATAAGTGTGCACAATATTGAAATTTTCTTTGCTTGTTTATTGTGTCCTAAAATAAAATTTCTCAGAAAACGACAAATATATACCTAAAAAACTGTATTGAAAAGGCATAAAATAACTTATTTAATATCAAAGTATATATCATATTTGATTGTAAATCTGCATATTGGTATGAAAACTTAGTTAATTTAATTGTGCTGCTGTAGCATTGTTGTGTAATTTATCAAATTTGACCTCGATGCTTGCCATCATGGGATCTAGGCAACATCAATAATGGTTGGTGGACGATGAATGAATTGGTGGTTGGGTTAAGTTTGATCGGACAGTTATGAAAAGTCTAATGAAAATTATTATTCATATCCATTACAACTAAGCACTAATTGTGGCTACAAGAAGATAAATTTTCACAATTGAACAATCAGACAAAATGATGGATGTAAGCTATCAAAATAGCGGAATTATATTTTGTATCTTGATAAGGCATTTGCTAAACTATAAACATGTTACAAATCATTGTCAGCATGCAGTAGCATATCAACCTAGCGCAGCTTTGTGGTTACATTTTTGCCAGTTTAATCTTCAGGATGACAAATACTGTGAATTAAATGATAATTACCGTTTCTAATATCGTATCAGATACGCTGGCATAGCAATATTTGATAATATCTAGTAAAATTGTATTTATATATTTGTATATTGTCATGTTTTTGATGCAAAGAATAAAAATGATAGTTAGCGTGGCGCGTCGAAGTGATATGGCGTTTCCAATTAAATTAATGTACTTCCAATTAAATCCTTTGATTCACAATGTCAATCCTTCGCATCTCGCCGATCTGCATAAGCGCGCGCGACCCAGTAGTGCATCGCGCTACAATTAAATCCTTTCCTTAACTTTACACTTTATGTTCCAGTAAATAATAATTCTGGTTTATAGTAGTCAATTTAATAAACGCTTGTTTCGCGTCGCCGCGCGCTTCACATTGACATGATAGCCATGACTGACATCTTACGGTTTTACGTGTACTATACTGCGTAACAAGCTTGTTTCACAAGCGAGAGGGATCTGGTTAGCTGAGTAATCGCGCGGCGCACAGCATGAGTGGGACACATGTCACATAAGTGCCATGATGTGACAATGAGTTGTTGTCAATGGATTATATATATTAACCCTGAACCCGGCGCGCGATACTTCTTACTTGGCCTTCCTGCGCCGCGCCGAAGTAGCGCTTGCGGGTCAGTAGACAGTCTATATAAAAATAGCCATGGTTAATTTAATCGTATACACCACTCACTAGTTAATTTGTAATTTGATTTGTCGCTTCTATGCGCTTACTTTATTAATATTTGCGCAAAATAAAATTTTCAACTTTGCCTGTAATTAAATTACAGGCAAAAGTTGAAAATTTTATTTTAAAAAAAATAATCAAAATGACACTATTATGGAAATTACAGTGTAATTTCCGTACTAGTGTCATTTTGATTATTTTTACATAATTTTCGTAGGGTCGTCCAGTATTTGTTTAAATTAACATTGCCATTCAGCCATTGCATCGTCGAAGAGTTGTGCAAACAGCAAAGCAACTTAGCGCGCTTATGGCATATAGTAGAGGCTCTTACCACTTACGGGCATTCAGGCATTGTCTGCTCGATACGCTAGGGACCCCAGATACACCATACTAGACGTATTTTTGACCGTAGAATCGATTAAAAGTAGTTTCAAAATGATTGGACTGAGTTAGCACCGTTAAAATTGCAAAAAACCGATTTTGGGGCCAAAAATAGGCCAAAAAAGCATGTTTTTTGATAATTTGAGCAAGTTAATTTTGTTGGCATGTCGGCAAAATTTGCATGAAGGTAGCTAAAAGACAGCCGCACAAGCTGGTATAAAAATAAAACAAATCCCTCTATTTTAGTGCAGGTAAAAACCCAAAAAAGTGGTAAAAATTTTGACTTTTTTGCTTGAAGTTTGAATAATTTTTTGCAGTTGTATTAAATCAACCCAAAAATAGTCACATCGTGTTACCCTAAATTTTTCCTTTCCGAGAAGTACCCACTTCATATACTTTATCGAAGTTTGAATATTGTCACTCCGCAAGCGTTTTTGCCAAATTTTCGACGCGCACTACGCGCAAAAGTATTTAGTTGTTATCAATTGGCACCCGCGCGTTCATCATAAATTTCAAACAGCTATAACTCAGCGAGATTATGTCCGTTCTAGCTCATATTTTCACACCAAATAGAAAATAATGTGATCTTATTGCTGACAAAATATGAATATAATTACTTTATTTGCCTTAGAGTAATAGACTGTCAAAGTTTAAAACGCGCATTGGTATAGCACGTGACAAATTTATACTTCTTAACATTTTATCGATCCTTAGACATCATACTATTGTGTCCAATAAGCGGTTAGGTCTCTAAACTCGTAGCAGAGAACTCGTCTTTTTGCCCGTAAGAGCCTCTACTAATAGGTAAATTATATTATACTTGGAATCTGCTTTTTAGTTTTATTTGTTTCGGTTGTTACATGTTAATTTGTGAATGTAACGGTATGTTGGCATTCTCAAAACTGTTTGCCATTATTCAAAAATACAGTTCTTTCATTGCTTAATCAATAATTACAGTAAAACAATGTACAACAAATAAATTTTTCACATAACCAATTAAGGCTTGAACTAGCAATCAGTCCAAACTGCAAACAACTGGTTCTTTGGTTCAAAGCCTTGAAACACCATACTCATAGTTGCTACAATATTATTATTTCAATACCTAATACCTTACATTAAACACCAAGGCAAAGCGAACTGTACGAAATTCACTGTTAAATTTCTTTTGCTTACCTTTCAAAAGTATTTTTCTTCCCGGTACTAGCCAAAGTTTCCCACCAGCCTTTTAGACCGGATCCCAAATTTTCTCAAGCTTGCTCGAGCGGATCCCGAATTTTTCTCAAAAATGCAATTTCTCAAATTATTCCCGTTAAATTAAAAATCCCGTTTCCCGATAAGCAAGCGTACCCACTTTTGAAAGGTAAGATCCTATTCTTATGCTGCTACAGAGGTAAGTAAATAATGTTTGGAGATCTGGAATTCTCTGGGTTGTTACTCAGTTCCCCATTTTATGTTTTATTACTTAATCTGATTACGGTATTAGTGATACATAATAACATTATAACATCACGATATAGTTACTTCGAAAAAATACCGAAATCAAAAGCTTAAAATCTTTCATACGGTTACAATTATTAAATGATTACCTAGACATATCTAAACTACATTTATAAAGTAACAGCAGAATCATATACCTCTTTGGCTCCCACTTCTTTGACCTGTCTCAGACATTAGCTCAGATCGCTATGAGACAAAAGTCTGGAGAAAATCTCTGCTGACAGAATAAGAGCAAGAAGGTATTAAACAAATATTTATGAATCAGCCCAAATTCATATAATTATAAATTTTCAAATAAAATTACTCAAAATACTGACTGTACACATAATCGACTATCAAATGATTAGATATGGTACAACATGCTTTCTGAAAAGCTCGCTCTTATAATAAACTTTACAAGCATCATGATAATCACGTTGAAATAACTGTCATAATCAAAACTGTGATTACCATCTAAACAGCGGGGAATTATTAAACATATTTAAAAATCAGTAGCGAATCTAAACGTAGAAACACAAATGTCTGATACTGATGTCCAAAAAGAATAAAAAGCTCATAATTAGTAATAATAATTAGTCATTGAAAAGATAAGTATAAAGACGAGACGGAAGGCTTGTTTAGTTGTTTTAGTTCCTTGATCAGTAATCCTCCTGTAATAGAGCCCTCACTTGATCGGATTCGGAGCTGAAAGATTAAAATGTGAAATTGTTACCTTATTCATATCGCTAGCTAATCATCATGAATCTACTTGGTTTTCAAGCTTGTGAGATTACATATTATCGAAATGTAGATCAACCGAATCTGATTTCTTAGTCAACAACCAACATCATTCGATCACTGCACACTGATCATTACAGAATTATGGGATAAATCTTCAATTTAACCATAATGTTGGCGTCCAAATACAGATAATTCATTGATCATTTTATATTTATATACATTTCTAAACATTTGTAAACAGGTCATGAAATTATGAATCATGGAAAAGTACTTGCTCAAAAAGCCAAACATTGTTTGAGACAATCGTACTGAGTCTTGATTTTAAACAAACATGGCAAACCTTTTACTAAGCGAAATTCTTGTATTTCTGCCTAAATGTGATTTTGTTCAAGACAAATAAGCAAGATTGATCATTAAAGGCACATCCATTTAAAGCGGCTTATAAAATACCTAATGAAAATTGCGGGGTCCAAGTTTGAATACCGCCAACAGACTTGACATAGTCGTGTTTCGACCTGTAGCAAAGTCTGCTAGGGGTCGTTCAGATATCGTCGGCGTTTTATAAAAAGGGTTAATCTTAAAACATAAAAATAATCGTTTTGAGTTATTGAAGTTTTTCCCAGTATTTTGGGTCCCAATTTGTTCAATCATGAAAATCAATTTCACGATGTTTTCTGAAAAAAGGGGAGTAAGATCTACCAGATTATGTTTATGCTTTAACTCATCAACTCATCAAAATATTGACCCTGGCCACAGTTATGGGTCCTTGAAGTCAGCGTGTATGTGTAAAGGCCCAACTTTGAAACGCGATATTTGAAAAAAAAAACTAGACAGTTATTTTAGAAACTTTCAGCCGTTTTATAAATTGAAGTTTATATTCCAATAAACTGTGGATTAAATTTAAACACCAACGCGCAGCGCGCGCCCCCCTACTGACCCTTCACCGACTCCTAGATCCCTTAACAGCAATCCCTGGTAACCATCTACCAATCTGGGGATATGCCGTTTAGACAATACCAGTTGCCACAACTGGGACAACTAGAGCGGCTCAACTGCGTTTAAGTCGTTTTTGAAATTTCTCCATTTTTCAAGGAATCTATTAGAATTAGATATTTTGTAGGGTGGTGGCTGATGATGAAACGTATTTTTTATAAAAAACGTCGCCGATATTACGTAACCACTTTTTGTCCAATTTTAAACCCCCTCCGTAATCAGTTTTACACATAGTTATTGTTCAAAATTTTACTAGCGTAATCATTTAGAAACCCCCTCCCTCTCCTCAGTGATTACGTAGTATGTGAACGACCCCTTAACTTATGAGGAATGTTACTAGGAATGTTACAAAATAATAATGACAGGAACTTACCCAGGATATAAGCCAGCTCTCTGTTTAACTCGGTACGTGTAGAATATTAGCATGGAGACGGAGGAGAGACAGAGAAGGATGGTAACACACAGAAGAAGGAACATCATGTCTAGGAGAGAAGGTGTTAGGTGTTATAGTTTGGTTTGGTTGGGGACTGGCCCGTGGTACCAGCCAATGTTTACTCAAAAAATATATATAACATCAATGGTAATAAGAAATTCATCCCCGTGGGGCACATGCATAAATATAAAATGTAAATGCAAGGAAGGTTTATAACTTAAAGTTTTATTTTCCAATGGTTAGTAGGTAAAGATTAAAAAAGTAAAACAAGACTGAGCACTTCAAAATTTGTAGAATTTGTAACTTGATTTGAAATACGCGGCGATAATAAAAAATGTCCAATGTTGGCAGTGTAATTTATGAGATATGCGACGTTTATTGAGTGATGCATAAGTGTGTGCATATAATCTAAGATGTAGAGACAAGGTTATTATCGGCATTTTGGTTTATGTTACGCTTTGATTTTCTTAGTCCTGTTATACAAAATAACATGAAATTAGGCCATTCGTCTTCGATGTTTTCATTTTGCTGATCGATGAGCATAGTTTTTATACAAGTTTTGTAAATGTTCAGGTTAAATAGACTAGGCGGGGAAGTTGCTGCAACATTATATCGGTTTATTGCTAATAATGGACCTTTAAAAAATACTGAGTTGTTGTAAGGGTGTTGACCATACTTTTCTGACCATTGTGTAGTGAGAATAGAATCCAGGTTAGTATTAAATAATGGTGCGCTTTTGGGAATTGTTTTCTTGAGAGACAATGGTACTAGATTAGGAAAGTTTTTCAATTTATGCATTAAAATGAGTGCGTTCTTTACAATGATACTGTGTACTGTCAATATTTTATGTGAATAAAAGCCAGACTTGGTACTTGCTGGGGGGATACCGTCCTTGTACCAGTAATTGACGAAACCAGGTAATACTGCTCGAAGGCCCATTTTCTGTTTTACAAAAAGTGATTCAATATGAGACTTGGCAGCAAAACCCCATACAAGGCTGCAATAATTAAGGTGTGACTGCACAAAACTTTGATAAATTTGAAGACGTGCTTCGAGAGGCAGATATTTTTTAAGTTTGTACATGACTCCTATGTATCTGGACATTTTCATTTTCATGGCAGAGATATGATGGGACCAGTTTAGTTTATCATCTATTATAACTCCTAAAAAACGGGCTTCTGTTTTTCTCTCAATTGTGACACCAGAAATTGCCACATCACGATAATTAAGATTTCTTTGTCGAGAGAAGATCATATAATTTGTTTTCTTAAGGTTGAGAGCTAAACCATTATTATCTACCCACTTAACTAAGGCATCGCTAAGAGTTATTAGTTTATCGTAAACTTCATTAAGATTTTCTCCTATCAGGAAGATGTTGGCATCATCTGCGTACATAATGAAATTGGCTATATCTGATATTTGAGGCAGGTCGTTTATGTAGATTATAAAAAGTAAAGGTCCTAATATTGACCCTTGAGGCACGCCGTATAAAATTTGGTTGGTCGAGGATTTTGACGAGCCAATTGATACAAACTGTTTCCTGTTAGTGAGATATGACTTAAACCAGTTTAAGGCTTGACCCCTTATGCCGTAATGGTCCAGCTTGCGCAAGAGTATGGAATGATCCACAAGGTCGAAAGCTTTGCTGAAGTCGATTAAAAGAAGTAAAGTTATCTGCTTTTTAGACATTGAATTAAGAATGGTGTCTTTTGCGTTGAGAAGAGCATGTTCACAAGACCTACCCGGGCGAAAACCGTATTGGTTTTCACATAGTATGCTGTATTTATCTAAAAAACTTATAACTCGGTTATGCATTAGCTTTTCAAATACTTTAGAGAAAGAAGCAAGAAGAGATATTGGTCTGTAATTTTTTATGTCAGATTTAGATCCACCTTTGTGAATTGGGACCACCTTTTCTTCTTTCAAAGCCTGTGGAAAGATCCCCTGTTCAAAAGAACTGTTGACAACGTGGGCTAGTACACTAGTAAAACTGGGACAACTGTTAGCGATTTTTAGAGGTTCAATTTTAGTGTCTAGTGTGGCTTTATTCTTAAGCAGGTTTATGACGTCCTGAATTTCTGTGGCAGTGACTGGCTTTAAGTAAATACTACTTGGAGTGGCGTTGCGAAGTGTGCTATGGGTTCCACCAGGATCAAAAGTGGTCCTACTACTAATTTCAGACTTAATTTTTGGAGCGATGTTTGAGAAGTAATCGTTAAATTTTTCTGCTACAGCTGCCGGAGTGCTGATTGAGCCGTCTTCGTCAGTCAGTTTTATTGAAGTAGGTTTAGATTTTTTCCTATTTAGAAGACTGTTTATCATTTGCCACTGCTTCTTAGAATTTTCTTTGTTTTGCTCAAAAAATTTTTTGAAGTGCTTGTTTTTAGCTTTATCGATGTGTCTATTACAAAACTTCTTCAGACGGTCATATTTACTGCGGTTACTATCAGATGGTTCCTTAACAAAATCATAATATGACTCATTTTTACGTTCTATAGCTTCTTCGAGCTAGGGCAGCATCCATGGTTTCGGATTAACACGTTCATTTTGTCTTCGTGATTGTCTTTTTGTAGGATAGGCAGACTCGTAAATCTTATTATAAGCCGTATTTAAATTATTGAACTGTTCGTTGGCATCATTGGTATTGTTAAAAATTTCTGACCAACTTTCATTTATAATTAAGTCTCTGAATTTTTGATTGTTGGTGTCGTTAAATCTACGTGTTTCAGTTTGAGATACATTTTGTGAGTTAGACGCAGAGCGGTAGCTGCTGGTTGGCGTGTTATCAAGATTTATTGTAGTGACTATTGCTAAGTGATCAGACATATCTGTCGTTAAGACGTTACAGCTTATTGTATCCTCAAGATTGTTTGTGTAGATGTGGTCAATAAGCGTGGCACTATGGTCCGTTAGGCGAGTTGGGCGTGATACAATTTGAATAAAACCGTAAGAGGACGCAATATCTATAATGTTCTGACATGCTTGGTCGCTGCTGTGCTTCAGTAAATCAAGGTTGAAATCTCCATGAAGCGTCATATGTTTACGGGTGTGTCTCCCTAGGTTGTGCAGCGTATTTTTGAAAATTTCTAGAAACGCTTCAGGTCTCCTAGCGGGAGAACGGTAAACATTGCCAATTATTTTCGTTCTGTTGTATCCTTTGCACTGATGGAGCTTGATAAATTGGAATTCGCCACTAGTATTAGTTGGTTCAGGGTTTGGAGTGAAAATATCAATTTTATCATAATCGACTACACGTTTGTGTACATAAGTGGCTAGCCCCCCACCTTTTCCAGATGGTCGAATTGGATCCTGGATAAATGGTTCATGAAATCCATCTAAGGTAACGTCGTTTATTCCGTTCGGTAATTTCCCTAAAGTGCAATTCGTTTCGTTAAAACACAATATATCATACTTATCATAAGTCTCAATATCATCACGTAGTTGATCTATATTCTTAATAAGGGATCTTATGTTCATAGAAAATGTTTTAAGTTGAGAGCAGGTAGATTTTTTCACGTTACGTTGTTGTTTGTACTGACAACTAGTTAGGAAAGATGAAATATTGCTCCAAGTTGAATCTTGATGCTCTTCGTTGGTCATGGCGTCGCCAATAAGATTAAATCGACTATTCTGATCGTACGGATTGAATATGTCACTATTAAGTTTACTGTAGTCGTCATAGATTTCATAGTAGGTTGCGTGAAATCCAGGAATGATACTTTCACAGCAACTCGTACAGCCTAAATTATCCTTAAAACATTTGACATGGACATTACTTTGGCACCATAAGCATGTGCGAATATTTCTAATAGAGTAACACCAGCCGCTGCAGCTTGAACATTTGATCTTGACTTTGTTTTCAGATGTAACAGTGGGTTCCATTTATAACTAAATATTATGATTATGATACTGATAGTATATAAAACTATAGTTCAAATCAGATTCTTTCACGAGAACCGGAGGTCCTGTATGCTACAGAATCGTGATATGATTTAAAAGTAAATTATATTATTTTAAGCTAAAATCGGATAATTAAGTGAAATAAAGTGTCCTTATCTAGGGCCTTATCAGTATGATTTAAATAACTGATAGGTGTTAGTAGTATATAAATAACTAGTAGGTGTTAGATGTTATAGTAGGTGTTAGGATGCTGATGGTCATGCCGGACACAATGTAGGTAAACTATAAGTAAATATATATCAATAACCAATAACCATAAGATAATTTAACTTATCTTTGTATTCTTATTTAATGAGAAAAAATACATATTTTCGATAGTCTGGAAACTGTCAGTTACAAGCAAATAGTGTTCTATAAAAGAACTAATATAAATTAACTTCGATTTTGGGTACATGCAAATTGCAATTGCGAATTCCCACAATGACTTCTAACTCTAATACCAGCAGATATATAATTGAATATAGCTGATAGCAGATACAATACGTATGTATCTAAGTTTCTGCTTGAAGTCTTCTGAATCAATGTAGAAATTAGAATTGCAATAATATTGATGAAAATGGTACCGGCCGGCTTGAATAATTCCTTAAAAGCTGTGAATATTGCAAGAAGTCATTTATGATAAAAAACAACGAGAAACTTATATTAATGGTGATGAAAGTAGAAGTAGATTAAAAAACGTACTTTTGGACATATTTGGGACAAGATCTGGTAGTCCAATCCTACATTGGTCTCGATAATCTTCCTCAGTCAGGTCGAGTTCACTGTTCACACTGTGGAGTTAAGTTAATAGTTTCTTAATCACTTAATTGATTCACTTAGTCACAAAGGCTGTGACACTGAATCATACAAAAGCATAAAACTGACCAAACATGCATCTAAAAACAATGACTTACGCGTAGAACTGGTCGAGAGTACAGCCAGTGTCGGTGCACCCAGGTAATTGGTAAGTAATCAGGTCCTGATCCTTGTGGTGACGAAGGAAAGTCACCTCATGCTCCCCATTCTCTTTCTCCCACAGCTCTACCATGAGAACGGTAGCGTAGGGGGTCTGTACAGAGTCGTACACTCCGAGAGTGGTCAGTATAGCAGCCAGGGTCGTGTCATGCTGAGAGAAAAGATGGGTTACTTACTTTACTTTACGTTATATGATCAGATTACTTGGGTTATATGATCAGATTACTTGAGGAATAGCAGCCAGGGTCGTATCATGCTGAGAGACGGGTTATATGATCAGATTACTTGAGGAATCTTGGCAGAATGGAAAACAAGCATATGTCCTGTTTTTTTGTTCTATAGTAAACGATGGAGGAGGTTTCATCGTTATTTTCACCATTGAACTAAAAGTGAAGGATTGAAGCCACAAATTACGACTGCATTGCAGATTTGTCGATACTCGATATAAATTAATTAGGTACTATCGGTGAACCATGAATTTCCGCGTTTATACAGCATCTTATTCTGTTCATTACGCTGGTTTTATATTATTTGAATTGCGAACATTTTGATAACAATTTAAAGATAATTTCGTTTATATGTGGTTTGACTTACCCCAGAAAATAGAACAAGCTTTACATCGCTAGAACCGTTCGCAGCATCTTTTACTCTTGTCTTAAGCTCATTCAGCAGAACACCTGAAAGTTATTTGGTTACTGACAGTCCTGGGGGGGGGGGGGGGGGGGGGGGGGGATTTACTGATTATAACCACATTCAACTTTTGAGGACTGGATAAGTGTTAATAAGAGTTCTGATGATGAATTAAACTGAGTCACTACATAATACAAAGTTTTTGTTATTAATCAGCTGTTAAAATCTATCATGATAATTTTACTGATTTTGCCTAAAGATCAATTAAGACGCATTTTTCTTCTTAATCTCCCTATTTGAGAATAGCTTTCAAGTTGTGTATGGAGAACAAATGCAGTAACAATGTTGTATATATATATCTAAGGTTAATTGTGGGTGGCGTCGTCTGCTTACAGTGCTCAATCGGCAAGCCGAGAGCTAGATACAAAATGAAACGACCGGTTGAGTCAGACAAATGTTTCAATCATGTAATGATACAAAATCATGATATCATCAGTGACCCTCAGAAGTCAGAACACTTCCACAAGTACGTTTATTTACGCAGCGTAAAACGTGATGATTTGTAATCAAGTTACTGGATCGTGACTTTATTTACAAAGCCAATTATTTACAAATAATCAGTTACACCTCTCACTTTCTTTACCGGTAGTAGTACCGATACTATATACCATGTCAGTGTTGTGATGTTGGTCGTAACAGGGTCGATTTTAGACTTATTTTTTGGATAATATGATGACAGAATATAACCGTAGCTTTTGCAACTTTGTTAAACGCTCTGTAGTCAGTTACTTGTAATCATACACAATATTACTGTCTTGTACTGCATACCTTGTGCCTTGTTTTATTTTAAATATAAATGTGGAATATTTGGGCAAATTTGTAAATAATTAGGGGGTTAGTTCATCCAGCTTTGGGGATCGCCGCTCAATGTTTGATTTTTCGGGATTTTGAAGTTTGAACTTAATAGGGAAATGACAGGGAATGTATTAAATTTGTTCGTGTTTCTGAGAGTGCATAGATCTGCTGCTATCTCTCTGTAGTAAGTTTTGAGTGTAATATAAAGCACGTAATGTTATCTTGCAGCTCATCAGTAAGATAGGTAATAGATTTAATCGAGTCAGTTCCATAACGGTCACGCACATTTCATTTTAGTTGTTCTAGCACGAATAGTTTCTAAAACGTTTCTTGCATCCTGCATGAGACTGAACAAATTAAACGATCCATATTCCATAATGATGTTATCATAGTGATGAATAGAAGGTAACTCAATTCTCTTTATTAGAAGTTTACTTAGTAAACTGGAGACAAATTAATATCAACTAATGATATGCAACTACATAGTCCTCAGAAACTAGGAAGTAACATACTCGGTGATATAAGTGTACAAGGTACAGTGTCAGGGAATGTGTTGTCTTGTGTTTGTTTTGCAGAGTTTACAAAAGTTTTCCGTCAGAGAAGCCTTCATGTTACACTGACTGTTAACTTCATTAACACTGTATAGTTTTAATGTAAAGGAGAGAATTGGTAGATTTCTCCTAGTTAACTATTGAGTTCACTGATTGAGTTGTTACATTTGTAATGAGATCAATTCCGCGAATATCGCGACCAAAGATACAATTACAGGCGATTTTGTTCATTTTTTGTGGTCTTTTCGCCTTAGTATCCACATTTAAACAGATATAAAGCTATAACTTACAGAGAATATGTAGTTTAGGCTTACCTTTCACATAAAGTTATTCTCATTCACAAATATTGATATTTGACTAATTTATGGGCCGAAATCTATTAAATTTTGTGTGTATGCCAAAATTTGGGTATATGGTTTTTGGCTCATTACTCAGTCATATTGTGTCCAATCTTGATGAAATTTCATAAATGGCTTCAGGATACCACTAGCTACAAGAGCATCTTAAACCTGGGTTTTGGACATGTTCAGGGTATTTGGTCAAATTGGGCCTAGTTTGGACCAAATATGAAATATGGGCGTGGCTGCACCGCAGGCGCCGTTTGGCGGTTGGTGTCCGGGACCCCTCAAACCTCAAAGGTTTGATCACCGGTCCTAGTTTGTTGGTCAACTGCTATCTCGAAATCAAGTTTCACAAAAAATACCCATTGGCCCCCCCCCCCCCTTATCCCTATATGAGCTGTTTTAGGTGACCGTTAGAGGTTTCCGGGTGAAATTGTGAAAGGTTTAACTTTTCCGCAGTTGTTTAAAATGTAAGGGTTTATTTCAATTTACACATTTTGAGTGTAAGTTGGTTGACTGGCTGAAAATGAGCCGTCCGCTCATTTGTACCTGACTTACAGCCAGGCCTGTGGTTGGTCCTCGCGGCCACAGGGTGACTGCTAGTTGAGTGCCCATTGCATTGGCGAGACTGCGGGTCACAGTGGTGCAAGCAGATGCGTTGTACCGTCACGCATCATGGCGTGACCGTGTTTGGGAGTATATCCGAAGAGCTTACTTTTTAGTTACCCCTTAATTACTTTAAGGGACCCGATTGACGATAGCCAGTTCGCTGAGCACTATCCTCGGTGAGTAGACACGTCGGCTTTCTATATTCGCGTCAAAAGGTTTTCTCAAACTAAGAAGTTTTATCTGTTAAAGTTCACCATTACATTTCATTTCCATTTGATAGTTCTCCTTTTTCATAACTTCGTTTCATTTCTATCATACGGTACGCCCTACCGTTTCGTGCTGCGTGACTAGAGATAGATTAGCAATTAGCATAGACTTAAACCCTAGGAACCCGGTTTTCTATATTTTTCCCCTTAGTCCCGTTCTAACCATCCCTAAAACAACAATAGAAAAATGAACCACTCTATCCTTCTCATCATCCTACTGGTCGTGAGAGTGCAAGCTGAGCTTGTTGATCTGAGTCACATTTTGGATGAGAACGCGAGGAATTGGCCGGTAGAAGGCTACACTCCTTTCAAACACTCTGTCCTGGCTCTCTGTAGGTCCAAATTATAATGTGCCAATTTTATAATTCTACTATGATTGGCATTGAACTTTACTACCACGAGGGTCGATTCTGGCATTAAATATTAAATAACGACTCCTATATTTTAACAAAAACGTGAGTACTTAGAGCTTTAGAGTATACGATTACGAATTATTTCCGAATTACACTGTTTCAGATGACCAAGATGGTGCGTTTTACACCTCGAAAGACATAGAGATGACAGAGCACTTAGGGACTCACATGGACGCTCCCTACCACTTTGGTAAAACAGCCTGGGACCTCGCCTCCATACCGATAGAGAATTTCGTGGTACCTGTCGTTAAGGTAAACGTGAAGGAGAAAAGTGCTAAAAATAGGGACTACATGCTGACGGTACAGGATCTCCAGGATTGGGAAGAGAAGCACGGCGCGGTGCCAGATAATGCTGTCGTGCTCATGGAGACAGGGTGGGGAGATAAGTACACAGATACGGAGGCTTACTTTGGTGAGGGGGTTATTGTATCTTTTGGTTTTTATCAACATACAAAATTTGTAACTACCAAAGATGTGTACTTAGAGATTAATTAACAATTGTTTGGTGGTTTTTCCTAAATCTTACCGTTATACAGGAACTGCAATGGACCAAAAGGCAGACAATTTTGACTATGATGCGTGGGTAGCGGAGATCCACTTCCCCGGCTTCAGCGCAGAGCTGGCCACAAAGCTCCTTACTGATTACAAGATTACAGGTGACTTCCGTTACTGGAAAATCTCAGTTTGAAACAGGAAACTCTTTTAATTTAGCCATAAGGGTTGTTTCATATTTATATCTAAAATACCTTCAGGGGTTGGTATTGATACAGCATCCATTGATGCTGGAGTATCTGGGGCGTTCCCGGTACATAACACCTTGGAAGCAAACAATAAATACGGACTAGAAAATCTGTGCTGTTTGGATAAAGTGCCAGAGAGCGGTGGGTTCTATAATTATTTTTGTTTTTAAACTCTAATAATTTAAATACCATTAATAGTATTTCAATTATTAGAGTTTTCTACCATAATAAAAAATGATGATTCCTCAACAAAATATGGACAGTTTAAATTGACATTTACTGAAAAGGGTTTGTCATCTCCTATCGCTTCAGGAGCGACACTGATAGCGATCCCTCCCAAAATGACTGGCGGGTCGGGATTCACCATCAGAGTTTTAGTGGACACGGACTCCAGCTATGCTTACAAACAGAGCGGCAGGATGAGCGGCGCCGGCACTCAGAATTTGAATGTTTGCGGATTCTTGGCATTGTTTTATTTCATCTTATATGTCCAGTAATTAACCCACTCGTTTTTAGAGATGTTTCTCCCTATACTGTTGCTAATTTTTAAGTGACGATTTTATTTTATTTTGGTAAGTACATGTATTGATTTTCTAGTGTAATAACCATGGATTTATGAATAAGTTAAATTTGGAATAAATTAGAAAAAGTTATATTATTTTGTTACTCATTAACTGTGATTAAAAAAGAAGGTACCTAATTTTACATAAGCTACAGCCTATAACCTTAAACGTGCACAAATCCCATTAAGGAGATAATATTTATCTTCAGTAATTACCCACCAAAGAGCCAAAGGTTGAATGTTTGCTTCTGGTAAATTCAAGGACAAAAGAAAATCGCGATTATTTAGGCCAAACTAGCAAAATCGTGGTGAAATCGTGGCGAAAATCTCGAAAAAATGTCCACGGTATTTCAAGTGAACAAGTTGTTCTTAGGCACATGGTTCTGGAACAAGCAGTCCTATGGCATATTATCATTATGGTTATCGGACAGAATGAGGTTAAAATCACTTAACATCTTTAATTCTATCGAGTAGTGGTAAACTTTTGCAGCTCAGTGGCTTTTTGTGGGCGACTTAGTTAGAGGCATGTATCCAGCATTGTGTCGTCCTTTGTATAACTATAAGTGATTCACCATCACTATGTTCGTAGAAATGTATCCTTTACCCTCATGAGTTGTAGTCCATATTGTGTTCTCATTGTTCCAAATCTCACTTTACAAATTAACTGCTAGCTACCCTTATGCCTAACACATAACATACGTATTATGTTATTTCCTCGTGTTTGCCTTTGTATCGTCTTCTCGCACAATTCCTTAAGTGGGGTAAGTCATCGTCATGTGAATGTTTGCAGTTTTCCAGACATGATTGATTGGGGTGTCTACTGTCTAGTGGTTAACTTTATGTCTAGTGGTCAACTTATGTCTAGTGGTCTAAGTTTGTATGTCTAAGTTTTAGGGACGTTTTTGGCTAACAATGTTACGTCAGCAGACGAGTGGGTTAAGAAATGCTTGTGAAAGTGGATTCCTTGACACACGCTGTATACCTCTTTTCGCGCAAAGCGTCTGGCGGCCGACGTGTAGCAATGGATTCCTGGAAACCAATTTTTCCACGGTTCATGCTATCCTGATCATTATGAACTGAACATATTTTTTTCGGTTTTCTAAAGTCCGCACCCAGTAGTCCGCACCTCTGCTCTCGATATAGGCTCTTACTAATTCGCTCGCCCAAAAATTTCACGTGACTTTGGTTTTTATGGTTTTGCAACCGTACAAAACGGTTTTACATAAACCCTAATCCCAACCCTAACCCTAACCATAACCCCGAAGCTATCCATAACCCTAACCCTAACCCGAGCCCTAAACAATCGAATTCATGTTTTACTAGCATGTCACGTGACCAAAACGGTTTTTTGCCCATAACTCTCCAGGGAAGCATTTTTAACCTACGTCCTGGGGGTGATGAATCAGCGTCCAAAAATACACCGATATAAATCAATTTCATACCCAAAGGGCCTTTTCACAAGAATTTTCTTAAAATTTGGGCGAGCGATTTAGTAGGAGCGCTATTGTTCATGTTTCATGCTACCCTGGTCATTATGAGCTGAAAATATTTTTCGGTCTTCTAAAGTCTGTACCTACATTCGAAAGGCTGTGGATGTGATTGGTTCAATATACCTATAAAAGAATGTTATATTTCTCCTTCGGATTTAAAGGAGAGTGCGCAAATTTGGTCCTCAGATTTAAAGAAAAATGCACAATTTGTCGCGGAGAATTGAAAAAATCGTGATTCGTCACGGCAAACGTAAAAATCGCGATTTGTCCCGGAGAATGGGAAAAATCGCGATTTCGCACGTGCTGCGATATCTTTTTGACCTTACCACCCAGTAAAAGATATTCAGAAAAAATAAACAAAACATGTTGAATGTTTGCTTCTGGTTTAATACAATCTGTGACCACATCTCACCTCCAGAAAGAGCCTTTTCTTTGTTTGTCATCATTCCGAAGGTTTTCCAATCCATATCAGCGTACGGGGTGACTAAATCAAACAATCCAGTCTTAACATACTCATCTTTGTACGTCATATTGTGACTTTTCTGAAAAGGCAGGATATCACAAAAGGTCCACTTATCATACTACTGACTGTTTTAAAGTGTAGTCTGGGAAGTCTAGGTTGCACCGGACAATTTAGAAAAAACCAGACCACGAACCTCGCAAAAGAGGGTATCGTAGACGTTGGCAATACTGCGGAACAATTCCCATTGATCCGATTGGTATTCAATTCCAGTTGTGTTAAGGATCTTTTCAGTCAAATGCTGAAATAAGAATACTTAGATTAGTAATTAGCTTATTAGATAGACTACGAACCTCGCAAAAGAGGGTATCGTGGACGGCGGTAATAATCTTGAACAATGTCCATTGATCTGATAGGTATTCAATTCCGGTTATGTTAAGGATCTTTTTACTCAAATGCTGAAATATGAATTCTAAGATTTCTGTAATTAGCTCATTAGCATGCATGTTTACTGTTTAGTTACACCATATTTGTAAATATCTACGGGTGCATGAATAGAAAATAAATTAAATTATACTGTTATATCTTGTGTTACTATATATAGTTTCACTTTGAGCAATTTCATTCTGAGGCAGAATTGATCCACATCTTCTAATATAATGACCATTGACCACGTCATATTGAGAGTACTTTTCTTTAATTATAATTTAACCGAACTGTTTAAACCGAAGTTACAATCGACTGATGAATATACTAATATTGGTTATATCCTGAATGGGTAAGGAATTCTTCACCTAAATCAAAAGGATGGGAAGTTGGACTTCTCAACTGGAGGTAGGTACGCGACGATGAAGAACTAATAAATCAAATTAACGAATAGCCGCGCGTACTGTGAGTGCTTACTACGCGCGCAATCTACTTTGTGTTATTGCGAGCTACGTAAACCAGAAGTACTTGAGACCAGAATTGCCGGATTTTTGCCGGATAATCGCGCTGCAAATTTCCCAAACTTTTCCAAAATATCACTTGAAATCATGGCCAACTGTCCGCAAAACTCGGCAAATATTAACAGGACAATACCAACTTCCACATATACCACTGTGAAGTAATATAGACATAGCGATTACTAGGTAATACCTGAAACACAAGGATAAGTTTTGTTATTTGGCGCTGATTTTTTTGCCGGATTCTTGAATAACAGAAAATCGTATTGATAGATTTTCTTTAAACTCTTCAAATAGTTAGAGCACTATAATACGGTCAATTTCAGGGAGTATAAAAAAATTTCTTCGTCTGTGAGTGGAGATACAAGGTCAAACACAAGAAAATATCTTCATTTGGCCAGAATTTTTGCCGGATTCTTGAATAACGGAAAATTGTATTGATAAATGTTCTTTAAACTCTTCAAATAGTTAGAGCACTATAATACGGTCAATTTCAGGGAGTATAAAAAATTTCTTCGTCTGCGAGTGGAGATACAAGGTCAAACACAAGAAAATATCTTCATTTGGCCAGAATTTTTGCCGGATTCTTGAATAACGGAAAATTGTATTGATAAATGTTCTTTAAACTCTTCAAATAGTTAGAGCACTATAATACGGTCAATTTCAGGGAGTATAAAAAAATTTCTTCGTCTGTGAGTGGAGATACAAGGTCAAACACAAGAAAATATCTTCATTTGGCCAGGATTTTTGCCGGATTCTTGAATAACGGAAAATTTTATTGATAAATGTTCTTTAAACTCTTCAAATAGTTAGAGCACTATAATACGGTCAATTTCAGGGAGTATAAAAAAATTTCTTCGTCTGTGAGTGGAGATACAAGGTCAAACACAAGAAAATATCTTCATTTGGCCAGAATTTTTGCCGGATTCTTGAATAACGAAAAATTTTATTGATAAATGTTCTTTAAACTCTTCAAATAGTTAGAGCACTATAATACGGTCAATTTCAGGGAGTATAAAAACATTTCTTCGTCTGTGAGTGGAGATACAAGGTCAAACACAAGAAAATATCTTCATTTGGCCAGAATTTTTGCCGGATTCTTGAATAACGAAAAATTTTATTGATAAATGTTCTTTAAACTCTTCAAATAGTTAGAGCACTATAATACGGTCAATTTCAGGGAGTATAAAAACATTTCTTCGTCTGTGAGTGGAGATACAAGGTCAAACACAAGAAAATATCTTAATTTGGCCAGAATTTTTGCCGGATTCTTGAGTAACGGAAAATTGTATTGATAAATGTTCTTTAAACTCTTCAAATAGTTAGAGCACTATAATACGGTCAATTTCAGGGAGTATAAAAAAATTTCTTCGTCTGTGAGTGGAGATACAAGGTCAAACACAAGAAAATATCTTCATTTGGCCAGAATTTTTGCCGGATTCTTGAATAACGAAAAATTGTATCGATAAATGTTCTTTAAACTCTTCAAATAGTTAGAGCACTATAATACGGTCAATTTCAGGGAGTATAAAAAATTTCTTCGTCTGTGAGTGGAGATACAAGGTCAAACACAAGAAAATATCTTCATTTCCTACTTTACATCATCTCTCTATTACCATGTTAGACTTATTAAATTTACACAGTAGGTTCCTGCTTCAGCAATAAAATTTGTGGTTTGAAAACTTAGTTTTAAATTAGTTTAAATTTTAAAGTCTCTATTCTATATAACATTTATCAATACAATTTTTCGTTATTCAAGAATCCGGCAAAAATTCTGGCCAAATGAAGATATTTTCTTGTGTTTGACCTTGTATCTCCACTCGCAGACGAAGAAATTTTTTATACTCCCTGAAATTGACCGTATTATAGTGCTCTAACTATTTGAAGAGTTTAAAGAACATTTATCAATAAAATTTTCCGTTATTCAAGAATCCGGCAAAAATTCTGGCCAAATGAAGATATTTTCTTGTGTTTGACCTTGTATCTCCACTCACAGACGAAGAAATTTTTTTATACTCCCTGAAATTGACCGTATTATAGTGCTCTAACTATTTGAAGAGTTTAAAGAACATTTATCGATAAAATTTTTCGTTATTCAAGAATCCGGCAAAAATTCTGGCCAAATCTCCAAATGAAGATATTTTCTTGTGTTTGACCTTGTATCTCCACTCACAGACGAAGAAATTTTTTTATACTCCCTGAAATTGACCGTATTATAGTGCTCTAACTATTTAAAGAGTTTAAAGAACATCTATCAATACAATTTTTCGTTATTCAAGAATCCGGCAAAAATTCTAGCCAAATGAAGATATTTTCTTGTGTTTGACCTTGTATCTCCACTCACAGACGAAGAAATTTTTTTATACTCCCTGAAATTGACCGTATTATAGTGCTCTAACTATTTAAAGAGTTTAAAGAACATTTATCAATACAATTTCCGTTATTCAAGAATCCGGCAAAAATCCGGCAAAAATCCGGCAAAACTCCAGAAGATGAATCCGAGGTTGTGGAAACATTTGTGACAGATTTGGAAACATGTTTTTTGGCTTTATATGTTCGTGAACTGAGCTGGATTTGCCCCTCCTGTGAAATATTTCCCTGATTCATGGAATGAATGAATGAAATGAACATTGTCTTAGAATGCCATGTACTGCGCTAAAACCGATTGGGATCGATTGGTATTGATACCAGAAGTATCCCTGGGAGTTTGGTGTGTCAGAAAGGGCTCTGGGGCAATGTTTCCATTCTGGTTTCAGAGTAGTTGAGAATGTGGAAACATTTGTGACCGATTCCGCACATGCCGCGATTTCCTTTTGTCCCTGAAGAGAGATGGTGGTCACAGTATCGAATCATGGTGGCATTTCTGGCATTCGTGCCATTGTCCAGTATTGATGATGCGTTTGAAGCTCTGTCAGTACTTATCCTTTACTCGGGCCAAGCCCACTGTTCAGGAGTATTTCAGGGCTACTCGTGAGCAGCAGGTGACAACTGATTTCCGGTAGCCGTTTCTTTAAAAGAAACTTTCAGACTTTTTTTCTCAAAAGACTCACATTAAAAGTAGTTTGACTTTCTATTTTGTTTTCCTCTAAAAGTTTTATAAAAACAAATAATATTGAAAAGGTGATCATGATTAACTCATTGTGTTAGATCAGATGAGAGGTGGAAATATTCTAATCACCTAGGTATTCTAGGGGATGACTGAATACCTACTCAGCTTGACATTACTTTAACTCAGTGCATCAGGATTTCCGGAAACGCGAAGAAAAGGTCAAGAAACGTCCTAAACAGGATTAATAATACACACACACTGAGATACTGATGGGAATCAACGAGTGACTCTACTTTGATAAATTATTTGTACGAGTAAAATATATTCGCAATACGCCCTAAAATTAATAAGTTGGCCATCCACTGCCTTCGACACTATTATATCTAAATAAGATTAAGCTAATATTATCAAATATTTGTTAATTTTAATATTATTATTTAGAAATAATCAACAAACCGTTCGATTTTCCATGAATGATATAAACTCTTCGTTTTGTTTTATAGTTTTAGGGAAATTGGTGGCCCAGTATTCACAATTATCGGGTGTTCCGTCCAACATCTGACAGAGAACAGGGGTTAAAAATAAACTTTAAGCAAAAGTTTCGTAACATAATATTAAGTCGCTTGCACCCTGAAAAAATCACGATTTGATAGTCAGATAAGTATATTAGCTATTCTACCATATTGATCCATTTCTTCAAATATCTTTCGTTTTGTTGTTATTGTGTAATATTATGTTGAGATTTGCTTACTACTATTTGTTTTTTTGTGATATTTTAACTTACCGGTTCATAAGACCTCGGTACAGTGTGTACTGGTATAGGTTGCCATACATCAAGGGGGCTGTTAAGTGTATTTTCCTGAAACAGTGGCAGTTTAACTTCTTATCTCTACATCGCCTGGATTCAGCAGAATTAGTAATTGCGGTGCAAAATATCAGGTTACCATTGATTGTGGTTTATGCATGTCATAAAATGTCTCCTGAAGAGCCCAGAAAGTTCCTATTGTATCGAAGATACTGGCATACTGATATACTGAATACTGATATACTGAAATACTCACAAAGAAAAAAATTAACGCCTTAATTTGGTAATTGGCCAAATTGGTGCTCAGCTTCCAAGGCCTATGATCATATTTGATGCATGATGTCGCATCTAAGTTGCTCAGTATTTTAATAAACAATTTTGAAGATCTTTTCATTTTTTCAAACAGATCTCAAGAGCAGATTTCAAAAGGGTGGTCCTTGCTCGTGCGTAGATATGACGTCAGAAGGGAAGGTGCAGCGCATCTAATTTCAATGTACAAAAATGCTGCATCAAAGAAAGTGTTTAAAAAGAAACGGAAAAGTCTAGGATAATCCAGAATTGAAAATGAGCTTACTTTAGGAGGGAACAGCCCAGCAAGCATACTTTCTGCACTCATTAGGGTTCTGTCTCTATCCGTACTGCGTGCATACACCTGAAAATTTTGTTAAGAGCTTTTGTGCAAGCGATGAGCTACGATTTTGGTATGCACAATGAATAAAAAGTTCTGAGATAACGAAAGATAAATGTAATATTCTTGTATATATTTTCAAGTGTGACACAAATTCAATGAGTGTCATCTTTTAAGGATATCCCGGACCTAGTAATCTTATAAACTGAATGGTAGATATCAAGGACCTCCAAGTCATAGAACGTCGTTCCTTTAAGGCCCTAAATTAAAGGCGCATACTCAAACGTTATACCAGAATAACCTAAATCATAAATGACACACCTAAAAAGGTCAGATATGTTGAATGTTGCTACACGACACACGTACGTTACATGTTTAATGTATATATTATGTACATGAAAATACATGAGCTAACGCCACTTTTTCGGGTAAATTTAGACTAATTGTACATAATTTAAGTTTTATAAATCTCTTATAATGTGCATTTATAAGACAATACATTATTACATGTGTAAAGAGTGCCCTGAAACCAGCATGTATGTCGCATGATACATAATACATATACTGATATACTTATTCAGACTAAAACAACACGTTCATCAAGTAAAAATTGAGGTTCCTTAAAAGAGGCTTACCTCTCCATATTTATAATTCTCGTCTAAATCAAGGAAGGTTTTCTGTTTTGGATCAGTGTAGCGAGCTCGGAAGAACTTGCCATTCAGCAAATGGTTCTCCATCCCAATCTGAAGATGAAAAGAGCAGATTAGAACAAAACTTGGCGATTTTGCGAACCTACGATAATCGATAACCTTTGTTCATATCACAGAAACTTTTTTACATATAAAGAAATTATCCATAAAGGAAAATATCATATTATTATGATCGGATATTTATTGCAATCTACATCAGTAGTTGTTAAAATAAAGTATAAAGGGTAATCGTCAGTATTACGCACCGGAGTGAGTTCGCCAGGGCCCATAGGCCAACTTGACACGTTATAAATATCACTAGGTATCATGCCGATAGCTGATCTGTCGCCGTGCCTGAACATCTGAAATAGTACATGTATCGTACACTCAATGTGTTATCCAGACGCAAGATGTTGCTTGTGTTGTTGCAGAAAAAGGCACGTATACCATTCACAGGACGAGATAGATTAGGCCCGGCCATCCTCAAACCAATTTTAACGGTTACTTTTTACAACCAGATACCCGACTTTACTTAATTAAGGTATAAAACATAACATTCACTTACGAGGATAGAAAGTTTAAGCTTGTCCGCGGACAGGGCCGAAAGGAGCAGACTGAAAAATAACGCTAAACTAAACATCCTACACTGCAAATAGTTTCGGTTACTGGTTAGAGTGAAACACATTGTTAAAACATTGTTTAATTGTCTGAATTTGAAAGTTACTTGAAATTTATTCCAGGAATTTGATGATTCGAGTTTAAAATGATGTTGTATGTCAATCTACCTGTAAATATTGATGTGTTTAAAATTCGAAGAGAAGGCATACGTCTTACAGTCCACAGTGTACCTAATATTTGTTGAAATTATATACTACGGTACAGTCCTCAGACCGTAAGGCAGGCACTGCGCTGCTAGTAAAATTAATGTGAAGCACTACATAAAATACAAAATAGCAAATTCGCACTCAGAATAAAACAAGTTGTGATCACGTTATAATGTAACATCCAATAACTCATTTAGTTTCGAGCACACAATATCTGAAATAAAAATAACATTCTATCTGAATACATAACGTAAACTAGTCAGTATACAGAAAACGAAGTACAAAACGGTCTACATAAAGCGGTGTGTCAACTGTCATAACGGTAGAGGAGAACAAAGCATCAGTCAGGAGGAAGTGTAATCACCGTATCATGCTGCTAAAACAATGGTTTTAATGTAACAGAATATAATACCCTCTCCAGAAAGTCGAGGTGATCTAATGACGACTTAAAGTTCGATGTGAAATGTCCAAAACGTGATTGGAGTGACTCTCATTTACTAGGAATGTGTCGTTAGTTAATGATTTAACTACATGAGGTGGAACAAAAGAACTAAGCTCGCTATTATTAGAGCACGTAAAAGCAGTGTAATACATCGTGTTATAATAATGAACTTGTCTCATTAAAATAGAACGCCCGCAATTTAAGAGTGTTGGATGTCCTGTTAATATGTTCTTTCGTAGCTTAATTGAACTGTAATGGGGTCTCAAGACTCAATTACTAATTAGCAACGGAGCACACCTTTATATCTTTCTTTCTTTATTTCTTTAGATATTTCATAACCCCATGCGGAATACCATGCTGGCTCAGCCACTAAGTGTACACAATGTAATACCATGCTACAATGACTGAAGTAAACCAATTCCCCTTCTCACGGGGCTATCTTGCTTCCAAAAGTTCCGTACTTTTTCACAAAGTCAGCAGTGTACCAGCAGGTAAGTTTCACTTTAAGGTTCCTTGAAGCAGCGTGTTTCAGCCCCACTTTCACCAGGGCTCCAGCCACACCTCGCCCCCTCATGGCGGGCGGACAGAACGTGTGCAGCATGTCCAGAACATTGTCTGTTATTGAGTACTCTAAAAAGGCGGGGTTTCGAGAAACTTCTGGATCGTTGAACGAGAATTTGTTCTCTTCATGAGTTATTGCTTCCTCGACTGCGCTTGTATCAGACATTCGTGAATCTGTAGTTGTTCATTTGATATACAGAGTTAAATTAAGTCTGGCAAGTTAAGATCCTTTACTTAACCTGGGTAATAAATAAGATATTATGGTACTCCGTCTTATTTAATTAAAACTCGCCTTTTACTATGGGTGTCTAGAATATTTTATAATCGATTATCAAAGAAAATGCGAATTTACGCTTGAAGGGAAAAACATGAGTGATACAAAATCTGGTTTTTGTTAAGTTATTTTGAAATTTGACCACCCTAAGGAGTCATTATCAAAAAGTTGTTGCCTACATTTGGGAAAATCTGTCGCTTGCATGAAAACGTTTCAGGGACCAACTAGTAGTCAAAATGATAAGTAAAACTCCAAGTGTCCAAGAAATTGCAGATAACATATCAATATCAAAGCAAGTACAATAATATTAACAGTATTTATTTACATATATTACATGCAAAATAATTAGTTCTCTTAACAGAATGAAACAGAAAGTAGAAATTTGACATCTAACTTTCGGTCCCGAAATTTGTGAAATAATTGAATAAATATTGTTGTCTCTTGACACCACTTTAGAGTTGGACAAATTCCTGCTACTGCAACACATACTATATATTCAAACCCTAAATCAATAACTACTATAAAGATAAACAAACCATATAAAACATGCAATGAAAACAAAGCTTAGTAATAGGGGTTGTTCGCATATTACGTTATCAGCCGAGGGGGAGAGGGGTTTCCAATTGACTACGCTATTGTAATTTGGACACAATAGCTATGTGTAAAACTGATTACGGAGGGGGGCCGGGGGGGGGGGTTAAAAATTGGCTTAAAAGTGATTACGTAATATGTGAACGGTCCCTTAATAAATCAAGCTGTAGCATCTCGCTCTAATAACTTTTGCTGTTCAATAAAAACAGTTAGATGTGGGTTAAGGTCCTGGTATTTGGGCCGCATTTTTGTCAGTAACATGAGAGAAAACTCAACAAAGTTAAGGATGAAACCAACAAGAACGGTGGTCATGATGAGCTTAACGTCCCAGTTAAGAGTGTAGGTCAGACCGTTATCTGAGTACCAAACATACACTCTGCCCTCTTGAACGTACCACCTAATTAGCGTATAGAAGTGCACTATGGCACCCACTGCTCCCAGTACCAAACTAACAGCCTCTCTGTTTTTACCGATTAGTTTTAACACCACATTTTCTCTGTTTCTTAGAGGAAAGAACCTAGAAAACACTAACAGGACAGCGAGAATAAAACAGAGGATCTCTTTTAGAGCGTTAAGGAGACCTTTTGATATGGGGTCTGGAGGGTCCGAATAATAAATGATAGATGTGACAGTGTAGACGACTGAGACGATAAGAATGATTACTGATACTATGTTTCCTAACACTTTCCTTCCCCCTTTAACGGGACTTCTGAACCCAATGTAGGGTAAAGTGTTGTATCTGACAGGATCTGGGGAAATAGCACTGATCGAGATATCTTCTGGTACATTCTTGTTTGTCTTGTCGCTGCTGATTATATTTTTATCAAGATCATCTGACTGATAGTCTGTAATGTGAGTGTCCGGATTCGTTGTCTCAGTTTCTCTGTTTGTATCTGAGATAGCTTCTAGTTTTACTTTCTCTACTGAATTATCATTACTGATAGACATACTATTACCTACCTGAAATGTTTTTAAATTGTCACTAAAGTTCATCTTCAATCTTATACCATGTTCATGAAACGTAGGTAAAAACCACATATTAGAAATTTTGAAGAGCATCATTTTTAGAAATTCATGGAATTTTCTTAAGAAGAATCTACAATGAATAGAGGCCTTTTAAATTTGTATACCACAAGTGTTACAATGAAACGCTAAAAATATAAATTGGTTTCACAAATTAAACGTATAGACTGATATTATTTGAATAGATGTTAATGTTAATTGTTAATGTTATATAACATTATAAATAGGAGGACACTGTAATGATGCTCATTACTGTTAGATTGTAGGTAACAGCTTGTTATAGAGAGGGGATGTCATGAAAAGGTGCAAATATCATCAATCTTAATAAATTAATACTTCAATGAAAAACTAAGCTAAACTACAAAAACATAAAACATTTAAAGTTTATTAATTGTGATTCAATTCTATAAAACAGAATCTTAATAAGGGTAGAAAGTGTGTTTAACCCACATTACTTAGCAAAATATTCCAAATCACAAATTCCTCTGAACTCTGGAGTAGGGGTCATCAACTCCTTTTCCTCAAGTAAGATTCGGTTTGATAAACATATATTTATAATCTTAATTAAAAGCAGCTATCATTCTGCCAATCACATTAGGACATGAAACAGCTAAATCAATAACTGTCTTATTTCCAAATAAGTCCGATGTTTGACCCATTTCAAAGCTTCGTTCTCATCTGCTTGAAGAGACCTTCTAACTGCATAGCCTGCATCAGGTTACCAGATATTTTCATCTGACCAGACATGAAGGCGGCTGTAGACTGTATCTCTCCCTTGACTATCTTGAGAAATACTTCCTCCGTCATTTGGAAAGTCACATCAGCTGGAGTGTCGTCGTTGTTAGAGATGGTGCCTGGGTGATGTGTTGATTAATTATCCAATTACAATTAAGAGGTAGTGTCATGACGAGAAGATCAGAGTTGCATATCCTTAAGTTTTAATTACAGGGTAGCCACACCCGTGTAGCTAAGCCGGGAGTAAACGTTCTTATTAGCCTTAGCATGATTTCTAACTAATATATCATGGCAGCTAGTTAACCGAAGTAAAGACGTAAGTGGTGAGTGGCCAAGTGACAGAAGAAGGATCTCGAGGTCAAGTGTTCTATCTCACCTTACAAAACAGAAATAGAAAGCTCTTATGAATAAATAGTTACAAGTCTGTATAATTAATAATCGATAACTCGAACATTTTACCGAACATCGGATTACAGGTTTTAATCATCACAATATAAGAAGGGATGGTCTGGTTTTTTATAAGTCTTGAAGATTAAAGAGGAATTTAAAATGGTCGTATAAAACTGACTTATTATAAAAAATATCACACGTTTAAAACATTGTTACTCGGACTCACTATTAAACTATGTGAAGTATGTGCCGCAGAGAGGGCCTCTCCAGTTGGAGGGCAACTAAACTTACCAGGTAGCTAATTACCTAATTACCTAACATGCCAGCTCTTTGTTAACCATGGTAATTACTAATTAAGGAACGCTACCATAAAACAAAGAAGTCGGGAAAGGGGGAAATTGTAACGGCCACAATGGGAGATTTAATTGTGGAAGGCGCCCAATTAGTAAGAAACAACGTTGATTTTAATTGTAATAAACTATACTACTAATTAGTTAGACTTTAAAGCAGTTCTAAAATATTACTATGCATTTTGTGGAACCAATTTATCCAAGATAAATACGGGAACGTGCAGTGCCATCACGACCACTGAAATACGGATTTTAGTGATATGAATACCTAAATTATACTACAGGAAGGAAAAATAGATTAAACCAAAACCTTTATCTTTCATGTCGAAGGTCCAATTTTCTCCTTCTCCGAAATTCAACGCAAAAACAATATTTGTTTTATGCATGACTTCTGGGGTTAGGAGTGGTCTGAATTTGTCCATCATTGCTCCTATTCCACCAGCAGACTTCTGCCCCAAGGAGACACCCTGAGAAAATATTTGAATTACAACCAGAGATTCTTATTACCTAAAGCAAACTTCAAAGAAACTGCCTGGAGGACTTAAGTGGCGGAATGGAGATGATTCCAAATCCGGAATAGCTTTTAAAGCTATAAACAATGTACTCTAAACTGAGAAAAAAAGAATTGTAATTTACAGTTTCAGGGTCAGGGACTGGGTAGCTATCACCAATGAAGAAGTCTGGTGATAAAGGTGTTCCTGGACAATGGGCATATTGATCCAAATCTGTCACTCCTTCTTCTTTCATTATCTGATTGAAATCAATTGTTTAATTGTATCATTTCGTATGATTCTATTTCTAAATTTTAAAGTTATCATTATGAACGATCAACGAAGTATTTCTGTGTTAATGCCGATTCTGTTTGGAAGAAACACATATGGATAAGATGGATTGTTGAATGTGTACCTCCTCATCTATACAGAAATTAGCAGTGAACTTTGCTGGATCGCGGCACAACATAGCATACGCAGCGTCGGCCATGATAGCCGGAGTTCTGGAGGAGTTCATCATCGCATCTCCACCCAACATGTCTACAGCTGCCGTTGCTATGGCTGTTGCTGGCCATATTGCGTTTACACCTATAGATAATCAAACTGTTAACTTGATATACGTCCCAGGACCTAGGCACACGTCTTACAAATAATTAAGCTTGTTAAATGTGCATATTAGTAATCTATCACAAAATGGCTTATAATTTATATGTTATACGTGAACTATCCCTTAGTAGAAACAGTGCAACAATGCAAGAGCTGGAGCAACTCAACAATAACAATTCAGTATGTACACAGAGTCGAACTTAATAACTTGCTAACAAAAGAGCACAGTAATCTTACCTATTTTGTAATCTCTAAACTCCTCAGCCATACCAAGAACACACATACTCATCCCGTACTTAGCCATTGTGTAGGCAACATGGTTTTTAAACCAAATAGGACTCATATTAAGAGGGGGAGCATTATTGAGCACGTGAGCGTGTGTACTTTTCTTTAGATACGGAAGGCAGGCTTGTGTAACCGCGTAGGTCCCGCGAGTGTTGATTCCCATCATTAAATCGAACCTGTTAGAAGAGTGTCTAAGTGTTAATATGAATATTATAATGTTGGATCAACATAATTAATTTTGTTCAGGCATGAGTAAGTTTAGCATTTATAAAATACAGCATAGTGTATGCAGTGTACAAATAAATATTTCAACAGAAAAATTGATATCATGCTTAAAATTAACCTTTTCATGGGAGTTTCTGCTGTTCCGGTGAGAGAAATAGCACTGGCATTGTTGATGCAAATGTCAATACCACCAAACTTATCAACTGTTTCCTGTACCGCTTTTTTCACTGCATGCTCATCCCTGAAAAGTGGTATATGACGATGAAAATAATGTAAGAATGAGTCAACTTGCCCAACAAGTTAACGTTTACTCGAGATCTAGCCATTTCTAATTTCTATGGACAAATTAAGACAGCTTAAAAGAAGTGCATGGGTTATAAAATTAGAATAGCTCAGTGTCTAATTAAAAAGATTTACCAACCTTATATCTACCAAACAAGGCAATGCTTTGCCACCTGCTGCTTCTATTTTTTCAGCAACAGTATAGATTGTCCCAGGAAGTTTAGGGTGTGGTTCTGCTGTTTTAGCGGCAATTGCAACATTTGCACCATCACGGGCACACTTGACTGCAATAGCCTCACCAATCCCTCTAGATGCTCCAGATATGAATATTGTACGCCCAGCAAGCATGATAACTAAGGTTATAACCAGTAATATAAATAACAAACAATTTAAGAATCAAAGAAAAAATATGTTTTCTAGTTCAAGAAGCAGTCTCTGCAGGATTTAGACGCAATGAATGCATCATAACTGAAACAATGTTAGCTGACTATAATGAGTGTCGGAGCTAATCGATTTGACAAATACATCAAGAAGCTCCATGATCTTACACAACTATCAAACACATGAGTTTCAGTAATTCATAATAACCAATTAGATTTTGGTGATAAATGGTAGCAAACTATTGAGATTTATCTACTCACTAAAGAGAAGATGCACGTGTTTGAAGATGAGCTGATTCCACGTCTACGTAACAGTTTTATAATATTCTACTGAAATTTTCACCAAATGTGTTGACATTTTATTCAAAATCTTCACCATCTAGATTATCAAAATGAAATCGTTATACTTACTGCTCGAAACTCAAAATTTGTTACTTTGCACTTATTTTTGAACAAAAATAGCATACATTCCAAATGCAAAGATATCACCACATGATTTGATAGCAAATCTCCATTTCAACGATTTTTCATCAAAAGATGACTTGTTGGGTGTTAGCGCTCACTGACTATAATTCTAAAGATTATTGTTGTATTTATGTGTGCAATGATTGTTGGAAGTAAGTGGCATTTTGATCAGTTTTGTGATAATTACCTTGTGTTAAAGTGTTTTACTATACATTTAAATTGGCTATATGTTCGGTTGGAATGGATATTTTTGGATGCGATTAAACCTTTTTTCAAAGAATACTACTAGCTTCCTCCCTGTTACATTACCACTGTAGGCTTTCTAGTACATAATAAGTTGTACGAGTCAGTCCTTGAGACTGTAAGAAGACTTATCTACTATGACATTTGTCATAAATACATTACATCTTTATATTAGGATACTAGAAAATGCGAGTCTCCATATGCGGCGAAAAATTGGTGGCACCAATACAATTGTGTTCCTGCTTTATAATACAGATTGGCATAAACGGTGGTTATTGGTTGTTAAAGATTCTGTCTAAATTTAAAATTTTCAACTAGGCAAGTCACAACAAGGTATTACAAAAGGGCGATAACTGGACTAGCATTCGAAATATATGACATAGCTGAGCCTATAAAGTAGAAGTTTTAATCTACTTAGGTCGTCCGGCAAGTAGGGAGGGGGGGGGGGTGGTTTTGGAATTTCGGACAAATCTGGAGAGGGGGAGGGGGGTGGTTTCTGAAAATCCGGACGTCCGGAAATTTTGGCAGAATTAACGAAAAAGTCCCATTTATTTCAACTCTACACTAATTACTCTGTTAGTTTAGCATTTAGATCCCTCAGGTATTTTGAACGAGTACTTGAATGTAACTGTGTTAAACAATGAATTTGAGTTGGTTTTATTTGTACTCTTAAGAGTAGCTGGAAATCCGGACACACCCGGACAGGGGAGGGGGGGTGGTCTGAAAATCTGCGATTATGGCAGACGTCCTGAGTAGATGGCCCCTTAAAAAAGACTCTGGCGGCCGCACACACGATATACTTTAAGAATTGTTCAATATTTTAAAATCCTCGGACAGTTTCGGTGATGAACTTTATTAGAATTTGTTTAGAATTGTTGACCATTAATGATCATTAATTTGTAGGTTTATAACCTACCAGGACGCGCGCCGAGTTGGACTCGAAACAAATATTTTACGAGTATCATCCGTTAACCATTAATGACAATTTCAGTATTGGCAACAACAAAAAATATTTACATTAATGGTCCTCCCCTCGCTCCTACTAAATCGATCGCCCAAATTTTAAGAAAATTCTTGTGAAAAGGCCCTTAGGGTATGATTCCGAATCATCCCCATGACGTAGGGTAAAAATGCTTCCCTGGAGAGTTATTGTATCACGTGGTGACCCCCACTGTCGCTTCACTATAGGGGGAGCCGCGCACTTCGTGCGCAGCGGGTCATACAACGTATGACAAGAAAGTTATGGGTTGGAGGACTTCACCGCTTCGACGCGCGGCCGCGCAAACTAGCATTCTTGCTTCGTCGATTGTTGCTCTGCTTTGCAAAGCAACGATCTCGACAGATTGACATCGTCAATCAAGTTATGGGCAAAACACCGATTTGGTCACGTGACATGCTAGTAAACCATGAATTCGATTGTTTAGGGCTCGGGTTATGGTTAGGGTTGTAGCGCGATGCACTACTGGGTCGCGCGCGCATCAAATAATGCTTCTCGCAACCACAGTAGTGTGCAAACCAACATTCGAACCACCAGCAGCTGGTGGTCAATTTCCTACGAACGCGACTTAATTTTGGTTCAGACTGGAGTCGAGCGCTACGTTATAGCTGTATATATAGCTCGTTTCACGACGAAATCTTCATTTATTGAGTTTGTCTGTCGATTATGTTGGAGTTTGTATTTTTAATTTTGTACTCGAATACTGTTAATTTATTTTTATTAAATAGTTGTTTTTCGTAACAGCACACTAGTACGTGATTCCTTTTGTTATTCTTACATAATTAGGAAGATTTTAAACTTCAATACTATAAATAATCAAATATTTACGAACACCGATCATCGGTATGTACCCATTATGCATTATTGGTATCGAAGTCTTATGTTGAGCTGGATATCGAAAAATTTCAAAATGTAAGGCTGTAATTTTGTACTTGTTTAGGTGTAGAACTAGGATTAACAACTTGATTGCTAGGAGTAGGAGCTAGGAAGAGATTTTAGTAATGATGACCCTTTAAACTTAAACTATATCTCTAGTGCACTTCGATCGGTTTTCTTTTCAATTTTGATAAAACCTAGTCGTGATCTTTGTTTCAGAACTTCACTAATTTATTAAGTTTTGTAGTTTATATAGACGGAACATGAGCAGATACCATTTGATTAATTATAATATATCCGATTTGAAATATTATTCTGTCGGAGTTTGAGTTCAACATGGACACATTTATTAACATCCCGCATGAATTTGTGTCGTCTTTACAATTTTTTGCGCTGAATTTGTATGCTTATTAATACTGCCGCATGATATCAGTAGCTGCTATAAAACTAGAGTGTATAGCATGTGTATTATACGATGTTTCCCACGTAAAAATCGCAGGTTGTTTTGGTGCGGCTGGGCACTCTACTGGTGATTGACACCAGAGACTGAGAAAAACTTTGACATAATTTTCAAGTTTGATATGACCTAATAACTACCACATTTACAGGAAGTATGGTAATACATTCTTGTCAGCTGTCTGGGCAAATCTTCTCTCGCAGAATTGGATTAAAATTTAATGTATTTTATTTCTCACTTCCAACGATGTCGCAATTATTAGGTAAAATTTGAAGTTATTTTGAGATTCAATTAATAAATTTTAGATTGCAGCTTGATATCACTTAGTATGTACATTGTACTCGGTTGCAAGGGTAGAACTTATGAGAATACTATCATAGTATTATTGCACTATACTATTATGGGTTCATCAAAGTTCGTATCATGATTTGTCACAATTAAACCATCGAGTCACTTGAGGAAACCCGTTAAAGCTCGCAATCGGCGACGAGATAAAGTTTGTGGTACCTCTAGATGTTAAGTTAACTCTTAGGCTCCAATCTTCCTTACTATACCTACCACTCCTTCTTCCTTGATAAGAAGTAGATCCATCTGGAACAGTGAGCTGCTTCTTCCCTTCTATCCCGTACTAGCCTACTCAGCTCTCTCCAAACCGTGAACAACTACTCCCGGTGCTAGAACTTTAACCGCATAATTATAACAGCACAATTCTTTCGCTTGAATCTCAGTCTGCTGTAAGACTGCTGTACCGGTAGAGTTTTTACTTGTATGATTCAGCAATCTGCTCTTTAGATGGTACCGTTACCTCCCGCCATAAGACTGTGCCGTCTTGGTGACCTTGAGAATATCATAAGGTCCGATATATAAAAGCACTATCCAATATCGAGACCCACTCAGGATCCCAAACCACGACTCCTTTCGGTCGTCTGTACTTGCTTTTTTCCTCCCAGCATGGACTAAGTCAATGATACTGTCTTACATCGCTGGCCTTGTTCTTATAAGTGTTCACTCGGCGCTCACAAGATAACATGTTCAGAGATCTGTTGCAGAACCTTGTCGTGCCGTCATTTATATACTCCTTGACTAAGAGCTACTTTACACCTACAGCAAAAATGTGCTAAATGATACCCATCCTCTCCTCACATTACTGTACTTGCACTTACCATCCTCATCTTCGCCATAGAGGTGGTTAAGAGGGTGACGTACACAGCATCTAGCACGAATCCAATAAGTGAGTCTACAGTGCGTGTCGAAATACATTGCATGTACCCTTATATATTAATTGAGACAGAATTTTAATAAATCAACAAATTCTTAAAATTTAAAAAGGTAGAATTTAATTCTATGGCATTTATTGAAACCTGCTTTTTTAAAGTTGAGAATTGGTTTCAATTTCTAGAATATCACGATAATGTTGACTCAAAACTGTTTCGGGCAGCTATCAAGTCTCAAGATATGACATAATTTGATAGAATGTTAGTACCAACGCTATCAGTGCATTGAAGTCGAGTTCTCGATACAGGTATTATAATTAGGTTCTATCGACCGTTTTTGTAGTCTTAACTCATTTTTATTTGTTATTATACGACCAATTAAAACCTAGCAAACCAGACTTCTTTATGTGCTAAATGTTACTTTAACCTTAATAATAGCAGCATTGTGGCAGATATCCAGTTACATTTTTTCCAGCCGTATATTATAAATATACAGGGTGGGCCAAAAGTCAGTGTGCAAACGTTGGCATTAATAGCTCAGTCACTGAGTGCCCAATTGAAATAATTGGTTCTGGTATGACTTACTACCACCACTGGTTCGAGAAATTTGTCAAATCGAAACATATTTGTGTTCATTGTTTTCAAAAGAAGGTTCATTTTCGCATTTATTTGATAGTTTGGATAATCGGATCGAGCCAAATTTTATTGAATTGTGTTTAGCCATTTAAATTACGTTTGCTCTAAAAAAATGAGAGTATATATATATTACTCATGCAACTAAGATAAATTGAGTATAAATACTCAATTTATCTCAGTTTAAGTTGCAAGTTATATAACTCATTTTCTAAAGGTCTCGTAAACTTTAATCAATTACAGAGGGTGTGGCCTCTTTTTCACTGAAAAGACGCCATCAGATTTCATTGCATTCTGGGACCAATTTTGGTGTGATTTAAAGTATCCTACAAATTGGTGTTTACTGTTTCGACTTTTGTAAAATCACTGTAACAATATAATCTGTATTCTTATAGTTTCAACCATAATAGTGAAATAGAGGGGCTGGCCAATAGCCACACCCTCTGTAATTGATTTAAGTCTACGAAACTTTCAGAAATTTGTGTGTAATTCGGAGATAAATTAAACAAGTTGTTATCGGCCACCATGTGTAAACGGAATGTTCTAGCAGACTGTATAATACTATAACATACATTTTCTTACACACACATAATCTAATCTCTGGAATGTTGCTATGATATCAATGGCAATGTTTTGATACTGTGTATTATCATGATTATGCCTTACAGGCCGATCTTCCGATGGAGTTTCGGTTGCCATGGCAACACATCAATATGATAAAGAATTTGTAAACGCAGTCACAACTCTGTCGTGTACACTGTACGGTGCGAGCGGTTATTTTATGATAGGTAACATCTACTTTTTCAGCATTTGCGGGATGACCAGTTCACACGTATATTTTCGCAGACACAACTTCGCATAAAATTATATCCAATTATTCTATAACCAATTATCTACACGGACTTCTGTCTAAATATGAATGAAATCGAGAAAACCAAATATTATATGTTTCATCCTGAAGTGCTGAGTTCTCAGGCAGTATAATCATGATCCTGATAGATATCGAAGTCTCCTTAAATGATTGTCTCTGCTGCTTAATATATCTGGATTGTCGTTGGGAGGCGATGCAGATTTGTTTACTTTTAAGGGGGAGGTTCTGCTCAGCAGGAGAAAGAGGTGATGCACATTTTGTATTTGTCTGACATGTAGGACTTGAGCCACGTTTCCGTAAGTGCAATAAACGGTAACGAGTGGTTTTTGGATTTCTCCTGAATAAGAGCTGAGATTTTTGGCACTTCCCATATACTCGCACTTGATGCACTAGGATTCATGGACTGGACATTTAAGACGAGGCATGAGGAATAACGGGCACGTGCAGTGTATCCTCTGAGGCGGTAGGAACTGCTGGTAGTGGTATAGTGGGAGCGCTGTTCCTGGCTGAAGAGGTGGATGTGGTCTGGGGTAGTGGTAGGGCATTTGAGTTTGAGGGAGGCTGGACCGGTGGTCGACTATTTCTGATAGGAGTCCGATCCTGGTTTGCATCGTTTCCAACAGTCTCCGTAACTATAACAATCCTGTGATCTGGTATTGGTTACTTAAACTTATTTAATTGAACATGGTGTTTGACGTTGGAGCTTATCACTTTACAGTTTACATCACCTTACCTGAATAATTGAATAGGATGAATACTGAATAGCATTTATTAATGCTTTCTTTACCCGGAGAACTCTGTTTTACTTGTCCCTCGGTAACACAAGACCGTGAGCCGTGACACTTAGTCACAATTATTAAGTCATAAGTCAGAAAGAAGTCCATAATTCGTACACCCATGATTATGTTAAATATAGATTGACTCCAGTCTCCATTGTTCAATGACTTCGTCAAAATGTTTTAGGAAAATGTTCACAGATTTGTTAATTTTGGACTCAAATTAACGTTGAGAAAAACTGAATTTATTTTGGAAAAATCCCGGCTAAAACCAAAATCCCGGCCGGTACCGGTACAAAATCGCCAAATACCAGCCGGTATTCCGGCTGCGCCGGTTATATCCCGGTCGAGTTCTGTCTGAGACCTAATTTTCTCTATTTCTCGTGCAATTTTAGATCAGACACAGTCATCTAAATTATTCAATAAGAAGGTTTAAATTATAAGCAATTAAAAACAGTTGGGACTATCATTGTTTGTGAGTACATACTACATATTATACGAATATAAGGTGGTTAATATAATTATAACACATTTAATATAAAACATTTAAGACACATTTTTTTATTCCTGCATTGTACTCATTGATTTAACTAGTAATATTATATAAAAACCACATTTCTATTTGTACAGGGAGCTGCTGGTAAACTACCGTCGCTATACATCGACTATGACTACAATCCTACTTTTAAAAACAAACTACATACATATCTCACATTTGCGAGGACTACTTCATCACAAGCAAAAAATCGACATTGGTAAATAAAGGTAGGTTCTTTTCACTGACTTCGTTAAATGAGTTACATATTTTCACACAAATTACGTGCGTGATCATTAAAGGGTTGCTTGTGTGCAGTTACTTCTGGGCCAGCGCCACCCTGTTGGGAGTTTTCACATAAGTAAATTTGCCGATAATACAATTTTACTCATTCTGGACATGTTACCTATATTATCATTATACTAGTATTTCTTCAGGTCTGTCTTCTATAACCACGATGAAAAGAAAAGCTGGGCGAAAACATTTGAGACTGCAGATTGCAGAACTGGAACACTCTATTTGAAGACAGTGGCTGCTGAGTGCTGAGCTGCATCAAATCTATCAGCATCATGTAACTTCGATCAGGAACAGACTCCATTTCATTTCCGACAACTAGCACCTGTTTTCCCTAGACTTACCAAGTATTAAGAATTAAAACTTAAATGAAAGGGTGCACAATTTATCACTAAATATCTTCCTCTTTTAATTCTAATCAACACACGGTTTCGTCTTTGTTTCACCCAATCGTGCTGATAATCAGTAATCATGCACTCTGCACTCTAACTTCGAGATGTTTCAAAAGGGCTCCCGACGAGTTGAATTAGATCAATATTTTCTTTTGATACATAGATACTGATTGGGAGGTTCATCATACTATTCTTGTCACATGGTAACGATTAACGATTAGCTGATCAGCTTCCAGCATCGACAGGCCGAAATCCATAAATATAATCAGTTGTAATTTAATATTTATCATCGTCCGGATCATCATAATATTTTAATTTAAAGTTACAATAAGAAAGATAATTTAAGAGAAATGTTTTGAAAGTGCCTGATTTCGAGTATAAGATCTGTACTGATACATTAATTTTCAGATTGTTATTATAGTTTATTTGTATTTTTTATATTATCTTATCCGCACAAGTTCGGAAGCCATCTGAACGCTATTGCCAGACACAGGCATATATTTATTTTGGGGTATCATGCTCTCAGAAATTTCAACTCAGTCCGATATTATAGTTATACTAACCTGCATTGCATAAGGTTAATTGTCTCGCAGTCTAGTGCATAAACCTTTCATTTTGTATAAACCCTTTATTTTGATTGGGAAAACTTTAGTTTAATGTGGTTACCGTCTCTAAAGTTGGCATGATAGTTAATAAACTCTTATCTATTATGTCACTGAAGATGACGCCTTGCAACATGTTTGACGATAGCCTGTAGATTGATAGTTTGATCTAAGTATTTACAACAATTCATCTAGTTTGATTGATTCAAAGGGAAACAAATTCCTCTCTTATCTATTATGACTATATTTAAATTCAATCCTGTAAAGTGATACTCCTTTTTTAGTAATTTAAACATGTGTTTTCTCCTTCTGATTTTTAAACTATTACCGGTCACGCTGAATAATAATGACATCAGTGAATTTAAAGCTATCGTTAACATCACTCAGAAAATGCGCGTCTTTAGCGCGTGTCTTGTTGTTATGCATCAATCCTTCGGTAGATCGGCGAGATGCACCACTGTGCCTCACCGAGCTGCGAAGGATTGACATCGTGAATCAATGGTTAGGGTTACTGGGCGGCGCTCAGCCTGTCATTCCACTTAATCTCTATTCGGTGTTTATGACCATGATAGCCTGAGGTCCCCAGGTGAGGGTTAGGGTTGTGGTAATATAAGCATAAGGTATAAGGTATAAAAGGGTTTTGGCTAGCTTCGGGGTTTATATGGTTAGGGTTAGGGTTGGGATTAGGGTTTGTGTAAAACCGTTTTGTACGGCTGCAAAACCATAAAAACCAAAGTTACGTGTGTTGTAATATGGTATTTAGAGATATCTTTTAGGATATCTTAGTTTTAGTATAACGTTTACGGGACGTAGGATTTAGTATGTATTTCCGGGTATATAATAACCAAATGTTTTTATATGTTCGTATTTGGGAGTTACACATTTTGAGTGTAAGTCGGTTGGCTGGCAGAACTACTGTCAGACTAACTGTCTGAAACGAGCCGTCCGCTCACTTCGCACCTGACTTACAGCCAGGCCTGTGGTTGGTCCTCGCGACCACAGCGTGACTGCTAGTGGAGTGCTCATTGGCGAGACGGCGTGTCACGTGGTGCAAGCAGATGCGTTGTGCCGTCACGCAGTGTGGCGTGACGAGTTTTGAGAGTATACCCGGAGAGCCGGAAGTGGAGAGCTCACTTCTTAGTTGCCCCTTAATCATTTTAAGGGATTCAAACTGACGGTAGCCAGTCTTACTGAGCACTACCATTTGTGATTAGACACGTCGAGTGATCTATTAGTCACGTCAGTTGATTGGAGCGAACACTTAGAAGTTTTTATCTGTTGACGTTCACTTTGTATTACTTTTCCTTTATATTTAATTAGATCCTTTTTAGTTACTCGTTTCATTTCTACTATTCGGTACGCCCTGCCGTTCGTGCTACGTGACTAGAGCTTGACTAGCATACACTAAATACCTAAGAAACTCCGTTTTCTATATCTGGAGGCCACTTTTAGTGTTGCTATTTTTGCTCGTAATCCTTCTAGTATCACCTATATTCAGTATAGTTTCGTTTAAGATCCTAACGTTTCTCATTTGATAAGCTAAGTTCGGTGTACATCGCAGTGCAGAAGAATTACGTGGAGATTGTTCGAGATCTTCAGTACTTCCTACTAGACTTGGTAAGTGTTGCTACACATTTTGTGGTACCTGTATATTCCAGTTGAGTGCGATCGTTTTGACGAGCACCTAGTTTACAGCCGCTTGTAGACTTCAGTACGTTATTACCTAGATTGTCAGTGAGATTTGCGTAGTTTTAGCAACCTTGCTTTTCGTACATCTACTCAGGAGTGATAGACGTAGAAGTTACAGTTCCAGTAAAGCAAAGTAAAGTCTTGACTAGAAGATTTTCCAGCAACGTGAAGAGTACGCCTGTTCCAGTACTTATCTACTCTATTTGTAAGTGTACTTTTACATTTAGATTCACTTTTTAGCATGTGTGATAGTTATACAGCTGAAATGGAGTGGGCGACGTTGATTTTAGAAAGGGGTAAGATTCAGTCTAGCGTTGATGAAATAATGAAGGAGATAGAGGGTTTAGATCCTGGTGCAGATAGCAATAGCATTTCCGAATTAGAAGATAAGTTGAAGGAATTACATTCAGCTTTAGAATGCCTGCAGGATAAGATTGATAATGCACGGCCTAAGCCAGTTAGCACAGTTACTAACGCCCCTCCAGCTAGTTCTAGCAGTAGATTTCAAGAGAACGTGCACGTTATGAATCCTGTTATTAAATCCGAGCAGGTTCAGTTTAGAAACGCGAACACCGAGGATGATTTTGGTAACAGTATTATAACCCCATTGAATAGTTCAGTAGCTGGTCCACATTTGACAGGTGCCAGGCCTCCCAAGCCTCCTTATTTTGAAACTGGATCTAATTTCATCAAATTTGCCAGGCGATTCAAGGAGCATTTGATTCTATGTGGGCATAGTGGTGGTTCGGATGTTAGTACGTACATGTTGTCATACATTCGTTGTGAATCCACTTGGGAAACACTGCAGAAAGTCTCTCTCAGGCCGGAAGAGAAATGCAATATCGATCTTCTCGTTAAGCGATACTCAGAGGAGATGTTTCCTTCTACTCAATCTTGGGCCTATAGAACTGAGCTCATGTCATTGCGTCAGTTAGCAAATGAGAACCTACAGCAGTTTATTTCACGTATAGATGAGCTTGCTTTTAAAGCCGGATACGACTGCGAGTCGAAGAGGGACGAGAGTTGCTTGCATGTTCTTGTTGTAGGAGCTCGTGACGTAGCTGTAAGGACTAAGCTTTATGAGTCCCAGTTACATTCCTATAGAGAGGCAGTAAAACTAGCAATCCACACTGAGCGTATCACGTTAGCTGTTGGTGGTGAACCAGGGAGTTTCACTCAGGCCCAGGATACGATTTTCGCCATTAGTAATCCTGAATTAGATGGCCAGAGAGCTAGGTTTGCAGCACCTAGACAAACACGTGACCACTTTATGACGGGCACTAGACAGGAGAGTTATAGTCCTGAATGTCCTCCTTCCCAGTCGGGAGTTAACCAGCACACTGGCCATTCATGGACTCCTAATCTAGTTAGCAATAGTTTTAGGGGTGGTATGAGGAATGATGATCGTAGAAACCCGCCTGGTCAATCACGTTATCAGCCAGCTCGCAATTACGTGGGTAGTTCGAGTAATCGGGGATCACGTAATGTCCGCCCCCAGTTAGAAGGTTGTTGGGAGTGTGGTGATAGTGGGCATTTTCAGAGAAACTGTCCGAGCAGATTTGCTGGGAATAGAGTTAGATATCAAGACAGAGGGTCTGCATATCAGAATGGTCATGGCCAGCATCGTGGGAACAGAGCATATAGACCTCGAAATCAGGGGCCTTTAAACTTCTAAAGGGTGGCCCTAGATTCAAAAGGAGGTCACCCGCGGTCAAAAACACACGTTACTATGAAGATTGTAACGAGATTGGTGGCAGTAAGGGAAACTGCATTTTGGTTGGAGGAAATTGTGCGGGTAGATCAGCAAATTTCTTTGTGGATACGGGATCATCTATTTCTATAATTGCTGAATCATTTGTCAGATTTATAGATAAGTTTGAGAAGGTTGTGTCGTGTAATCTCAAGCTCAAGTCCTTTTCGGGAAATAGCATAAAGACTTTCGGTCAGATAAAGCTTCCAGTGATAATTGCCGGAAAATCTTTTGAGCACACGTTTGTTGTTTCCGAATTTCATGAGGCAGAGGTTCTGATAGGCATGGATTTAATGTTTGATCAGGGGATCAATATTAATGCCAGGGATAGATTGCTGTATACTAACAAGGGTTCATCGTGTTTTAGAACACCACCTAAACCCACTAAGCGCTGCATGAAGGTAGTATGCAATGAAACAGTAATTATACCACCTCTCTCGGGCACTCACATACAAGGCAAATTGTTGCGACCTAAAAGTCAACGTGATGACGTTTATGGCCAGTTAGAACCTCATATTAACACGGTTGTAGGTACTGGCATATTCACAGCGCACTCTCTCATACGGTCTGAGGACAACATGGTCCCTGTTAGAGTCATGAATCCTACAGATAAGCCTGTGAAGATAAATAAGAGAACCTGGCTGGGCAAGATGAAGCCAGTAGAGTTTGGTGAGCGAGTGATGAGAGTGACCTGTGAAACGGTTAATGCGGTGTCATCTGATTGTTCAATGCCAGAGGTGAGCAAGCTAGCTGATGAGGAGCCGCTTGTTAAGGAATGGGATAGAGAGAGTCTTTTCAAACAGTTGAAGTTAGACGAGTTGAAGATTAGCGAAGAAGACAAGAATGATCTTCGAGAGACTGTGTGGGAGTATAGAACCGTTTTTCGAGTGGAGAGCATGATTTAGGTTGTTGTAATTTCTTTGAGGCACATCTCCAGCTCAAGGATAACTATAAACCTAGGTGGGTTCCATCGAGAAAGATTCCGTTCAAACAGCAGCCGGAAATGGATAGACAGATTAGAGGTTTGCTTAGATCTGGTGTGGTTGAGGAATGCCCTGACCACTCTAATTTCAATTCTCCCCTTTTCCTGGTGCCTTCAGGAGATCGCTCTAGATTAGTTGCGGATCTGAGAATGGTAAATTTAGAGCTTCAGGATGATTTGATGGAGCTGCCTAACTTGAACCACATTTTAGACAAAGTGGGCGATAAGAATTTGTATTCGACAGTGGATTTGAGTAAATCTTTTCATCAGGTTCCGTATACCAAGGAATCCAGGCATGTCACAGCGTTCATGCACAATCAGAAGAGGTATCAGTTTGCTAGAATGGTCATGGGCCTGAAATCTAGTTCAGCTACGTTTACTAGAATGGTCATGCGGCTGATAAACGGTCTGGGAATATCTGATGCGTTAGCATTCTTCATAGATGATTTACTGATATTCACACGTGATGTTAAGTCTCACATTCAGATACTGTCGGTACTTTTTGCTCGTCTTAAGTTGGGTAATCTGAAACTAACACCTCGTAAGTGCAGATTTTTACGTGAGGAGGTTGAATATGTCGGTATTACTCTAACTAAGGAAGGAGTCAGGATGAACGACTCTCGCATAGAGCATATTAAGAAGTTAGAACCTCCCTGTAATAGAGCGGAATTGCAGTCAGTTTTGGGCATGTTAAACTATTCCAAGAAGTTCTGCAAGGGATACTCCGAGATAGCACGTCCCCTTTATGCTTTACTTCGGAAAAATAAGGTGTTTGAGTGGACTGAAGATTGCCAGAGTGCATTTCAGAGGTTACGTGACATGTTGATATCAAGTCCTGTCCTAGCTTTTCCGGAGGTTAGCGACCCGGAAAATAGTTATGAGGTGACTCTAGATGGTTCTAAACACGCATTTGGTGGCACTTTGACTCAGTGGATCAAAGGAAAGAGGAGGGTGATTGCATACTTTTCTCGTAAGGTTCCGGACCACAAGCGGATATGGCCGCAAACTCAGATTGAATTTGAGACTTTATATCAGACTCTGAAACATTTCTCGGTTTACTTACGTGGCGTTAAAAACTTCACGGTTATCACAGATTGTCTGCCACTCTTGAACATTACGACAATATTTTCTAAAATGTCATCTTCGGTCATCAGGAAGCTTCAAGAGCTTGCTAACTATACTTTTACCATGAAGCATATCTCGGGGAAGAGTAACCAGATGTGTGATGGACTTAGTCGGTATAAGTATCAGGTTTATGGTAAATCTCGAGAAAATGTTGCGAGCATTGGTCATAGTTCCACTTTTAGTCTTGATGCTGCGTTAGAAGGAGTAAACCGGGTGAGACGTGAGCATTATAGATGTAAACACCCGACACTGTTTAAGAGGATGCAAGTACCGGTTAGCAGCGAGACTGTGGTTGATGATGATTGCAGTAATCTGATTGAGGAATCTTGCAATGAGGTGAGTGTTGAGGACAGTATGATTCCGGGGTTCTTGTTTGATGAAAATAGTGAAGACCCTAGTATTGTAAGCATTGTTCAGATTACGCCTGAGGTTGATAGCCGTCATTGCAATTGTAGTCTTACCCAGGCTGATCCTATTCCTACAGAGGAAGCATCAGTAGTGGAAATGGTTTCAGCGGTTACTAGTGATGTAAGCTCACTAGAGAGAGGGGTCAAATTTCTTAATCCTACCAATGAGCAGTTTAAACAGGCTCAGAAGGATGATGATATTTTAAACCAGGTCTACAGTTGGGTTACCAAGGGTGAGAAACCTGTTGCCATTCAGACTAGTAAAATACCTCAGGAACTGTTGAGTTATTGGAAACAGTTTGATCTTATAAGTATCAAGGACGGGATACTTAAGAGACGTTGGACTGAAGTGAGGGATCCGGAGGGAAGTAGAGAGTTGATCATAGTCCCCGAATCCTTGCATGAATCTGTCCTGGACATGGTGCACAACCAGGAGACCGCACATACTGGAGTAGAAAATTGTCTTGAGGTCTGTAAACGACATTTCTACTGGCCGAAAATGGGTGAATGTTTCAAATTGTGGATCGCAGCATGTTGCAAGTGTGCAGCAAGTAAGCCACCTCAGGCGTACAATAAGGCACCTCTCAAGCACATATTGTTCCACTCATTTAACTCAGCAATTTGTTTCGATCATATAGTTCCTGAGAAGGTTGGTGCTACACCTAGAGGTTACAAGTATATTTTGACGATAACCGATTGTTGGTCAAATTATGTGGTAGCTATTCCTACTAAGACCCAGACAGCTAAGGAGAGCGTGTCTTTGATTCGTAGGTTTTGGATTGATCGTTTTGGCCAGCCTAGATTCATGATGGCTGATAATCATCCGGGTTTTAGAGCCAAGTATTTCGAGACCATAGCTCAAGCCCTAGATTGCAAGTACATTCATGGCCAACCGTACGTTTCTCGTAGTACTGGAAGAGTTGAGAGAGCAAACCGTCGGTTGAATACTGCACTGAGAACCAGCTTACCACCGGGACGATACCAGGACTGGGATCTTTGGTTATCTAGAGTAGTCTTTGTACTTAACTCATTACGGAATCGGCACACAGGTTATTCTAGCAACAGATTGGTGTTTGGTCGTGAGTTAAACACACCGTTAAGCCTGCTAGCTGAGAATCGTAAGGATTTCGAGTTAGAGCCTATGAAGGAGAATGGGTTTGATGTTGAAGCGTACGAGCTGTACAAGAATCTCAAGTTTATCACCAGGAGGGTGAGGGTCCAAGCTGAGCGTGATTTTTGCTATGCACAGAGATATCACGATAAGCACGTTAAGGGACCATTCTTTGAGGAAGGTGAGGAAGCGTTTGTTTTGATAAATTGCCCAAAGCACAAGTTCGGTCCTCGTTGGGTTGGCCCGTATAAGATCTCTAAGAAGATAAACGATCACTTGTAATGTTTAGATTTGCCTGATGGAGAGAAGAAGGTGTTCAACATTGGAAAGTTAAAGAGATATGTCAGGAACAAGTTTTCTGAGAAGCTAGAGACTAGCTTTACATTGCCTAAAATTGTTAGCAGTGAAGCTGAGTTAGAGACGGCCTCATCAAGGCGAGATGTAGTCTATTCCGATAGTGATAGTGAAGAAGAGACAGATTTTCAACTGAGAAGAGTACCAGTTGTAGCAAGGAGAAGAGAGGTTCATCCGAAGAAGTTTCGTCTGGAGAAGGATGGTGCAGCTAGCATTTATAAACAACCTAGTTTAAGTTCTACTCCTAGGGTTGTGAATAGTCCTGCACAACTAGATACGAATTCTACTAATCCTAGTTTTAGTACTGTAACACCTCTCACACATAACATTCCCTCAGGCGATAGTGTAGAAACAGTTGATAATTCTGCAGATTTCTTCACTCCAGCTAGAGAGAGATCGGCCGATAGAAGATCATCGAGTCCGGTTGTTGGTGAAGGAACGATGGGTCATAGCAGTTCTATGTCATATGATTCAGTGGGGCACGACATTGACACAACAGGATCGCTTTCTCCTGTGGATCTAAGAAGACAGAGCCCTCCGAGGGAGGAGCGCAGATATAACACTAGGAGACCTGAGGAACGGAGACAACCTGACCGTTTAGGGTACGAGAAAGTGAGTTTGGTCAAGGATCTTTTGAAATTTCTGAACCAGTAGACGGCAGAATACATTAGTATCATGAAGTGAAATGACACTTAGAGTGTATATGGTGGTACTTCTACAACCAGTTTAGAGTTTAGCACTGTACAGGTTTAGACTCTACATAGATGACGTACGTATATTATGCCGTTCAAAACCTTATCTTGATTGGAATAACACGTGTTATCTTTCAGAACACTACTGATAGGGATAATAGGATCTTTACTCTCAACACGACTCGCTCAGGGCTGCTTTAGTGGTGGAAACGTAGATACTTTCGAATTTATTTCGACTTCTTTGTTTTGCTTGTCAAGGACGTTTTAGAGATTCAGATACATCTCTATCAATTGATGAAGACTCAACACCAAGGACTATACAACTTGGTGCGAAAAGGAAGTATTGGAAAGTTTTGAAAGATTTTTGGAAGTCAATTTTAGTTTTAATTTTAGTATTTTGAGGATTTAAATTTAATGCACAGGGTTAGGGCCGTGTATTTTATTTTGAGACTTGACTTATTTTTAAGTTTTGGACTTTTGATGCGTGGGAGCATTAAAATTTAAATTTTGAATAAGGCGATTATTTTATTGTTTTAAAATATTCGAAAAAAATTTTTGGGTAGAGATGTTGTAATATGGTATTTAGAGATATCTTTTAGGATATCTTAGTTTTAGTATAACGTTTACGGGACGTAGGATTTAGTATGTATTTCCGGGTATATAATAACCAAATGTTTTTATATGTTCGTATTTGGGAGTTACACATTTTGAGTGTAAGTCGGTTGGCTGGCAGAACTACTGTCAGACTAACTGTCTGAAACGAGCCGTCCGCTCACTTTGCACCTGACTTACAGCCAGGCCTGTGGTTGGTCCTCGCGACCACAGCGTGACTGCTAGTGGAGTGCTCATTGGCGAGACGGCGTGTCACGTGGTGCAAGCAGATGCGTTGTGCCGTCACGCAGTGTGGCGTGACGAGTTTTGAGAGTATACCCGGAGAGCCGGAAGTGGAGAGCTCACTTCTTAGTTGCCCCTTAATCATTTTAAGGGATTCAAACTGACGGTAGCCAGTCTTACTGAGCACTACCATTTGTGATTAGACACGTCGAGTGATCTATTAGTCACGTCAGTTGATTGGAGCGAACACTTAGAAGTTTTTATCTGTTGACGTTCACTTTGTATTACTTTTCCTTTATATTTAATTAGATCCTTTTTAGTTACTCGTTTCATTTCTACTATTCGGTACGCCCTGCCGTTCGTGCTACGTGACTAGAGCTTGACTAGCATACACTAAATACCTAAGAAACTCCGTTTTCTATACGTGAAATTTGTGGGCGAGCGAATTAGTAAGAGCCCCCCTACTAAAGGCCCATACTAGGTTACTAGAGGCCAATATCAATTCGACAATTTTGTAATTCAAATTCCACTCAATTTCACTCTGATATATATTGTTTATGCAATATATTACGTACTACACAATACAAAGTAACGGGCGCTAGGTCAGTATTAACGGGTGATACTCGTAAAATATCTGTTCCATATATTGGACCGTCGACGAGTCCAACTCGGCGCGCGTTCTGGTAGGTTGTAAACCTACAAGGTCAGTAGTTCAGTCCATTAACAATTAACAATGAAAAAACTTATATACTCAGTCATAATTTCTACCATATATACTGGCTGGATCGAGCCTATACTATTTTGTATCTACAAACGCTTTGTATCACCAATCACGTCGTGACCCCCACTGTCGTTTCACTATAGTGTAGATTTTTTTTACGATACAGGCGGGTCATACAACGTATGCAGTACGACAACAAACGCTGACACTAAATCGATTGCCCAAATTTTAATAAAAACTTGTGCAATCAAATTTTTTTAATTGCGTGAAAATTAAAAATCCTGAGAGTATGAAAGTAATCTTAACTGGTGTATTTTTGAACGCTGATTTCGAATCACCCCCATGCATGACATAATGTAAAGTAAAAACGCTCAATTCCCTGGAGAGCTTTATGGGTAAAAAACTGTTTTGGTCACGTAACACAGGAGAAGCAAAGTGCAAAGAAAATGCCACAAACTGCTACTAACTGCTACAAACTGCTACTAACTGCTACAAACTGGCACCTACTGTCACAAACAGTTACTAATTGCTGCAATCACGCCCACGCATTCGCGCGCTGTTTGCAGCAGTTAGTAGCAGTTTGTGACAGTTAGTGCCAGTTTGCAGCAGTTGGTAGCAGTTTGTGGCAGTTTAATTGACGATGTCACTTCATCGCATGAGCTCGGCGCCGCACAGTAGCGCATCTTGCCGATCTATTGACCATTGTTAATGATCAGGCCCGGCGCGCGCTACTTCGTAGCACTTGCCATCGGACCATTTCGAGAAGAAAGCGGCGCGCGTTACTTCGAAGAAATTTTTACCTGAGGACCCCAGGCTATTATGTTCATTAACATATATATATTTGGCGGAATGACAGGCTGAGCGCGGCCCAGTAAAGAAATTTAGACGAGTAACATCCGTTAAGCTGATCTAGCGAGGTACAGTAACGCATTGCGCTACAAGTGGCAGTTCCCAGAAAACCTTACCGCCTGCTGGGCTTGCTAGAGGTGATAGATTTTCAACAGCACGTTTGGCGTCGCGCGTCACATCGAGTTTACCTTTCACACGCTGCATTTAGTTTAGTAGTCATGACAACGACATGACTTTGCAAAGTTTAAAAGCTGCGATTTTTAATTTAGCCAGAAATCAAACTTTTCGGTTTAATTCAGAATCTAAGTTGTCCCCAATTGTGCTCCTGGGGAGCCCCCTTTAAATTTACGAGACGGAAATTTTGTTGAAAACCGGAAGGTTCTATTTATTTTACTTTTGGAGATATTCCCCGGCCGGTAGGGTTTGCTGGGTTAGTGTCAGTTTGTAGCAGTTAGTAGCAGTTTGTGGCAGTTTCTTTGCACTTTGCTCCTCCTGTGGTAAAAGGTTCAAGGTTGTATCACATCGTGAATTCTATTGTCGTTTCAGTAATATCGTGTCAAGTGACAAGTGACAGGCTAGTTAAAAACGAATTCGATTGTTTAGGGTTGGGATTAAGGTTGATTCACGATGTCAATCCTTCTGCACAGCTCGGTGAGGCCCAATGGTGCATTTGGCATTGCATTTCGCCAATTTAGCGAAGTGGTTGCGAGAAGCATTATTAGTTCACATAGCCATGTGTCTACGCACTACTAGACCATTGTTAATGGTCTGGCCCGGCGCGCGCTACTTCGTAGCACTTGCCATCGGGCCAATATTTCGAGAAGAAAGCGCCACGCGCTACTTCGAAGAAATTTAGACGAGTAACATTTGTTTGTATCACGTCGTGACTCCACGGTTGTTTCACTATGGGTTCTACGATACAGGGGGAGTCGCGCACGATCACGAGTGCACGGCGGGTCATACAACGTATGACAAACATCTGTCAAGCAAAACCATAAAAACCAAATTCACGTGATAATTTTTGGGCAAGCAAATTAGTTAAACTTAAAGTAGGAAGTGCACTATGAGGCGCAAAATTCAAATGCTGCGCTTTTATGCTTTTTCGACGAGATATTTCGCAGTACACAGTATTTTGTTAAATGTAGTTTTATCGCTCGGAAAAAATACATAATGTAAGCAACCAGCCTGAAATTTAAGAATTTGTTATTTTATTAGTTTATAAGGATGGCTGGGTCAACCTTGGGCTTGATTACGTAATATAGGGGGGGGGGGGGGGGGGGGGGGGGGGGGGGGGGGGGGGGGGGGGGGGGGGGGGGGGGGGGGGGGGGGGGGGGGGGGGGGGGGGGGGGGGGGGGGGGGGGGGGGGGGGGGGGGGGGGGGGGGGGGGGGGGGGGGTTCGGTCTTGGTTTACGGTTAATTACGGAGGGGGGGGGGGGGGGTGAACGACCCCTAACCCAGATTCCCAGAATAGAACCCTATCGAGAATATAAATAGAACCCTAACGAGAAATTTAATCAACTTCCTTAATGTATGGTCGTATCACGTACTGGTCGAGACATTTTATCGCCAATCATATCTCACCAGGGGAGCATCTTATTGTTTATAATTATGTGTTATGCATTATCAATTATGTGGATTTTGGGGTGATCATGATTCGGAATCAGCATTGGAAAATACAAAATACATCAATTCAGGTTGCTTTCAACTGTCGAGTGTTGAATCGCAAAGATCGAGTGTAGAGTGATTTAGCACGCTCGATAGTGATACAAAAATAGTCTTTTATTGTAAATATCAGTGGGCGTGCTTTCCCAAATTTGCTCTTTTTTAAAAACTTGGAAAGTCTAGAAATTCCTTTTCCCAATAAAGAAACTTTTTTTTAAACCCGGGCTTAATTTTTATAAAAACACTTCGATTGGAAAAGGGGCCCGGAAATGACGGCTGATCGCGCCCCCTTTTAACTCCCTTTTATGGTAAGGGGTTGCCACCCGTTAAATCACGCCCATTTTAAAACGGCCCAAAGTTGGCAAAAACCTCTACGGAGTGAAAAAAATTTTAAAAACCCAAATTTGGGTTTTTTTTGCTATTTAAACCGGAAAAATTTTCTTTTTAATTTAATTTTTTTTTTAACCCCCTTTAAAATTCAAAAAAACCCTTTTTTATAAGAAGGGGACAAAATTGTTAAACGTTAAAAATTTCATATCAAAAAACTAAAAAAAAACTAGGCCAATTTTAGCAGTTTGGAAAAATTTTAAAACCGTGAAAACGACAATTTGCCCTTTTTTCCTGATCCCCATTTTAAACCCGATTAGACGGTAAAAAGAAAACGAAAAAAAAAGTTGGGTTTTAGTTTTCCTATGAAATCGAGCGATAATCCCTTTTAACGCCTTTTCCAAAGAGGACCTGCCGAAATTCAAACGGGGACTGGACGGCATTTTTGCCCAATTTGACTAATTAAACAAATTAGACGGGTTAAAAATTTGGAGGGCATGAGACTCAATTGGAGGACGGGGCCATTTTCGGAGGTTTCGAAATTAAATAAAAAATCACCAAAAATTTTTCACATTTTGGAGGGTTTTTTCCCCTTTAAAGTTTTCAATGGGTTTACTTGTTTGCAATAAGACAAATTTGAGATACTGGAAATAAAATCCCCAGAGAAAGGCTTACAAAGTGGATAAATCATATTGTCTCATTTTTGTCCCATTTTCAAATATGTAAGTTGAAATTTCCTGGACCGAAATTTCACAGACGGGATGGAATTTTTGTCCAGTGACCACATGGTCAGTAAGCAAAAAAGGGTGACCAAAATTTTAGTTGGTTTAAAATTATTGAATCTTTAAAAAGAAAATTCGAAATGGTGAGAAAAATCTTTGTGACATCTGCCAACTCCCGGGGTCCCGATCAGAGAAACTGAAATTTTTTTTATTAAATTTTTCTTAGAAAAAATAAAATTCCATTTAAAATTTCCAGCTAATTTAAATTTAATTTTTTTAAATTTGGGTTTTGCATTTGTAAGATTTTTAATTGTTAAAATGGAAAAAAAGGTTTTTTAAATATTAATTTCCAAAAATTTAAATTTGGGGTTTTAAAAAATTTATTTGGTAATAAATGGGTGAAAGGGGCAAAGGAAGGGAAAAAAAGGTTTTATAAATTTAAAATTTGGAAAATTTTTTTGATAAGAAAAACGAAACTTTTGCCTGTTAATTTTATCTTTTTTTCTGTTCGGGGTTTTATTTCAGTCTATTTTCTAATTTAAAAAAAGGGATTTTTTCTGCCCTTTAAAGATTATACCAATGCCATAATCCGACTAGGGTGAGAATCCATACAATGCTCTTTATAATTATTGCGATTTTCCTCTTTGTGATTGTGTTCCAATGTATATCAATTTCGTTTAATTACTTTCCTAGCTTAGAGGAAGGGCCAGATCGTCCCTTCAATTTGGTTTTTTTTTCATTTTTTGCTTCTCAAAATCGTTACATAGAGGGACTTTAAAATTTTTTCGGATTAATTTTAAAATTTTAAATTTTCCCCCCTTTAAGTTCTCTTTCAATACGTTTCCCGTTTTGGGACAAAAAAACTTTAAAACTCAGGAATTTAAACCGTCACACCCAAAGGCCCCCGTTTTATTTTGATTTTTTTTTTTGAAAATTTATTTTTATTGGGGGGTTACTACATTTTACAAATTTTTCATTTTTTTCCCAAACTTTCCTAACCGTAGTTTCAGAAAAAGGGTAAACAGATGGGTTTTTAAAAAACTTTATCTTGCTTTGAATTTTTTGGGAAAAGAAGCAAAGGGAAAAAATTTGCCCGAATTTTCTTGTTTTTCATCTTTGTCGGGGCCCCAAATTTGCAAGAACAAAAAGGTTTTTCACAAACATACATTGTTAATTGGGTTTTAAAGGGGGGATTTGGGTTCTCAATTTTTTAAAATCAATTTTTATTCCCCTTTAAAAAAAAAAAAAATTTTTTTTTCAATTATCTTCCCCCGATAATTTTATAAAATGGTAAATTTACATTAAAAACCGGGAAATTTTAAATTTAGGTTTTTTCATTTCATCATTACCCCCTTTTGTCAATTGGGAAAAAAACTCGGGTCTTCCCTTTACCAGTGAAAGCCACGTCCCAAAAATAATTCTGCACAAAATTTTTAAAAAATTCCAAAACTCAAAAATTTTCAAAAACGCTGGGCGTCATTTTAAAATATTAAAATGTTTTAAATTTTTTTAGAATAAAATTTTTTTGTGAAATTCCACGTTTTTAAAAAAAAAAAGAAATTGATAACCCCAATTCCAATAACTGTGTCGGTCCCCTTGGTTTTCTACCCAAAAAAGGGGAACGGTCCCAAAACTTACAAATTTTTAAGGGTTAAAAGGCGTAAAAATATTGATGGAAAAAATTTTTCAGGGAGCCCAGGCTCAAGCTGCTTCAAACCCCCCGGGCTTTCGAAAATCCGGGGTGTATTAAGGGGGAAGTTACTTTTCTCCCCCAAAGAACCCGCATGAACCCTTTTTTATAGAAAAAGGGGGGTATTTTTTTGATTTATTTTTTAAAACCTTTTAACCCTTCAAAAATAAACATTTTTTTTTTGAAGGGAAATGCCCCCCCTTTAATGTGTTTTAAAATGGGCCCCCTTTAATTTTATTTAAAATTTTTTTGTCTGCGTTTCGAATCTCAAAACCCCAAAAAAAATAACAAAACTTTCAAAAAAATTATTTTGAAAAAAATTTAAATTTCGCGTATGGGAGCGGGGTTTTTTTGTCCAGATCTTGGGCTTCCCAGAGGAAGTTACGGTTTCGGGGGCTACACCTGTCCAGGACGGAGGGTTTGGGGCCCCGCGAAAGGGGAACTTCGGGAAAACTTCCAAAAACCCCGTTTTTGGTAATAAGGGGAGGGAGAAGGGGAGGGGGGAGGGGGGCGGGGGAGGGAGAGAGGGAAGAGGGGAGAGGGAGTGGGGGAGAGGGAGGAGGGAGGAGGGGGGGGGAGAGGGGGGAGAGGGGGGAGAGGGAAGAGGGAGAGAGGGAGAGAGGGAGAGAGGGAAAAGAGGGAGAGAGGGGAAGGGGGGAGGGAGAGAGGGAGAAGGGAGAGAGGGAGAGAGGGGGAGGGGAAAAGGGGGAGAGGGAGAAGGGAGAAGGGGGGGAAAAGAGGGGGGGAAGGGGGGAGAGGGGGAGGGGAGGGAGAGAGGCGGGGAGGGGGGAGGGAGAGAGGGAGGGGAGGGAGAAGGGAGAGGGGAGAGAGGGAGAGAGGGAGAGGGGGGAGGGGGAGGGGGGGAGAGGGGGGGAGGGAAAAGGGGAGGGGGGGGGGAAGGGAGAGGGGGGGAAAAGGGGGTCGGGCGGGGGGGGGGGGGTGTGGGGGGGGGGGGGGGGGGGGGGGTGGGGGGAAAGGGGGGTTGGGGGGGGGGGGGGGGTTTTTGGGGGGGGGGGGGGGGGGGGGGGGGGGGGGGGGGGCCCCGGGGGTTTTTGGGGGGTTTGGGGGGGGGGGGGGGTTTTTTTTTTTGGGGGGGGGGTTTTGGGGGGGGGGTTTTTTCCCCCGGGGGGGGGTTTTTTTTTTTGGGGTTTTTCCCCGGGGGGAAAAGGGGGGAAGGGGGGGGGGGGGGGTAAAGGGGGGGGAAGGGGGGGGGGGGGGAAAAGGGGGGGGTTTTTTTTTGGGGGGGGGAGGGGGGGGGGGGGGGGGGTTTTGGGGGGGGGGGGTTTTTTTTTTTTTTTTTGGGGGGGGGGGGTTTTTTTGGGGGGGGGGGGGGGGGGGGTTTTTTTTTTTTTTTTGGGGGGGGGGGGGGCTTTTTTTAAAGGGGGGGTTTTTTTGGGGGGAAGGGGGGGGGGGTTTTTGGGGGGGGGGGGAAAAAAAAGTTTGGGGGGGGGGGGGGGAAAGTGGTTTGGGGGGGGGGGGTTTTTTGGGGGGGGGAAAGGGGGGGTGAGGGAAACCCGGGAGGGGGGGAGAAGGGGGGGAAGGGGGGGGGGGGGGGGGGGGGGGGGGGGGGGATGGGGAGGGGGGGTGGGGGGGGAAGGGGGCGGGGGGGAAGGGGGGGGGGGGGGTTTTTGGGGGGGGGGGGGCCCGGGGTTTTTTTTTGGGGGTTGGGGGGTTTTTCCGGGGGGTGAGGGGGTTGGGAAGGGAAGGGAAGGGAGGGGGAGGGGGAAGGGGGTTTCCGGGGTGGGGGGGGGGGGGGGACCCTTTTTTGTTGGGGGAAGGGGGGGGGGAGGGGGAAAAAGGGAATTTGGGGGGGTTTGGGGGAGGGGTTTTTTTTGGGGAGAGGGAGAAGGCGGGTTTTTGGGGGGGGGTTTTTTGGGGGGGGTGGGAAGGGGGGGGGGTGGGGGTTTTTTTTTTTCCGGGAAGGGGAAATTTTCCCCAAAAAACAAATCATTAAAAAAATTATCAAAAAAAGGTGGTATTTTAATGAAATTAAATTTTCCGGTTTCCCTTTATTTGTACTAAAGGCCCTAAGTTGGCGCGGAAAACCGGGGAAACCTAATTTGCAATGGGGCCCTTTTTGACGATGGTTTTTAAATAAAAACCCGCGAGAAATTTGGGCGCCCCAAATGGAAATTTTTTGGGCAAAAGTTACCCTCCGGGGAGTATTGTGGGAAACCCCTAACCAAAAATATTTCCCCCCGGACGACCCTTTTTGCCGCAAGCGGGGAATTTGGGTTCGTGTTTCCAATTTTTCTTTAAACGCCCCTTTTTTGGGGCACAGCGGGAAAAACGTGTTTTTTTAAACCAAATGTGAAGGGGGTTGGGAGCGTTTTTAGGAACCTTTTGTCCAAATTTTGATTCCGGGGTTTAAAATTAATTAAAATTTGGGGGTGCCAAAAATGAAAAGCAATTTTATTTTTCAAAGAAAAAAAAAAAATCACAAAATTAACATTAGGGTTTTAGTTTTTTCTTGGGTGGTGGCTTCTTGGGTTTTTGGGAGTGGGCGGGAAATGTTCCCCGAATTTTTTGGAGGTTACTAAAAAAAGAACAAGGACTTTTTACCAACCCCGCTCCAGCTTATGGGGGGGCAGATTGTGTTTTGGGGGGTCTGGAATAGTTCCCAACCCCGCTTAAGATTTTAAAAAGGGGAGTGTCCAGGTTTAAAATTTTTCCTTTCCCCTTTTAAGTATTTTTTAATAATTTTTCATCCCCCCCTCCCCCCGGGTGGGAAAAATTTTTATTTTTATCTCGTTTAAAAATTTTCAAAAAAAAAGCGTAAATTAAATTTTCAAAGCTTAGGTGGCTATTTTTTTTAAAGAATTCAAATCGCAGATTTTAAGGGGCTGGTGGGCTTCCCAATGGGGGCACGGGTTTGGGGCTGGAAATTCTGGGTTATGATCAGCCCAAGGGAAAGGGAAAAGTTTTGTTTAAAGGGTTTTAAAAAAAATTAAATCCCGCGGGTGCTATTTGTCGTCAAAAGGGTTTTATTGGTTTTAAATAAGCGGCATCCGGTAGTTTTTTGGGGCGTACAGGGCAAAAATAAAGATATTACCCTGGGGGCGGGGAAGGTTTTCCCCTGCAGCCCGGTGAATTTGGAGTTTTGTGTTCCCTTTTCATTCAACAAAAATTTTTTGGGGCACAGCGAAAATATTTTTCCCTTAAAGGGTGAAGGGATTGGAGGTCCCAAATTTTTTGAAACATGTGTCCAAAATTTTGGTTTTGGTTTAAAAAATTTAAAAAAATTTGGAAAGGGGCCATAAAAGGGTTAAAAAAAAAGTCCCATTAATTTTTCAGAAAGAATTCACAAGATTTTTCATTTTTGTTTCGTTTTTAAATTTGATGGGGTTTTTTTGATTTTGGGAGTGGTTTGGGGGTGGGTTTAGAGTTTTTTTGGAGGTTTTCAAAAAAGAACAAGGGCTTTTTTAAAACCCCCGCTCCCGCACAAAAGGGGGGCAGATTGTGGGGGAAGTTTCTGAAATTCCCGCCCCTTTCCCTTTTAAAAAATAACCCCCCAGTGTCCAGGTTTTAAAAAATTTTATTTCCTTTTTAAAAAATTTGCTAAAAATTAAAATTATTCCCCCCCTCCCCGGGGAAAACTTATGTTTTTCTCGATTAAAAATTTCCCCAAAAAAGGTAAAATTTTTTATCAAATGTTTAAGTGGCTATTTTTTTAACGAATTCAAATCCCCGATTTTGTCGGGGGGCTCTTAAAAGGAACAAATGGTGGGGGCGGAAAAACTTGGGTTTCTGATCAAAAGGAGGGACAGTTTGGGGCCCCAGGGTTTTTTGATTACCGCTGATGCTAAATTTTTCGTCAAATGGGTATATTGGGTCAAAAAAAAAGCTGGGCAAATTTCCCCCTTTGTAAGTTTGGGGGCATCCAAATTTAAACCCATGATATTTCCCTGGAGACCCTTTTTCAAACCGGGCCCGCGGGGGAATGGAGTTGTGTTCATTTTTAAATTTAACGAAAAAAGTGGAAAAGCGAAAAATTTTTTTTTCAGTTTTGAAGGGTTTGGGGAGGGCAATTTTTATGAAAAAAAAAGGTTTTCCAAAATTTTTTTCGGTTCAAAATTATTTTTAAAAAGGAGGTTGGGCCAAAAAAATGTTAAATGACAGTCTATTTTAAATTTTTTATTGGGAAGAAATCACAAAATTTAAAATTCTGTTTCATTTTTTCTTGATTTGGGGGCTTTTTGATTTTGGAGATTTGGGGGACTGTTTAGAGTTTTGGGGGAGGTTTTTAAAAAAAAGAACAAAAGGGCTTTTACTAACCCTTTCCAGCCCCGGGTGGTGCGATTGTGTTGGGGAAGTGTTGAAAAAATCGGAAACCCTTTCAAAAAGATAACCGGCAAGGGGTCCAAAGGTTTTAAATTTCCCCCCCTTTTTTTTAAAAATTTGCTCATTTTATTTTTACCCCCTCTCCCGGGGGAAAAAAAAATTTTTTGATTTTCTCGATTAAATTTTTCAGAAAAACATAATTTAAAAAATTTTCAACAAATTTTTAAAAATTACTTATTTTAACGAAAATTAAATCACAGATTTTAGTCTGGTGGACTCTAAAGGTGATACTGGGCGCTGGAAATTCTTTGGGGTTAAATATTAGCAATGGGATTTGTTTGGCAAAGGTTTTAAAAAAAATTAACTCAGCTGAAAGCTATTGTCGTTTAAAAAGGGGTATATTTGGGCAAAATAAAACGGACATCCGGTTTTTGTAAGTGGGGATCCCGTTTAACTATGTATTAACCCCCCGGCCCCAAAGTTTCAGGGCAGCGGGGGAAAGGAGGGTTTTTGGGGTTTTTTTTAAATTTAACGACAAATTTTTTGGGGCACCGCGAAGACGTTTTTTTTCTACCCGTGGAAGGGATTGGGGGGAGGTTTGATTTTTTTGAAAGTGTCCAAATTTTGATTCGGTTTTAAAATTTAATAAAAATTGGGAGGTGCCATAAAATTGGGCAGTCTATTAAAATTTTTTCATGCAAGAAAATTAAAACATTAAAAATTAAGTTTCGTTTTTACCTTTATGGGGCCTTTTTTTCCCCGATTTTGGGGATTGGTCGGAATTTTTTCAAAAGTTTTTTGGAGGTTTTCAAAAAAGGGAAAAAGGACTTTTTTAAAAACCCCGCTCCCCGCCTATGGGGGGGTTGGGAGAAATTGGGGTTGGGGAAGGTTCCCCGAAAGTTGAACCCCCGCTAAAAAGATTTTCCGGCCGTGGGCCCGGGGTTTTTAAATATCCTTTTTTTTTTAAGATTTTGCTCTAATTTTTCATCCCCCCCTTCCCGGGGAAAAACTTTTGATTATCTCGATTTAAAAAAAATTTTAAAAAAAAGCGAATTTAAAAAGTTTAACAATTTTAAAATTCTTATTTTTAACGAATTTAAAAAACCCCGATTTTTTGTCTGGGGGACTCTAAAGGTGAAACTGTTTGGGGCTGGTATTTTGGGTTACTGATCAGCCAAAGGGGGATCTTTTGTGGGCATGGGTTTTTTTGATACTCAGCTGATTTCTTTTTTGGTCGTCAAAAGGGGTATAAAATTTGGGCAAATAAAATTGGGAACCCGGGATTTAAGGGGAAAAATCCAGTCAAACAAAGAAAATTTCCCGGACGAAGTTTCAAGCGCCCGCGGTTTTAAAGGAGTTCGTGTTTTTACATTCAACACAAATTTTGGTACAGCGAAGAAGTTTTTTTTTTTTTAAAAGGTGAAGGGATTGGTGATCGATCTTATGGGGTTTTTTTCCAAAATTTTTTTTCGGTTTTTAAAAAAAATAAAAATTGGAGGGTGCCCTAAAATGACGTCTAATTTTTTTTCAAGCAAGAAAATTTCAACATTAAAATTAAGTTTCAGTTTTTTACTTGATGGTGGCTTCTTCCCATTTTTTGGGGGGTGGTTTGGACTGTTTAGAGTTTTGGGGGAGGTTTTTTTAAAAAAGAAAAAGGACCCTTGTACTAACCCCCGCTTTCCAAACCCTTTTGGGGGTGCCAAAATTTTGTTTTGGGGGAAATGTCCGAAAGTCGACCTTCATAAAAAGAAAAAAGGGAAATGGCCAGGGAAAAAATTCCCCTTTTTTTTTTGAAAAAGCTAATATTATTCATCCCCCCCCCCCCTCTCCCGGGGGGAAAAAATTATGATTGTCCGATTAAATTTCTCCCAAAAAAAAGCGTTAAAATTTTTTAAAAAAATGTTAAAAGGGTTTCCTTTTTTTTTTTTTTAAAGAATTTAAAATTCCCGAAATTTTTGTCGGGTGGACTCTAAAGGGGGATAAAAGTTGGCGTCTTTGGGAAAAATTGGGTTAAAATGATCCGCAAAGGAGGGGCGTTTGTGAAAGAAGGTTTTAAAAAAAATTATTCAAACTGATGTATTGTCGGCAAATTGGGTAAAATTTGGGCAAATGAGTTGGCATTTCCTTTGTTATTGGGGGGCATCCCGTCCAACTAGATATTCCCTGGACGGCGGGTTTTATTTAAACAGCGGGTGAAAGGGGTTTTTGGTTCTTTTTCTTTCAACGACAAATTTTTGGTCACAAATGAGGGCGTGTTTTTCACAGTGTGAAGGAAAAGGTTTAGTCGATCCTATGAATTTTTAAATTTGTGTCCTAAAAAATTTTTATTCGGTTCAAAATGAATAAAAAAATTTAAGGGGCCTTTAAAAAGGGCGTCATTTAATTTTTCCTACAAGGAAAAAGTACAAGATTTAAGATTCTTTTCAGTTTTTAAATTGATGGGGGCTTTTTCTGATTTGGGAGTGGGCAAAAATGTTCAGAGTTTGTGGGGGTTCTTTAAAAAAAGAACAAGGGGCTTGTACTTTTTCCCCCCGCAAACCCGCTCGGTGGTGCCCGATTGTGTTGGGGGAAGTGTCTGAAAGTCACCCCCCCATAAAAAATAAAACCCAAACTTGGCCCGGTTGAAATATCCTTTTCCTTTTTAAAATTTGCTTAAATTATTCAAACCCCACTCCCTTCCCGATTCCCCGGGGTTTTAAAATTTTGATTATTTTCGTTTTAAAAATTTTCCCAAAAGAGTGTAAATTATCTTTCACAAAATTTTTGAGTTCCTATTTTTTTTTTTAACGAATTCCCAAAACCCAGATTTTAAATCTGGTGGACTCAATGGGAAATGTTGGGGCTGGAAAATTTCCTTTTTTTTGCTGATCAGCAAAAGAAGGACAGGTTTTGTGGGCGATGGTTTTTAATGATTACTCACTGATGCAAATTGTCGTCAAATGGGATAAATTTGGGCCCCAAAAGAGTTGGACACCAAAGGAAATTATTTGGGGGCCTTCCCCCGGGGCAAATTAAAAAATTTTTAAATTTTACCCTGGCCAGTTTCAGCAGCAAACGGTGAAGGAAATTGTGTTCATTTTTTTTTTTAAAGACAAAAATTTTGGTTTAAAAGTGAAGACCCTGTTTTTTACAGTGGGAAGGAAAAAAATTTTCGAAACCTATAAATTTGAAAAAAAGTGTCCAAATTTTGTTCGGTCAAAATTTAAAAAAAAATTGGGGTGCCAAATTTTTAAAACTTACAAATTTCGTTAAAGCAGGGCCCAAAAGTTTTTGGGGTGTTTGAATGGGCCCGTTTTTTTTTCCCCACCCTTTAACCCTTTTGGCTTTATACAAAGGGACAAGTTTTTCCAACCCCCATCTATAACGATTTTCTTCCGATGAAACGGACTGGACTAACGAAGGGGTTTAGCTAAAAAAATTTTTTCGAAATGTCGAGCTTTCTAGCTTTCTGTTGGGTGAGTATCCCAAAAGGCGTACCTTGACCAAACCGAGTAGACGTTTTTTCCCCAACCTTTCCCAAAAATATGGGTTTAATTTCCCCGGGTTTAAAGTCCCCCAAACCCCCTGACAGTAAGTCCCAACCCTTTCCCGATGAACTTTTCCCCCCTGGAACTTCGGCAAAAAATTAATTTTGCTCCTGTCCCCCTGCTTGCCCCCCCAGACTTGAAATTTTTTTCCCTTAAAAAAGTATCATGGGTCAGTGGGAAACTGAGCTTTCTGCGGTTGGCGAACAATGGCGTTTTTTCCCGAGCTTGGTCGCTGTCGATTTTAAAATGACTTTTCCCGCCGGGGTCCCTTTTTTCATCGGCCCCCCCCCTTTTCCGCAGAGTGCAGCTGTTTTCTTTTTTTAACCCCCTCAATTAAATTCGTTTCTGGGAAGGAACCCGATTTTTAACAACCACTTCTGTTTTTTCAAATTAAATGAAACCTTTTGGGTTTGGTTTTGTGCGGTTTTATTTGCTTTTTTCTTTTCAAATTTTTAAAGCAAAAAAAAATGAAAAGAAAGTTCTGCCAGTTAAAATTTGCTAACTTTTTTCCTTCAAAAAAAAACCCCTTGGGACAGAAAAAGTTTTTTCATCCCCAAACTGGTGGTTTAAAAAAATGGGGCTGATTCAAAAAACTTTTTGCCATCCAAAAGCCCCCAGCTTTAAAAAATTTTTTTTCCCAAAAAGGTTTTCCCCCTTTTCGCCCCAAACTGCCTTTATGTTAAAAAAAAGAAATAAGGCAGGGTTAAAACGGGAAAAACACAATTTTTCTCCCTGCAAAAAAAAAGGGAAAATTTTGAAAGAATAAGAGAGCAAATTTTAGTGGGAAAGGGGGATAAAAAAAATGTAAAGGGGTAAACAATTTTACTGATTTTAAAATAGTATTTAAAATTTATTTCCCCCCCCTTCCGTTCCAAAATTTTAAAAGCCTCCAGGAGAGAGGGTTAAACCCCCTCCCTTTGAAAAATAAAAAAGGGCGGGGACGTGGTTTTAGGCCCTTTGGGGGTGAAAAGTGGATGACCCTACAAACAAAAATTTTAGGTTAAACAAAATTTTTTCTTTAAAATGACTTTGACCCAAAACAATTTAAGTTTGTTTCGCAATTAGAGAGCCGATGGGTAACAAAATTTTTTTAAAAAAATTTTGTGGCAAAAACATTTTTAAAAATCTTGTTCAAATCAACACAAATAATTTCAGTGTGAAAATTAAACGGAATGATATCAACATTCTCCATGTGGTTTTTGGTAGGGCCCCTTTGCTGCCCAAATTTCGTGCTGAAAAACAAAAAAAGTTAAAAAAAGTTTGGAAGGGGAAATCCGGCAAGGGGTTCTTGAAATTTAAAATTTGGGGAATTTAAAAAATTTAAAAATTTCCCTTGAATTTCACGTTTTTTGGCTTTTGAATTAAAAATAAAAACTAAAATTTAGTATTTTACTAGTTAAAAATTAAATGAATTTTTTTTGAGAAAAAAAATTATTATTTATTTTTAATTTTATTTTTTTTTCCCCGATTTAAATAGTTTTTAAAAAAACTTCCCGTGTTAATAAGTTATATTTTTTAAAAAAATAGTGTTAAAAATTTTTTAATTTTTTTTTATTCCTTTTTTAAATGATCTAGGTAATTTAAACGGTTTAAATTTTTAAAGGGGCCCCCGGGGGTTTGGAAAGGGGAAAACATTTGTTTGGAAAAGGTTTTCCCAAAATGACTATTGGGCCCAGTTTGGAAAAAAAAAACCCCCAAAATCTCCTTCAACGACGAAGAGATTGCTGCTAGATTCCCACAACGAGATGACATTGCTCTAGCCAACGCTGGTTCGTGAAATTTTTATATTTTCACTAAGTTTTGACATTCAACTAATTCTTGGTCTTTAAATGCAATATAACGTTTGATACTTCAGTGGTGCTAGCAGGGGGAAGCAATGGATTTCAGTGGACTAAGATCGAACTGCCAGCTGATGGGGGATGGTCTGACTTTTCTGATTGGTATGAGTGCTCGGTTGCATGCGGAGGAGGATCTCAAAGTAGAAGCAGAAATTGTTCTAACCCTACTCCAGCAAATGGAGGGGCTGGTTGTGATGGAGACGAGTTGGAATTTCAAGACTGCAACGCTGACCCTTGCCCCGTTGACGGAAGATGGTCTGAATTTTCGGATTGGTCTGAGTGCTCGGTTGCATGCGGAGGAGGATCTCAAAGTAGAAGCAGAAGTTGTTCTAACCCTACTCCAGCAAATGGAGGGGCTGGTTGTGATGGAGATAATTCGGAATCTCAAGACTGTAACATTGGTCCCTGTCTAGGTAACAATAACATTAAGTGATTGATTGGAGACTGGTCCGTGGTGCCAGTCAATGTTTACTCACAAAGATATGGTTGTAATGATTTGCACACTATATATCGACATACACTGTATATCGTCACGCAAATTATATCGCCATGTAGTACAATGCCTATTGCCTTACAGGCTTTTTCTGCTACATACGCTAGGGACCTCAGATACACCGTATTTTTGACCGTAGAATTCATTAAAAGTGGTCCTGAAAATGTTTAAGTAGTCATGGTACAAACTCAAAAACGAAAGTGTCAATGGTAATGACCCTTTACGAAACCATAGGCTTATCAGCATCGTAATCCTTGTCCAATTTCCATCCGATGATCTAATCGTAAACCAATTTTATTTCAATATATGACTATGATGTTTGCCCATCCTTGTCCATCCATTGAAATTGAATGGTCGACATTTGTTCCAATATTTTTGTGCTCAAGGAAACTTTTTATCAGTGCCTTGTGATCCGGGACAGTATTTCGACAGTGATAGTTTATGTCAAGACTGTTTAGTCGACACCTACAGTGGAGGAGAATTTGTTACATCCTGCACGTCTTGTCCTTCTGGCAAAACTGTTAGTTCTGGATCAGGAAAAAATATTGAGGACTGCGAATGGAGTGAGTTCAATTAAAAACGATTTAGTTGCTTAAATATAGCAGTATCTTTCTAATTATAAACCAATTCTAACTCAATGAATCATGTATTATACGATGTTTGCTAATCCTTATCCATCTATTGAATGATCGTAATGTATTCGAACATGTTTGTGCTCAAGGAAACTTTTTATCAGAGCCTTGTGACCCGGGACAGTATTTCGACAGTAGTAGTGGATGTCAAGACTGTTTAGTCGACACCTACAGTGGAGGAGAATTTGTTACATCCTGTACTTCTTGTCCTTCTGGCAAAACTGTCAGTTCTGGATTAGGAACAAATATCGAGAACTGTGAATGGAGTGAGTTCAATATAAGTATTTGATATTGCCGCTTGGAAATGATTTTAATTATAATTCTCTTATCTTAAACCAGCTTTAACTCAATCTATAAATATGATGTTTGCTAATCTTTATACATAAAAGAAATGGTCGCTATGCGTGAAAGTATTTTAATAATCAAGGAAACTTTTTATCAGAGCCTTGTGATCCGGGACAGTATTTCGACAGTAGTAGTGGATGTCAAGACTGTTTAGTCGACACCTACAGTGGAGGAGAATTTGCTACATCCTGTACGTCTTGTCCTTCTGGCAAAACTGTTAGTTCTGGATCAGGAACAAATATCGAGGACTGCGATTGGAGTGGGTTTGATATTCAATAGTGTCAATTAAAAAACGATTTAGTTACTGAAATATAGCAGTATCTTTCTAATTATAAACCAATTCTAACTCAATGAATGTATACGATGTTTGCTAATCCTTATCCATCTATTGAATGATCTTAATGTATTCCAAAATGTTTGTGCTCAAGGAAACTTTTTATCAGAGCCTTGTGACCCGGGACAGTATTTTGACAGTAGTAGTGGATGTCAAGACTGTTTAGTCGACACCTACAGTGGAGGAGAATTTGCTACATCCTGTACGTCTTGTCCTTCTGGCAAAACTGTTAGTTCTGGATCAGGAACAAATATCGAGGACTGCGATTGGAGTGGGTTTGATATTCAATAGTGTCAATTAAAAAACGATTTAGTTACTGAAATATAGCAGTATCTTTCTAATTATAAACCAATTCTAACTCAATGAATGTATACGATGTTTGCTAATCCTTATCCATCTATTGAATGATCTTAATGTATTCCAAAATGTTTGTGCTCAAGGAAACTTTTTATCAGAGCCTTGTGACCCGGGACAGTATTTTGACAGTAGTAGTGGATGTCAAGATTGTTTAGTCGACACCTACAGTGGAGGAGAATTTGTTACATCCTGTACTTCTTGTCCTTCTGGCAAAACCGTCAGTTCTGGATCTGGGACAAATATTGTGGACTGCGAATGGAGTTAGTTCGATATTTTTTAAAAACTGATGTTATTTTTTTTAACAATGTAATTGCTTAATTACAGTATTATATTTCTAATCGTAAGCCAATTTTAACTCAATAAATGAATATGATGTTTGCTAATCCTTTTCCATAAAATAAATGGTCGCAATGCGTGAAATGTTTTAAAATAATCAAAGAAACCTTTTATCAGTGCCTTGTGACCCGGGACAGTATTACAACAGTAGTAGTGGATGTCAAGACTGTTTAGTCGACACCTACAGTGGAGGAGAGTTTGTTACATCCTGTACTTCTTGTCCTTCTGGCAAAACCGTCAGTTCTGGATCTGGGACAAATATTGTGGACTGCGAATGGAGTTAGTTCGATATTTTTAAAAAACTGATGTTATTTTTTTTAACAATGTAATTGCTTAATTACAGTATTATATTTCTAATCGTAAGCCAATTTTAACTCAATAAATGAATATGATGTTTGCTAATCCTTTTCCATAAAATAAATGGTCGCAATGCGTGAAATGTTTTAAAATAATCAAAGAAACCTTTTATCAGTGCCTTGTGACCCGGGACAGTATTACAACAGTAGTAGTGGATGTCAAGACTGTTTAGTCGACACCTACAGTGGAGGAGAGTTTGTTACATCCTGTACTTCTTGTCCTTCTGGCAAAACCGTCAGTTCTGGATCTGGGACAAATATTGAGGACTGTGAATGGAGTGAGTTCGATATTAAATAGTGTCAAGTAAAAACGATTTAGTTGCTTAAATATAGCAGTATCTTTATGATTATAAGTCAATTCTAACTCAATGAATGTATACGATGTTTGCTGATCCTTGTCCATCTATTGAATGATCGTAATGTATTCCAACTTTTTTGTGCTCAAGGAAAATTTTTATTAGAGCCTTGTGATCCGGGACAGTATTTCGACAGTAGTAGTGGATGTCAAGACTGTTTAGTCGACACTTACAGTGGAGGAGATTTTGTTACATCCTGCACGTCTTGTCCTTCTGGCAAAACTGTTAGTTCTGGATCAGGAAAAAATATTGAGGACTGCGAATGGAGTGAGTTCAATTTTGAAATAAGTTTATTAAAATTATATTTGTTTTATAACCTTACATTAATTGCACATAAACTAAGATGCAAATTAGTGATGCAAATTAGTGTTTCTTCTTTTTTTCTGCGTCAACTTTACCCTGACGGTGCCTCGACAGTTCCTTTTGCCTGAACAGAACCCGTACTGTACATCAACTAAGACTTGGTTCGTGCCTTAACTGTACCCCAACCATGTATCGGCAGATTACCGATTTCCCAATGAAAAAGTGGCGTTAAATTAGTCTATATAAATGTAATGCATACGTTTTAACTCGATTTCATCCCATTCCTATTTCCTAACGTTTGAAAAATTTCATTTGTCACAAACAAAATCTAACAGTTATCATTGTAAAATGTAAATGCGAAATACTTTATTCTTGCCTAATTTACTTTCTTAGTTTGTGGTCGTGGAAGTTTTCTAGAAGCAGATGGAAAATGTGGCGATTGTAAAAGTGACGAGTTTTCTGACTGGGGTGCAACAAATGCAGACAACTGTAGGTGTCAATTTCAAATTATTAAATATTCTGACATAATTGAGGCGTATTAATATTATTATTTATTTAAATATACTTTCTTTTCAGTTTAATAACTTAAGTTAAGCAATTGAAAATGTATTATAATATTATTTATTAGTGTTCTCAAATAAAATTTGTCCCTGGAATCCGTTAAATTTCATGATTGTTCGAAAGCTGCACGACCTCTTAAGATATACCTAATACCAGGGTTATTTTATATGACAAGACAATTATAGATTGCCGCTTTTATTAACTGATACCGTTAAATTATTATTCAAGCAGGGTTGTAGGAAGCGGGGGGGGGGGGGGGGGGGCAGGTGGGAGGGCATCGCCCCCCAGAAAAATCTTGGGCAAGGGGCCCAAAAGGGCCAACATTATAATTTGGGTAACTAACACATTTTTGGGGACACAATTTATTCAAAGACAACAATGATTCAAAGATTATTCAGGCAAACAAATAAGTACATGTTTTGCATACCTATACATTCATGATCGAAAATATTTTTGTTTGAATTCCGAAGACCTGCACCCATACCTACGATCATACGATAATAGGACTACCTCTCTCTCTGATCAGGTCAAACGGTTTATTTCACTTCCAAAACATAAGCTGTGGCCTACTCCGTGCACAGAAATCACACTCTGCATAAGAGCAATCCACGGACTCACCGTCGTAGTATCCTCAAACCAACACCATCATAAATTAACAATCCAATCAATTTCTGAATGCCGCATACTCCTCCCGTGACACGCTCAACACCCCACTTCGGTAGTATTACCAAGGATTCCTACAATAGCCATCGTGGCCCTGACACATTTATGTAGACTAATTAGATATCTCGTAAAGGTAACTTACTTATTTTTATTATCTGGAAAAAATGTTTACATTACATGATTATACAACAATAGAAAAACAAATACCAAATTTTTATTAAATTTAATTAATATATAAACAAAAAACAATATATTTTTTTTATTACAACTCACCCCCTCTCCCCCCCCCTCCCCTCACCACCACCCCCCCCCAAAAAGATCTTCCTTGTATAGTCTTTTTGACTGTTCCACAAACTTTATGATGTGGTTGAGTTTGCTGTTGATAATTTCCTCCATTGTGAGTAGAGGTTTACCAAATATCCTCAGTCTGATAGTCATCAGCTGTACACATTTGCAGAGGAAATGTTGTAATGTTTCTGCTTCCCCTGGGCAGTGTTCGCAGTCTTGCGTCACAAAGTTGACGTTGTTAGCCACAGTCTGAAAATAAGCTAGTGGGCTGTGCCCTGATAGTAGCCATGTTAGCCATCTGAGGTGAGTTCCTGTGATATTAATATTCCTGTATTTGTATTTGTTAAGGAATAGTCCAAGAGGGATTTCCCCTTTATCACTGAGGTCGACCTGTTGGTATTTTAGACTCAAGGGTTCCCCTTTGTAATGCGATCTCGAAAGGCAGGCCTCCCCTTCGCGATACGAGCTCGGAAGCGGGAGCTCTGCCTTCAGAGTTACGTATCGAAAATGACTCTGACCGAAAATGAAAAATTTTCTAAGTCAAAATTTTTCTGGAAACTACTTTTGTTCATGTTTCATGCAATCATGATCATTATGAGCCGAAAATATTTGTTCGGTTTTCTGAAGTCCGCACCTACATTCGGAAGGCCGTGGATGTGATTGGTTTCATATAATTACAGAAAACGTTATATTTGGCCCGCATATTTGAAGGAAAATACGCAAATTTGGACCTCAGATTTAAAGGAAAATGTGCAACTGTCGCAAAGAACTGAAAGAAATCGCGATTTGTCGCAAGGCCAGGATCTGAAAAATCGCGATTTGTCGCGGAAAACGTGAAAATTCACGATTCCGCACATGCCGTAATTTTCTTTGTCTTAAACCCGAAAATATTTTGAAATTCAGGATGTGGCGCGAAGCGCCAAAAAATATTTAGAATTTGGCCCCCCCCCCCCCCATCCCCCCCCCCCCCCCCCCCCCAATTCCTACACACCTGTATTCAAGTAAGCTGTAAGAAAGATAAATTGAGCACGTGTCAGATTTTCAGATTATGACAAAAAATAATCTCAGGTTCGGTTACTCAGTATTTCTACGAAATGGATATTTCCAGTAAAGTACAAGAGAATGCAGTACATAATAAATACAGATCATATTGGCGTATTGAATCTGGATTAAGGATCTTATTTGTCTTCAACGACCAAGAGATGCAAAATTCTGCTTGTGATATGACCATCGAAATACAAGATATCGAGCTCGAAATTGATGTAATGCATTTTAGAAACACAATCAGTGATCCGGAGAAACTTATAACATATACACTTGGTGACGACGAAAATGAACTTACGATATCCGCACTTCAAACCATAATGATCGATGTGAAAGATAAGGTACGAATAGAAATAAACGAGGAGAGACTTAGGTTCACAAACCATGGAAAGTATGTCGTTGATAGCGATGCCCAAACTATTTCAATAACCGCTTCTGAAGAGAGCTGTTTGAGATTCCTTGAAGAATACAGCTACATCGAGCGATTGCCGGAAGATGATTATTTTATCCAGCGGATCGACGAAATTGATACCGTTACTTCAATTCCTGTTATCGAAACACCGAGGGGAGAAGTCATTCCTATCGAGTTATGCAAAGCAGCCTTTTTCCGGGACTGCTTCGTAGTAAACTTAGGATTTGAGGACACGTGGCTGGATGAAGATAACGTTGTGAAGAGCATCAAGATACCCCTAATACCAGAGAACAGGGCGATCGAGGTTACATCGAATTTGGGAATACTTTACCGTGTACAAGACTTCCTCGTAGATTCAGACTTGTCAGATGGCCAATCCCAGCTAGGCTTGTATTTAGAGACAGAGAATGGAACTAGCATCAAAATTCTTAAGTACATCGAATACACTGGACCTGGTGAAGTCATCAAACCAGAGCCATTGGAGGAAGAGGGAACTGAGAGACCACCACCCAAAGCTGTTACTTTCCACCGCCAAGAAGTGACGGATAAGCCGATCGTTGTAGTACCCCCGGTAATAGAGGCACTTTTGAATAACAACACAATTTTCAATTTCATGACTCCATCAGAGGAAGATAAGGATGAAAGCGAAGACGATGATAAGGAGGAAGAAACATTGAATACTTTTAAACCTCAGTTGAATGATGCCGTGCTGCCTGTAAAGTCAGTCAAGGTAAAGGAAAAAGAATACACGGAGAACAGAGAGAAGCCTAATCTACTTGGCTACTTTACATATAATGGGTTTTTCGACATAGGTGTTTCGAAAAGCAAAATAAAAAAGAAGAAGAATTCGGAGCAGGTTGAATCTAAAACAGAAGAAATTGAAGAACAACCGATGAACCAAGGCATTGATCAAGACTCTTTTGTTGAGGCCATAAAGGCATTTCAGAGATTTAATGGATTTCCGGAGACCGGTGAAATATCAGAAAAGAAGCTGAAGTTATGACGTCTGAAAGGTGTGGAAACCGTGACACTTCCTTCAAGGACGAGATGGGAACGTTCAAATGTGAAGAGGGAGAGGGTGTGATTGAAAGTGATAGCAATTCAAGAGACCCCTGCATTCTTGATAATGATAGTGTGTTGAACATTTGCACTCAATATCCAAATAGATTGGCTGATGGAACCAGAAATGAAATTTGGGAAAACAATGACAACTATTATTTTGAGTTTGACGTCGAGTTTGGTGCAAAAAGCAAATCACAGTCTCATATAGGAATCGCCTTTAACCACAATCAAGTAACTCATCAATCCATCTACGTGATGGTAAATCACGAGCGTCAAAACGAACGACTTTCCTTTAGATATGGAATTTATACTCGAGGACGTAGAAAGCCTGCTAACAGAAAACCACCCTACGTATATTTTGACCATGATCAAAGAATTGCTCATCGTTTTAAGATTAGACTGACCGTCAAACCAAAAAAAGCATCCATCGCAGTTAATGGAAAAAGAGTGTTCGAGTTTGCCACAAATTTGGACGCAGATTCTTCAGTCGTCTTGTTCACGCTGGGAGGCTCGAATTACCTAAATCACAAGATAAAGATTCTAACATCCAGGATATGTACTAGGAACCAGGACCACGTATCAAACACAGGAGGAAGACTAAGAGCTAAGCGGTACGCTTTGTCTAATTTCAGATGGTATCCTAATGGAAAATCAATAACTTACACCTTTCTCAACCACAGCTCAAATCTAGGTAAGTTTCAAATATCATGATGATGGCAAGTTTAGGTAAAATGCACTATTATTGAACTTTATTATTGATCATTTGGTCGACAACGGATCATATTTTGAAAAGAAAATTGCGGGAATCATCCTTTATTGATTGATCGTAACATCGAAATTATACAGGATGGCCCATAAAACACTACCCATCCTTATCTTTTAAAATTGTTACATGTCGCTGAGATCTTGCAAAGTATTTTTAAAACAAAAAGTGGCATAACTTATGTTCTGATAAATATTTTTGCTTCTAAATTTCACAGAATGTTAATAACAAGTAGCTAAACCTTTGTGGCAAGTTATTTAACTGATAAGGACTATCACAGATGATCCTTCCTGCTTGTTGATATCGTTCTTCTCACATGGAATGTGCGATGGATCATGGTGAATAGAATTGGTAAAACATAAATAAATCGGTGGTTTTTTAATTTTTTTACCCTGGATTTTTTTTGGTGGTTCCTATTGACCATTGCAAACAGTTCTGGGTGAGAAATTAAAGCTAGCACGCTCAGGGGCTAACGTTGACAGACAAGCTCAGACTCACGCAAAACTTGGCACGAACTTGTGTCTAATTATGATTGACATTCTCTAAAAATTTTAAGCAAAAATATTAATCAGAACGTAAGTTATGGCGCTTTTCCATTCTGAAATAAAATAATTTGCAAGATCTCAGCAACCTGTAACAATTTTAAGAGATAAGGATGGGTAGTGTTTTATGGGCCACCCTGTATATCAGCCGACCAATCCGACTGTTGAGTGTTGAAATAGAAAATGAGGGTTTTTCTGGTATAATGATTAAATCGAGGATTGTATGATAAACTTACGATTCTCTCCTTTAGGAGAGGAGCTTACTCGGAGAGAAGTGATCAGAGCAATCGAGGTGTACGCAGGAAATGGAATCGAGTTTCAAGAAGCAAATCCATCAGACGTCCATAGCACTGACATTATTTTCATGTTCATGAACGATAATCGGCACGCTGATGGTAAGGTGTTTCACGGTGCTGGTGTTGAAAAGGCCCACGCGTTTGTCCCAGTCAATGGAGAAATTCATTTCAACAACTTTGAGACTTATTCCGTGAAAAAACAAGACGCAGGGAAAACAAGTTTGTTTTACGTCGCTCTCCACGAAATTGGTCATGCTCTAGGTCTAAAACATTCGTCGCTTCATGATGCCGTCATGAACGAAAAGTTAGTTTCTATTTGAGTATTAGTAATAGTATTGATGTCTTGTAAATTGAAAAATCTTCTTTCTTGAAAAATCTTTGATTTTGACATGTCTGCATACATGATGTGTATGATCACAAGTCATTTAGCGTAGATTATCATGTCAAATGTGTTTTCATCCTATAATTTGATCATTTTAAGGTACGAACACGAAAAAGCTTACAATGTGGTAGCACTTGATGAGGATGACATTGATGCTATTTCAGTGCAGTACGGTAAGATATATCGTAGAATCACTAATACTATTCACTATTCAGTATTTTTGTAATGTTATATCGATTGTGCGATTATTTTTTCAATCGCCCAGCATATGGTTTGGTGTTGACTGTATATTTCTTTAGTAGGTGAGTTTGATTTTACTGAGGGTTTCCTGCCTAGGTCGATCCAGATGAAATCTGGAACGAGTTTCGTGTCAACGCTTCTCTCCATTTATCCCTATCACACATGAGTAAACACAGCTGGTCAGGTTCCATTCCAGTGTCTTCAAGTAGGACGTCCGGGAAGGTCTTATGTGGTCGTCCTCGATAACGCTGGCCATAGGATGGTTGCCAGAAAAGTAGTCGTTGAGCAGGTTGGTCCTGTAGACGGTAGACATGTCCTGCAAAACGAAGTCTTCGTGTCTTTATAGTATCTGTCACCGATGGAATCTTTCCGTAAAGAACGGAGTTAGGTGTATGTGATTTCCATGAGATACCAAAGACCCTTCGTAGCATTCTAGTATAAACACCGTCTAGTGCTCTGATATCAGCCTTTTTAAGAGACCAGGTTTCTGCACCATACAGCAGAACAGGTTCTACTGCAGTTCGAAAAATCTTAGTCTTGATCTTCCTGGACATATTAGATTTCCAAAAAGCATCTAGACTTTGTAAAGCTTTCCATGCGAGGCCTTTCCTGACATTGATGTCTCTGCTTGTTGAGGCTATAAAGGATCCTAGGTACTTAAAGTCATGAACTTCTTCTAAAGGGTTGCCGTTAATAAAGACTCTATCGTCTGAGTTGACAGGTCGCGGGATGTTATAGGACATGTATTTGGTCTTTCCGATGTTAATAAGGGGACCATAACGGGCTGCTATGTCAGAAATGCTTTGGCAAAGGCGGCCATTTTCGCTGAAGCTGTCAGTAATTGTTGCTAGGTCATCGGCGAAGTCCAAATCAGCAATGTAGTTACTTCCAACTTTAAACCCATCACGTGGCCCTATTGCTAGTCTTAGTATGAAATCCAGGACGATGATAAAAATGAGAGGTGCAAGAACATCGCCCTGGAGAATTCCGAGGTTGGTAAGGAATTCTAAGGTTATACCTTCAGGGGTCATGATTTTAGCCTTGGTGTTGATGTAGAGTGACATAATGGCTTTTATGATTTTTTTAGGAAAGCCGTAGGAAGCCAGGATGTCGGGAAGATGCGATCTGAAGATGCAATCAAAGGCCTTTGAGAAGTCAATAAAGGAGATGACACAAGGAAGCTGGAAGTTCACAACCTCTTCGATGATACGTCTAAGAGCCAGAATCTGTTCACGAGTACCTCTTCCAGGCCGGAAGCCATTCTGGTTGTATCGGAGGCGAGGTTCTATGTGGCTCCTGATTCGGTTTAGAAGCAGCCTGTTGTAGATTTTCGTGGCAACAGGGAGGATGGAGATGCCTCTGCTATTTTCAGGACAGAACTTTTTAGCTCCTTTGGGTATAGGAAGAATGGCAGTGACAAGAAGCTCTTCCGGGCTTTACCAGTAGCTAGCATGTTGTTGAACAGAGATAGTAAAGTAGTGTCCAAGTCAACACACTTGTACAGCAGAGAAGCAATTCCGTCATGACTGAGGGTTTAGTATAAGCTTAAAGTGAAAGAGGCCGGAGATTGGCCCATTTTTGCGGTTTAAATGATTACCTTATCGGACTTTATTTGAACGGACATTAATTGGACGCTGGAAGCTCTAGCGTTCATTTGAATGCCCGTTGAAATAAATTCCGACAAGGTAGTTAAATTTAAATTAAATGTATTAATGAATGCCTTCAAGCGTTTATTTTAATGTCCGTTCAAAATTAAGTCCGTTTTCGCAATTTCCGGTCGAATAAATATACTGAATAGGATTAGTCTTGTTGACAAAATATGTACAAGAGCGTATATTTAGCTTTCTTTTCAGATTCTAAAGTTATTTTCAACCTTTTCTTTTCCGCTATTCTTAGCTATATATTTTAAAGAAAAGACAAGTTAACATGTTGTATAATACGGCAGGCGAGGTAGTAAAACAACGGTTAGGGTCAGCTATTCCACCCCGTTCGACCAGTCTTGACTATGAAGATATCAAGGGGCTCGCTGAAACTGTTCAATACGATGCCCGACTGCCTTACCCCAGTAACTGCCTTGATTCTATCGATGCAGCTTTATACTTCTACGACAGGAAGATCTCTCCACAAAACGACAAAATATTCCTCATCTCGCACGGTTATACTTGGATGTAAGTCAATACTGGATTTACGGAGAGTAAGGAAATTTTCTGCAGACACAATAATCAAAACGAAATATTTCAAATTTCAGGGCTCAGACCCCATATAATTATAATGTGAAATTTGTGTCTAATTTTTGGAGTTGTTCATTAATCTATCGGATAAAATTTAAAGAATAAAGTTTAAAACGCCCAGGTACGATGCAACATCATTAGCTATGCAAGGTGGCTATCCAAAACGAACAGCCGAGGTCTTTCAAGGGGCCACTGGTGTAGTTGATGCTGCGTTTGATAGTTAGTTACCAAAATCATATTTACTAATAGGGGTAAAACAAATAAAAGAACCAGAGTTTAGTATTGTATTAATTGTAGTCTGGTACAACTTTGTAGTTGTACACTGTGCAATACTACACGTTTTAAAATACGTATTAATTATAATATAACAATGGTATTGCAGACCATTATCATGATCAATTATGAATATAAAGCATTTTTGTGGCTTCTTAAATACATCGATTTCAGCAGGGAAATTCGTTGTTCTCATCATTAAAGACAAGGTATTGATTTACGAATGGGACATGGTCCTTTTCCCCCGCCAAACAGCAACCTTGTCGTCATACTTCAACCTTCCTGCCGGTACCAGGGTAAAATCTGCTTTCAACCACTACAAGGGACCGTGTAAAAGTAACAAGGACATCTGCGCTAAAACAACGCTCGTCGTGTCTCCTACGAAACATTATATAGTGACATGGACCCGAAAGGTAGGTATAAAGGTAGATATAAAGGTGGATATAAAGACTAGCTGACATATGGTTTTCTAGTTTATTGGACTGTAAATGTAATCATCACAGTGTAGTAATACCTGAACTCTTAGACAGGATCGTCATTAGTTATTTTGGTCCTCTTATCGTCTCATTGCAGTAAACAATTTACCGTATGATAAATAGCATATTATAAATTAGAAGTAACATGGTTTGTAAGATTTCCTTAATTTTAAGGAAATCCGAGCCCATCACCTCCCATCACCTTATCAATTTTGTGATTTCTAAGAAGCCTGACACAGTGAGTGGAATTATTAGTAAGTGAATTTCCAACTGTTTCAGTCTTCTTAGATACTGAAATCAATTTATACACTGCTACCAGGGTCGTCAAGTCAAGACCACAACAGTTGGAAATGGAAAAGATGTTATTGGTCAAGAAATGGGGGATAGCCAGTTTCAGGCGGCATATGAGTACATGAGGACACGAGGGGACACCGAGGAAAAGGAAGTTATGATATTTGATAATAACAAGGTGAGAATAACGTTTATTTTGCTGTCAGTTTCATCATCTCTTGTATCTTCAGACTTAGTCACTTTAGTGCAGGTGTTGAATAAAGTTATATTTATATATTAACAATTAACGGGTGATACTCGTAAAATATTTGTTTCAAATATTATTATTATTATAAATATCAAGACCGTCGACGAGTCCATATCGGCGCGCGTCTTGGTAGGTTATAAACCTACAAATTAACAATTGTATAGGATTTGAAGACTTAATATTCTCGGTATTCTAAAGATGAGGTACACTATATTCAATTAAACGCTTGGTTTTTTCTTTCAGGCTGCGATAAGCAGAGTTTATTATCCGGGAGACGATTATAAACTTCGAACAGGTTGGGTGAGCACCCCAGATTTCTTCAGAATTTTCGGATGGTGTGTTGCTTAAACAGTATTAGCCATTAAATCGTGGAAAATTGGGAAAGAAGATATTATAGAAAAACTATATTATGCATGATATGTAATAAAATTTTTATGAATTGTTCGTAACTTACTCAGTTTCTTATAACTTAATTTTGGGCTATTTTTAAAATGAATGACTGATGACTTTAATATTTTTTGACCTTATAACTGTTAATCTGTTTTGTTTTGAGCGTGCTTAATCACTCTACTCTGTACACTCGAATGTTGGGATTTTTGAACGGCCCCTGGTACAGTTGAAACCGTTCGACGTATCTCTAACCGCTGATCCGAATCACCAAACAGGACATAAAATGCTTACCTGACGAATTATCGGTGATAAATTATTTTGATCGCATGAAATGGATATATAAGGAAGTAGGCAAGTGATTGGGTTAGCAGTTAGGGCTTTGGTTTGCATTCGTCAGTAACGTGGTAATGAGTGTTGAGCGAATATTCGTCTTCCCTAAATTCAGGGATTTTATCTCAAGAAAGGAAATGGCGAGCATTTGCTGTTATTTAATTTTAGGCAATTTATTAATTCTCTTTAATTTATTTTTGCAGAGCAATTTGTTTATTACTAATACTATAAATACTAATAAATCTCACTTCATTATAAATACAATAAGATACATTCGAGATGCTGGAAGTTATATTCCTGGAGAATGGATCAAAGGAGAAAGGAAAAAATCATATTATATTGTCTCATTTTTGTACCATTTTCAAAAATTGAAAATGGAATGTCCTAAACCGAAATTTCACAGATTGGATGGGGATTTGTCCATTGACCAAATAGTCAGTGACCAAATAAGTAGGATATAGGGTGACCTAAAGGCTTAATCATATCAGTTGAATTTAAAACTAGTGAATTCATTGAAGAAAATGTTAAAATAAATGAGACATCTTAGTGACAGTGCCAACTTCCGAATACCAAGAGCAAGTGTTATTCAATTTTTTAGAAACTAGAGGGTTACCCTCTAGTTATATGGCTAATTTTTTACTGGCTCTCTCTTTTTGATTCACTGAATTAAATATTTAACATTATTCACACGTAGTGACCTGTGACAGTACTTGTATACCTGGCCAAAAAGAACATCAGTTTTAAGTACAGTTAAACCTCTTGATATACAGTATAAAAACGAAAGGTGTACGGTATAGAAAAAAAAACCCACGGCCCACTTATATCTGTGGTCATATGCATTTCACAATACACTTTGCAGAACTGTCCTAACCAGTAATTTCAGAATGGATACACAGATGGTTTGAAAATCTGATCTCTGCTCAAATAATTGGAAAAGAAGCATGGAAAAAGTCTTACTGACTTATCTTGTTCTCATCTTTGTCGGGCCACAAATCGCAAGAACAACAGGTTTGACACATCACTACATTGTTAATGTTAGTTGATTATTGGCTACTCAATATAATTGATATAAATAATAATTTTTATCAATTATCTAGATATTATCTCGATAATTGATAAAATTATATAAATTGATAAAATTATATAATCTACAGGGAGAGGGAGAGGGAGAGGGAGAGGGAGAGGGAGAGGGAGAGGGAGAGGGAGAGGGAGAGGGAGAGGGAGAGGGAGAGGGAGAGGGAGAGGGAGAGGGAGAGGGAGAGGGAGAGGGAGAGGGAGAGGGAGAGGGAGAGGGAGAGGGAGAGGGAGAGGGAGAGGGAGAGGGAGAGGGAGAGGGAGAGGGAGAGGGAGAGGGAGAGGGAGAGGGAGAGGGAGAGGGGAGAGGGAGAGGGAGAGGGAGAGGGAGAGGGAGAGGGAGAGGGAGAGGGAGAGGGAGAGGGAGAGGGAGAGGGAGAGGGAGAGGGAGAGGGAGAGGGAGAGGGGAGAGGGAGAGGGAGAGGGAGAGGGAGAGGGAGAGGGAGAGGGAGAGGGAGAGGGAGAGGGAGAGGGAGAGGGAGAGGGAGAGGGAGAGGGAGAGGGAGAGGGAGAGGGAGAGGGAGAGGGAGAGGGAGAGGGAGAGGGAGAGGGAGAGGGAGAGGGAGAGGGAGAGGGAGAGGGAGAGGGAGAGGGAAGGGAGAGGGAGAGGGAGAGGAGAGGGGAGAAGGGAGAGGGAGAGGGAGAGGGAGAGGGAGAGGGGAGATGGAGAGGGAGAGGTGGGACGAGGGGAGAGGGAGAGGGGCGGGAGGAGGGAGCGTGAGCGGGAGGAGAGAGAAGGGAGAGGGGGAGTGGAGAGGGAGAGTGAGAGGGAGAGGAGTGGGGTGAGGGAGAGGGGAGGAGGGTGAGGGAGAGGGAGATGGAGGCAATTATAACGAGACATGACTATCTAGAGTGATATAATTATGAAATGAATTCGCCGAGTTTAGTATAGTAGATACAAATGGTGATACTGTTGGCGCTGGAATTCTTAGGTTGCTGATCACCAATGAGGGAACAGTTTGTGACGATGGTTTTAGTGATTACTCAGCTGACGCTATTTGTCGTCAAATGGGATATATTGGTCAAATAACGTGGACATCCGGTAGTAAGTGGGACATCCAGTCAAACTATGATATTACTCTGGACGACGTTTCATGCAGCAGCGGTGAATGGAGTTCGTGTTCATTTACATTATACGACAATTGTGGTCACAGTGAAGACGTGTTTCTACAGTGTGAAGGGATTGGTGAGTCGATCTTATGAACATGTGTCCAAATTTTCATTCAAAATGAATAAAAATTGAAGGTGTCATAAAATGACAGTCTATAAATTTGTCATGCAAGAAAGTCACAAGATTAACATTATTTTTTTACAGTTTTACTTGATGGTGGCTTCTCTGATTTTGGACAGTGGTCAGACTGTTCAGAGTTTTGTGGAGGTTCTCAAACAAGAACAAGGGACTTGTACTAACACCTGCTCCAGCTTATGGTGGTGCAGATTGTGTTGGGAAGTGTCTGAAAGTCGACCTTGCATAAAAGATAACCGGAAGTGTCCAGGTTGAAATATCCTTTCCTTTTAAGATTTGCTAATATTATTCATCCCCACTCTCCCGGGGAAAACTTATTTATTATGATTATCTCGATTAAATTTCTCAAAACAGCGTAAATTATTTATCAATGTTTAGAGTTGGCTATTTTTAACGAATTCAAATCCCAGATTTTAGTCTGGTGGACTCTAATGGTGATACTGTTGGCGCTGGAATTCTTGGGTTACTGATTAGCAATGGAGGGACAGTTTGTGACGATGGGTTCTAATGATAACTCAGCTGATGCTATTTGTCGTCAAATGGGATATATTGGTCAAATAAGCTGGACATCCGGTAGTAAGTGGGACATCCAGTCAAACTATGATATTACCCATGGGACGACGTTTCATGGCAGCAGGCGGGTGAAGTGGAGTTCGTGTTCATTTACATTCAACGACAATTTTGTGTTCACGGCGAAGACGTGTTTCTACAGTGTGAAGGGATTGGTGAGTCGATCTTATGAACATGTGTCCAAATTTTGATTCGGTTCAAAATGAATAAAAATTGGAGGGTGCCATAAAATGACAGTCTATTAATTTTTCATGCAAGAAAGTCACAAGAATAACATTATTTTTCAGTTTTACTTGATGGTGGCTTCTCTGATTTTGGAGAGTGGTCAGGACTGTTCAGAGTTTTTGTGGAGGTTCTCAAACAAGAACAAGGACTTGTACTAACCCTGCTCCAGCTTATGGTGGTGCAGATTGTGTTGGGGAAGTGTCTGAAAGTCGACCCTTGCATAAAAGATAACCGGAAGTGTCCAGGTTGAAATATCCTTTCCTTTTAAGATTTGCTATATTATTCATCCCCACTCTCCCGGGGAAAACTTATGATTATCTCGATTAAATTTCTCAAAACAGCGTAAATTATTTATCAAATGTTAGAGTTGGCTATTTTTAACGAGTTCAAATCCCAGATTTTAGTCTGGTGGACTCTAATGGTGATATTGTTGGCGCTGGAATTCTTGGGTTACTGATTAGCAATGGAGGGACAGTTTGTGACGATGGTTCTAATGATAACTCAGCTGATGCTATTTGTCGTCAAATGGATATATTGGTCAAATAAGCTGGACATCCGGTAGTAAGTGGACATCCAGTCAAACTATGATATTACCCTGGACGACGTTTCATGCAGCAGCGGTGAATGGAGTTCGTGTTCATTTACATTCAACGACAATTGTGGTCACGGCGAAGACGTGTTTCTACAGTGTGAAGGGATTGGTGAGTCGATCTATGAACATGTGTCCAAATTTTGATTCGGTTCAAAATGAATAAAAATTGGAGGTGCCATAAAATGACAGTCTATTAGTTTTTCATGCAAGAAAGTCACAAAAATAACATTATTTTTCAGTTTTACTTGATGGTGGCTTCTCTGATTTTGGAGAGTGGTCAGACTGTTCAGAGTTTTGTGGAGGTTCTCAAACAAGAACAAGGACTTGTACTAACCCTGCTCCAGCTTATGGTGGTGCAGATTGTGTTGGGGAAGTGTCTGAAAGTCGACCTTGCATAAAAGATAACCGGAAGTGTCCAGGTTGAAATATCCCTTTCCTTTTAAGATTTGCTAATATTATTCATCCCCACTCTCCCGGGGAAAACTTATGATTATCTCGATTAAATTTCTCAGAACAGCGTAAATTATTTATCAAATGTTTAGAGTTGGCTATTTTTAACGAGTTCAAATCCCAGATTTTAGTCTGGTGGACTCTAATGGTGATATTGTTGGCGCTGGAATTCTTGGGTTACTGATTAGCAATGGAGGGACAGTTTGTGACGATGGTTCTAATGATAACTCAGCTGATGCTATTTGTCGTCAAATGGGATATATTGGTCAAATAAGCTGGACATCCGGTAGTAAGTGGGACATCCAGTCAAACTATGATATTACCCTGGACGACGTTTCATGCAGCAGCGGTGAATGGAGTTCGTGTTCATTTACATTCAACGACAATTGTGGTCACGGCGAAGACGTGTTTCTACAGTGTGAAGGGATTGGTGAGTCGATCTTATGAACATGTGTCCAAATTTTGATTCGGTTCAAAATGAATAAAAATTGGAGGTGCCATAAAATGACAGTCTATTAGTTTTTCATGCAAGAAAGTCACAAGAATAACATTATTTTTCAGTTTTACTTGATGGTGGCTTCTCTGATTTTGGAGAGTGGTCAGACTGTTCAGAGTTTTGTGGAGGTTCTCAAACAAGAACAAGGACTTGTACTAACCCTGCTCCAGCTTATGGTGGTGCAGATTGTGTTGGGGAAGTGTCTGAAAGTCGACCTTGCATAAAAGATAACCGGAAGTGTCCAGGTTGAAATATCCTTTCCTTTTAAGATTTGCTAATATTATTCATCCCCACTCTCCCGGGGAAAACTTATGATTATCTCGATTAAATTTCTCAAAACAGCGTAAATTATTTATCAAATGTTTAGAGTTGGCTATTTTTAACGAATTCAAATCCCAGATTTTAGTCTGGTGGACTCTAATGGTGATACTGTTGGCGCTGGAATTCTTGGGTTACTGATTAGCAATGGAGAAACAGTTTGTGACGATGGTTCTAATGATAACTCAGCTGATGCTATTGTCGTCAAATGGGATATATTGGTCAAATAAGCTGGACATCCGGTAGTAAGTGGGACATCCAGTCAAACTATGATATTACCCTGGACGACGTTTCATGCAGCAGCGGTGAATGGAGTTCGTGTTCATTTACATTCAACGACAATTGTGGTCACGGCGAAGACGTGTTTCTACAGTGTGAAGGGATTGGTGAGTCGATCTTATGAACATGTGTCCAAATTTTGATTCGGTTCAAAATGAATAAAAATTGGAGGTGCCATAAAATGACAGTCTATTAGTTTTTCATGCAAGAAAGTCACAAGAATAACATTATTTTTCAGTTTTACTTGATGGTGGCTTCTCTGATTTTGGAGAGTGGTCAGACTGTTCAGAGTTTTGTGGAGGTTCTCAAACAAGAACAAGGACTTGTACTAACCCTGCTCCAGCTTATGGTGGTGCAGATTGTGTTGGGGAAGTGTCTGAAAGTCGACCTTGCATAAAAGATAACCGGAAGTGTCCAGGTTGAAATATCCTTTCCTTTTAAGATTTGCTAATATTATTCATCCCCACTCTCCCGGGGAAAACTTATGATTATCTCGATTAAATTTCTCAAAACAGCGTAAATTATTTATCAAATGTTTAGAGTTGGCTATTTTTAACGAATTCAAATCCCAGATTTTAGTCTGGTGGACTCTAATGGTGATACTGTTGGCGCTGGAATTCTTGGGTTACTGATTAGCAATGGAGGGACAGTTTGTGACGATGGTTCTAATGATAACTCAGCTGATGCTATTTGTCGTCAAATGGGATATATTGGTCAAATAAGCTGGACATCCGGTAGTAAGTGGGACATCCAGTCAAACTATGATATTACCCTGGACGACGTTTCATGCAGCAGCGGTGAATGGAGTTCGTGTTCATTTACATTCAACGACAATTGCGGTCACGGCGAAGACGTGTTTCTACAGTGTGAAGGGATTGGTGAGTCGATCTTATGAACATGTGTCCAAATTTTGATTCGGTTCAAAATGAATAAAAATTGGAGGTGCCATAAAATGACAGTCTATTAGTTTTTCATGCAAGAAAGTCACAAGAATAACATTATTTTTCAGTTTTACTTGATGGTGGCTTCTCTGATTTTGGAGAGTGGTCCAGACTGTTCAGAGTTTTGTGGAGGTTCTCAAACAAGAACAAGGACTTGTACTAACCCTGCTCCAGCTTATGGTGGTGCAGATTGTGTTGGGGAAGTGTCTGAAAGTCGACCTTGCATAAAAGATAACCGGGAGTGTCCAGGTTGAAATATCCTTTCCTTTTAAGATTTGCTAATATTATTCATCCCCACTCTCCCGGGGAAAACTTATGATTATCTCGATTAAATTTCTCAAAACAGCGTAAATTATTTATCAAATGTTTAGAGTTGGCTATTTTTAACGAATTCAAATCCCAGATTTTAGTCTGGTGGACTCTAATGGTGATACTGTTGGCGCTGGAATTCTTGGGTTACTGATTAGCAATGGAGGGACAGTTTGTGACGATGGTTCTAATGATAACTCAGCTGATGCTATTTGTCGTCAAATGGGATATATTGGTCAAATAAGCTGGACATCCGGTAGTAAGTGGGACATCCAGTCAAACTATGATATTACCCTGGACGACGTTTCATGCAGCAGCGGTGAATGGAGTTCGTGTTCATTTACATTCAACGACAATTGTGGTCACAGCGAAGACGTGTTTTTACAGTGTGAAGGAACTGGTGAGTCGATCCTATGAATATTGGGTTCTTTTGCGATAGTCAAAACGCGACAACTAGCGCTGGATGGTGACAACTAGCGCTATCCAGCGCTAGTTGTCGCCATCCAGCGCTAGTTGTCGCTATCCAGCGCTGGATAACGCTGGCCAGCGCAAAATATGTATGTTCGATAATTGTCGCTATCCAGCGCTAGTTGTCGCCATCCAGCGCTAGTTGTTGCTGGCCAGCGCTAGTTGTCGCTATCCAGCGCTAGTTATCGAACTGTTTTCTGCGATGGCCAGTTGCGCTGGCCATCGCAAACTATCGCGTGCGACAGTGTCGCATAGCCAGCGACAACTAGCGCTGGATAGCGACAACTAGCGCTGGATAGCGACAACTAGCGCTGGATGGCGACAACTAGCGCTGGATAGCGACAATTATCGAACATATATATTTTGCGCTGGCCAGCGTTATCCAGCGCTGGATAGCGACAACTAGCGCTGGATGGCGACAACTAGCGCTGGTTGTCGCCATCCAGCGCTAGTTGTCGTGTTTTGACTATCGCAAAAGAACCGAATATTGAATGTGTGTCCAGATTTTGATTCGATTCAAAATGAATAAAAATGACAGTCTATTAATTTGTCATTCAAGAAAGTCAAGCTGTAATTGATGGTGGCTTCACCGACTTTGGAGAGTGGTCAGACTGTTAAGCTTTTTGTGGAGAAGGTTCTGAAACCAGAATAAGGACTTGCACTTACCCTGCTCCAGCTCACTAAGGCACTGCACTCTTAATAAAAATATGCCAAACTGTGTAGATCAGCACGTTACGACAGTCCAAAAGTTTTGTTGTGCTCAAATGGCCAGATTTAGTGCAACCTCCTGACAGTATGTCGTCAACAGTTCTGTTGAAGTTTCCACTGGCATCTTCAGGCAAAAAGTATAATATTGTTGCTCCTGTCCGCTGCTTGTACCACAGACTTGAAGACTTTCTTAAACGTATAGGTCAGTGTAACTTCAGGTTGACGAACAATGACGTTTTCCGAACTGCGTCGCTGTACGATTTTAACTGACTCTCAGCCGTGTCTTTTACATCGGCATACACTGCCTGCAGAGTGCACCTGTTTCTCCTTGAAGTCAATAATTGTTTCCTGTAAGCTGATCACCCACTTCTGATTCTCAATTAACTGATTCTTGGTTGAGCTAAGTGCGATTTTCATTTGCTTTAACTTGTCATTTTGAAAGCAAACCTGATGAAATGATTCTGCCAGTAACATTGCTAACTTATCCTTCAAAAACCTCTTGCACAGAAAAGTAGTCATCTCAACTGGTGGTTCACAACTGAGCTGATTCAAAGCTTTCGCCATCCAAGCCTCAGCTTTAAAATAATACCATCGGTCTCCTTGTCGCCCGACGCCCACAGCTGCCAATGTAGTACAATGCCTATTGCCTTACAGGCTTTTTCTGCTCGATACGCTAGGGACCTCGGAAACACCGTATTTTTGACCGTAGAGTGCTTTAAAAAAGGTCATGAAATGATTAGACTGAGTTTCCCCGGCTTAAACCCGATTTTTGGTGCAAAAACCATGTTTTTAAATTATTGAGTATGTTAATTTCGTTGGCATATCAGCAAAAGTTGCCTAAACGTGAATTAGAACTATCTGCACAAGATAGCATCAATATTGTGCTATTGTTTCAGGATTTCCCCGAACAAAAATCCAATCTAATGGCGATATAGGGGTAGCTATATACAGTGTTTTAGTCTATCGACATACACTGTATATGATCGTCCCACAAATTATATCGCCATGTAGTACAATGTATTACAGGCTTTTTCAAAAATAACGTATACCCAATTATGGAATAAAGTAGCGGAATAAAGTAGCGAAATAAAATTGGATAAATAAATACTTTAGTATCTTACTATATATAAAGCGAGACGATATATATCTGTGCCATTTTACTGACACCACGGCATCAACTTTAACGCGACTTTCTGCAAAAACCGTAAAAGATATACAACTGAAACTTTTTTGGCTGGGTCAAATGCTTTGATGGCCTCCAAATCAGCATGAAAAATAAAAAATTGGCCAAGGAATAATGATTTTAGAGCCGAAAATTTGGACCCCCAAGTGGTGTCAAAAACGGAAATTAAATAGGTAATAATTATTTTAGTATCTTGAGTCTTGACACCGTTTAGGGTTATATTAAGAATCAATAGTTCCCACAGTCAGACAACGAATGAGTTTAAAAATTCCAACAAAATCTTTATAACATCATTGGTAAAACATTTTCGGACATCTTCAGTACCTAATAAAGATAAGGGTTAATACTCCAATTATATCAGAAAATTTTAATTTGAACTAAAGGATGTTAGCTGTAAAAAGAAGCCAAACTCTCAAAAATGGAATGGGAAGCACTCGGGTATGGGGGGTTGTGAGGCCCCAACTAGTCGGAAAAAATATACTAGTCCCTGCATTAAGGGTGAAATAATTTAAGGACCATTATCAAAAGTTTTATTTTCAAATAAAAGTGGCATACCAAAAGGATCACATGAATTAATACCATATGGTTTCAAAGTTCTGAGTTTTTGTATAAGTAGATGTTCGTTAACTTCTAAATTACTAGGACTAGAATTCTTTAGGATAAAAACATTATAAGAAGCATCAAAATCAGGTCTATTGGAAAGGTTATGTGAGTCTATTAGGTGAGCTGCTAAACTGTAAGTGTCACTATCATCAGATAAAAAATCATCACTATGTTTTAAGGAAGGGTCTTTCAATAATTTATAATAGTTAGCTCTATGTTCGGTTACTCTTTCATGCAAAGTCCTAATGGTACGTCCAACATAGCAGAAAGGAGATGGACATAATTTACAAATGAATATATAGACTATGTTGTAGCTAGAACAGGTCCCTGGAGCTTGTCTTATCTTGACTCCATTAATACAATAACACTTTTCACTTCCTATCATTGCACAACACTTACAATTTCTTTGATGGCAAGGTTCTGTTTTTGTTACAGTGTTATCCTCTGCGTGCAATTGTGGGTTGAGGAGTCTTCTCCGCAAAGATGCGCCTGATCTTTTAACATAACTGAATAGTCTTTTGCCGGTGTTTCTATCCTGGTTGGAGGTCTCCGTTGTACTTGTCGTGTCGGTGTTAGAGGTAGACGACAAACTCGGAGAAGTCTCTATGGTGGACTCAAACTTTTCAATTACGTCTATCAGTGCCGCGTCACCTCCGAAGGTGGAGATAACACGTATTGTGTTATCAGGGGACACAGGGAGCAATATAGAACTGTTCGAGGTGTCCCTGCAGGTGGGGAGCCTGCGTTCGAATGTTTTCACCTTCGAAGAGATGTTGTTGATCATCTTTTTCGGATAGTTTGAGTTCGAAAAGCACTCTTTCAGCTCGTCGATTCTTAGGGCTAACCTATCATTGTCATTGATGATACGGCGGAGACGGAGACATTGGGAATAGATGATGCTGCTGTAGACATGGTTAGGGTGGGTGGATCCAAAGTATAGATAAGACCTAGAATCAGTTTCCTTTACATACAGGTCAGTCTGGAGGTTTCCATCGACGTCAAATGTAAATTGTATGTCGAGGAAACAAGTAAATCCTCCAGGGTCTTCGATGCTGAACTCATCTATATTAAGACCTACACTACTGAGTCTCGAGTTGACATTAGAGATAAATTCTGAAAACTGTCTTTTTGTTCCATCAAAAAAACCCGCTCCATCGTCTATGTATCTCTTTACTGTTGACACGTTTTTCATCAAGTGTTCATCAGAATATACTACTTTTCTCATATAGTAGTAAACTGCTATATTCGCAATTTGTACACAGAGGCTTCCTCCCGTTGGTATTCCGACTAGTTGTTGGTACCAATCACCTTCAAATTGGCCAATAGAAGCTCTGAAGCTGAGGTCTACGAGGGCAAGGATCCATTGTTTGAACTCCTCACTCCATTCCGTTCGACATTCAGTCATAGCAACAGTTAGGGCTTCCATTGCCAAATCGGGTTTAAGAGAATCATATAATGCCTTGTAGTCAAAAGCAAAGCTTCTGAGCCGGCGTTTAGTATTGTGATCAAATGAACTGTTGATGCCGTCTAACCAGTTAAGTGCATCTCCAGAGTCGATAAGTAGATCCCCACAAAATTCACGTTCCAATGAGCGTAAAAATGTGTCAGCAAGGTAAACATCTGAACGTCTTGTAACTCCCTCTTGGAGTGCTGTAATAAGCCTTGCGGGTGGCTCAACACCAGGTTTCAAATCATCTTTCTTAAGCTTGTGAATTTTCAAGCAAGGGTAGAAGTAAGGCTTTCCTGGTTTGAAATGCGGTAAAGTGCTTTGAGCGTTTGTTGGTCCTGATTGGTCAGCTTTGAGTTCATTCGATATACCCATGATACTCTTAGCTGTCTTTGCAGGAATCAACCCTCTTGTCTTTCCGTCAATCCATAGGTTGACCAGTTCTTTGTGCAAGGCTTTGGTAGGGTCGTAGTCAAGTTTTTTGTACAAGGAAGGGTTGCTTAGTTTGTCAACTGATCTCTTTCTCAAAACATCAGGGTCAACAATTATGGTGGCACCACCCTTATCAGCTTTTGTGACGGCGATCTTTCCATCAGAAACTTGACGTTCTAACCATTTCAACCCTTTAAGTTCGTCTTTGGAGAGGTTTGAAGGTTTTTCAGGTTCATCATGTTGGAGTTTGATGTCCAGTTCTGTCCTCATTCTTTCGACAGTTTCATTCACAACTCTGTCAGTGGTGGAGGCTTTTGTTGTGTATCTTGGCTGTCTCAATTTTTTGGGGACTGGTTCAAAGGACTCGTCCTGAAGGAAAGGGGTGTTTTTCTTGGCGATGTTTCTGTTGGACTGGGTGATGACTTTATCTGACAAAAGTTTCATATCCAATCTAAGTTTCAGTTTGTCCACTTTTGGTGTTGGAACAAAACCTAATCCTTTACCAAGTAATGCAATAGCACCAAGAGGGATATCCATGTCAACCAAAACAACAACACTATGGTTCAAGATTGCTCTCTTGGCATCACGTTCAGTTCTACGTTGTTGGTTATGGTGTTTCCTTTTGTAGTTCCTAGTAGTGCGCCCTTGTTCTTGAACTTTCCTCAAAATGTTATTTGATTTGATTGGCCAAGATTTCCATTTATTTCGGTCCTGTAGGCGGTAAAATTCTAACTTCTTTTCAAAATGTTTCTTCAAATTAGAAATATATATTATACGGGTTCCTGCTAGTATTACTAATAGGCGGTGTATAGTATTATATCTGATGAAGATGAGCTTGAAAGATGAGCTTGCAAAAACTATCAGTTCTGAGAGCATAACAAGATCGTAACGGTTGAGCCTACTTAGTGCCTATTTAAATCTGTAAATGTAAATGAAACGCGTTTGCTAAAACTTACAAAATTATACTTCTCTGGAAGATTGTTACAGAAATTGACTAATGCAAGGGGGTTTGTGGATCAATCATAAAGTTAAATAAAGTAAAATTCTAGGTGAACGATGTTTAAGTGATTTGCACTGATAAAGTTGCATAGGCCTAGGGGGCTATAGATGATGATTGGGATGACTGATAAATTTAGATTACTGATAAGGCGAAATGTAGCATGTAAGGTGAAAGCTTTTAACGATTACTTGTTAGAACAGAACTTGAGTTTAGTTCGCTGTGCTAAGTCATCTTGATTTTGATTAAGAGAATTATAATTTGGTTCACAGATCAATCCTTGTACATTTTGTTGAAAATAGTTTAAAGTTGAATTTGCAAATCGCTTAAGAAAATTGCCTGTCAACCGAAAATGTTTAAGTAGTCATGGTACAAACTCAAAAACGAAAGTGTCAATGGTAATGACCCTTTAAGAAACCATAGGCTTATCAGCATCGTAATCCTTGTCCAATGTCCATCTATAATCGTAAACCAACTTTATTTCAATCTATGAATATGATGTTTGCCCATCCTTGTCCATCCATTGAAAATGAATGGTTGACATTTTTTCTAACTTTTTTGTGCTCAAGGAAACTTTTTATCAGTGCCTTGTGATCCGGGACAGTATTTCGACAGTGATAGTTTATGTCAAGACTGTTTAGTCGACACCTACAGTGGAGGAGAGATTCTTACATCCTGTACTTCTTGTCCATCTGGCAAAACAGTCAGTTCTGGATCAGGAACAAATATTGAGGACTGCGAATGGAGTGAGTTCGATTTTAAACATTGCCAATTTTTTAAAACAATTTAGTTGTTTAGTTACAGCATTATCTTTTTAATCGTAAGCCAACTCTAACTCAAGGAATGAATACGATATTTGCTAATCCTTGTCCATCCATTGAATGGTCGAAATGCATTACAACATTTTTGTGCTCAAAGAAACTTTTTATCAGTGCCTTGTGATCCGGGACAGTATTTGGACATTAGTAGTGGATGTCAAGACTGTTTAGTCGACACCTACAGTGGAGGAGAGTTCGTTACATCATGTACTTCTTGTCCTTCTGGCAAAACCGTTAGTTCTGGATCGGGGACAAATATTGAGGACTGCGAATGGAGTGAGTTCGAAATAAAAAACCTATGTAATTTTTTTAACGATGTAATTGCTTAATTACAGTATTATATAATGTATATCTAATCGTGAGCCAATTTATTCAATAAATGAATATGATGTATGCCAATGCTTGTAGATACAATGATTGGTTGCAATGCATGAAAACGATTTAAAATTATCAAGGAAACTTTTTATCAGAGCCTTGTGACCCGGGACAGTATTTCGACAGTAATAGTGGATGTCAAGACTGTTTAGTCGACACCTACAGTGGAGGAGAGTTCGTTACATCCTGTACTTCTTGCCCTTCTGGCAAAACTGTCAGTTCTGGATCAGGAACAAATATTGAGGACTGCGAATGGACTATGGAGTAAGTTCGAAATAAAAAACCTATGTAATTTTTTTAACGATGTAATTGCTTAATTACAGGATTATATAATGTATATATAATCGTAAGCCAATTTTAACTCAATAAATGAATATGATGTTTGCCAATCCTTGTAGATACAATGATTCGTTGCAATGCATGAAAACAATTTAAAATTATAATCAAGGAAACTTTTTATCAGTGCCTTGTGACCCGGGACAGTATTTCGATAGTAATAGTGGATGTCAAGACTGTTTAGTCGACACCTACAGTGGAGGAGAGTTTGTTGCCTCCTGTACTTCTTGTCCTTCTGGTAAAACCGTTAGTTCTGGATCTGGGACAAATATTGAGGACTGCGAATGGAGTGAGTTCGATATTCAATAGTGTCAATTAAAAACGATTTATTTGCTGAAATTTAGCAGTATCTTTCTAATTATAAGCCAATTCTACTCGATGAATGTATGCGATGTTTGCTAATCCTTGTCCATCTATTGAATGATCGTAATGAATTCCTACTTTTTTGTGCTCAAGGAAAATTTTTATCAGAGCCTTGTGATCCGGGACAGTATTTCGACAGTGATAATTTATGTCAAGACTGTTTAGTCGACACCTACAGTGGAGGAGAGTTTGTTACATCCTGTATTTCTTGCCCTTCTGGAAAAACTGTCAGTTCTGGATCTGGGACAAATATTGAGGACTGCGAATGGAGTGAGTTCAATTTTGAAATAAGTTTATTAAAATTATATTTGTTTTGTAACCTAACATTAATTGCACATGAACTAAGATGCAAATTAGTGTTTTTCTTTTTTTCTGCGTCAACTTTACCCTGACGGTGCCTCGACAGTTCCTTTTGCCTGAACAGAACCCGTACTGTACATCAACTAAGACTTGGTTCGTGCCCTAACTGTACCCCAACCATGTATCGGCAGATTACCGATTTCCCAATGAAAAATTGGCGTTAAATTAGTCTATATAAATGTAATGCATACGTTTTAACACGATTTCATCCCATTCCTATTTCCTAACGTTTGAAAAATTTCATTTGTGACAAACAAAATCTAACAGTTATCATTATAAATGCGAAATACTTTATTCTTGCTAAATTTAATTTCTTAGTTTGTGGTCGTGGAAGTTTTCTAGAAGCAGATGGAAAATGTGGCGATTGTAAAAGTGACGAGTTTTCCGACTGGGGTGCAACAAATGCAGACAACTGTAGGTGTCAATTTCAAATCATTAAATATTCTGACATATTATTATTTATTTATATACTTTCTTTTCAGTTTAATAACTTCAGTTAAGCAAGTACATATGGATTATAATATTATTTATCAGTGTTCTCGAATGAAATTTATCCCTGGAATCCGTTAAATTTTATGATTGTTCTGCGCGACCTCTTAAGATATATTTAATAGTAATACCAGGATTATTTTCATATGACAAGAAATGGCCGCTTTTATTTACTGATACTGTTATATTATTATTCAGGTAAGCTGTAAGAAAGATAAATTGTAAATCTTATATTGAGCACGTGTCAGATTTTCAGATTATGATAAAAAATAATCTCAGGTTCGGTTACTCAGTATTTCTACGAGATGGATATTTCCAGTAAAGTAAACGAGAATACATTACATAAAAAATACAGATCATATTGGCGTATTGAATCCGGATTAAGGATCTTCTTTGCCTTCAACGACCAAGAGATGCCAAATTCTGCTTGTGATATGACCATCGAAATACAAGATATCGAGCTCGAAATTGATGTAATGCATTTTAGAAACACAATCAGTGATCCGGAAAAACTTATCACATATACACTTGGTGACGACGAAAATGAACTTACGATATCCGCACTTCAAACCATAATGATCGATGTGCAAGATAAGGTACGAATAGAAATAAACGAGGAGCGACTTAGGTTCACAAACCATGGAAAGTATGTCGTTGATAGCGATGCCCAAACTATTTCAATAACCGCTTCTGAAGAGAGCTGTTTGAGATTCCTTGAAGAATACAGCTACATCGAGCGATTGCCGGAGATGATTATTTTATCCAGCGGATCGACGAAATTGATACCGTTACTTCAATTCCTGTTATCGAAACACCGAGGGGAGAAGTCATTCCTATCGAGTTATGCAAAGCAGCCTTTTTCCGGGACTGCTTCGTAGTAAACTTAGGATTTGAGGACACGTGGCTGGATGAAGATAACGTTGTGAAGAGCATCAAGATACCCCTAATACCAGAGAACAGGGCGATCGAGGTTACATCGAACTTGGGAATACTATACCGTGTGCAAGACTTCCTCGTAGATTCAGACTTGTCAGATGGCCAATCCCAGCTAGGCTTGTATTTAGAGACAGAGAATGGAACAAGCATCAAAATTCTTAAGTACATCGAATACACTGGACCTGGTGAAGTCATCAAACCAGAGCCATTGGAGGAAGAGGGAACTGAGAGACCACCACCCAAAGCTGTTACTTTCCACCGCCAAGAAGTGACGGATAAGCCGATCGTTGTAGTACCCCCGGTAATAGAGGCACTTTTGAATAACAACACAATTTTCAATTTCATGACTCCATCAGAGGAAGATAAGGATGAAAGCGAAGACGATGATAAGGAGGAAGAAACATTGAATACTTTTAAACCTCAGTTGAATGATGCCGTGCTGCCTGTAAAGTCAGTCAAGGTAAAGGAAAAAGAATACACGGAGAACAGAGAGAAGCCTAATCTACTTGGCTACTTTACATATAATGGGTTTTTCGACATAGGTGTTTCGAAAAGCAAAATAAAAAAGAAGAAGAATTCGGAGCAGGTTGAATCTAAAACAGAAGAAATTGAAGAACAACCGATGAACCAAGGCATTGATCAAGACTCTTTTGTTGAGGCCATAAAGGCATTTCAGAGATTTAATGGATTTCCGGAGACCGGTGAAATATCAGAAAAAGAAGCTGAAGTTATGACGTCTGAAAGGTGTGGAAACCGTGACACTTCCTTCAAGGACGAGATGGGAACGTTCAAATGTGAAGAGGGAGAGGGTGTGATTGAAAGTGATAGCAATTCAAGAGACCCCTGCATTCTTGATAATGATAGTGTGTTGAACATTTGCACTCAATATCCAAATAGATTGGCTGATGGAACCAGAAATGAAATTTGGGAAAACAATGACAACTATTATTTTGAGTTTGACGTCGAGTTTGGTGCAAAAAGCAAATCACAGTCTCATATAGGAATCGCCTTTAACCACAATCAAGTAACTCATCAATCCATCTACGTGATGGTAAATCACGAGCGTCAAAACGAACGACTTTCCTTTAGATATGGAATTTATACTCGAGGACGTAGAAAGGGTGCTGGCAGAAAACCACCCTACGTATATTTTGACCATGATCAAAGAATTGCTCATCGTTTTAAGATTAGACTGACTGTCAAACCAGAAAAAGCATCCATCGCAGTTAATGGAAAAAGAGTGTTCGAGTTTGCCACAAATTTGGACGCAGATTCTTCAGTCGTCTTGTTCACGCTGGGAGGCTCGAATTACCTAAATCACAAGATAAAGATTCTAACATCCAGGATATGTACTAGGAACCAGGACCACGTATCAAACACAGGAGGAAGAGCCAAGCGGTACGCTTTGTCTAATTTCAGATGGTATCCTAATGGAAAATCAATAACTTACACCTTTCTCAACCACAGCTCAAATCTAGGTAAGTTTCAAATATCATGATGATGGCAAGTTTAGGTAAAATGCACTATTATTGAACTTTATTATTGATCATTTGGTCGACAACGGATCATATTTTGAAAAGAAAATTTCGGGAATCATCCTTTATTGATTCATCATAACATCTAAATTATATATCAGCCGACCAATCTGACTGTTGAAATAGAAAATGTGGGTTTTTTCTGGTATAATGATTAAATCGAGGATTGTATGATAAACTTACGATTCTCTCCTTTAGGAGAGGAGCTTACTCGAAGAGAAGTTATCAGAGCAATCGAGGTGTACGCAGGAAATGGAATCGAGTTTCAAGAAGCAAATCCATCAGACGTCCATAGCACTGACATTATTTTCATGTTCATGAACGATAATCGGCACGCTGATGGTAGGGTGTTTCACGGTGCTGGTGTTGAAAAGGCCCACGCGTTTGTCCCAGTCAATGGAGAAATTCATTTCAACAACTTTGAGACTTATTCCGTGAAAAAACAAGACGCAGGGAAAACAAGTTTGTTTTACGTCGCTCTCCACGAAATTGGTCATGCTCTAGGTCTAAAACATTCGTCGCTTCATGATGCCGTCATGAACGAAAAGTTAGTTTCTATTTGAGTATTAGTAATAGTATTGATGTCTTGTAAATTGAAAAATCTTCTTTCTTGAAAAATCTTTGATTTTGACATGTCTGCATACATGATGTGTATGATCACAAGTCATTTAGCGTAGATTATCATGTCAAATGTGTTTTCATCCTATAATTTGATAATTTTAAGGTACGAACACGAAAAAGCTTACAATGTGGTAGCACTTGATGAGGATGACATTGATGCTATTTCAGTGCAGTACGGTAAGATATATCGTAGAATCACTAATACTATTCACTATTCAGGAGTGTTTTAAAGTTGTTGTACTTTATAAGTGTATATTCACCTACAAGCATAATTGCTTGGCGTGATGAGGTACATCTTTGATTGGTCGAAGGTCTTTCAACAACACAGCATCATCACTATCATAGTAGTCCCCGGCTTATCACGGGTTCATACTTCATAGCGGTATTAAACATGTTTTTCTGGGCCCAAACATTCTACGCTCCTACTATGCTATTACTGGTCTCTTGACTAACTCCCAATCATCTGTCCATATGGTAGTGTGTCTGGACAAATAGATGGTATACGATGCCCTCAGGCTGATCTCGGCGATCTTCTTGTCATGTATCGATTGTGTCATGTATCGATTGTGTCATGTATCGATTGATTTTTTCAATCACCCAGCATATGGTTTGGTGTTGATTGTATATTTCTTTAGTAGGTGGGTTAGATTTTACTGAGAGTTTAGTATAAGCTTAAAGTGAAAGAGGCCGGAGATTGGCCCATTTTTGCGGTTCAAATGATTACCTTATCGGACTTTATTTGAACGGACATTATAAATTGGATGCTGGAAGCTCTAGCGTTCAATAGAATGCCCGTTGAAATAAATTCCGACAAGGTGGTTAAATTAAAATTAAATGCATTAAATGAATGCCTTCAAGCGTTCATTTTAATGTCCGTTCAAAATTATGTCCGTTTTCGCAATTTCCGGTCGAATAAAGTCCTACTGGATAGGATTAGTCTTGTTGACAGAATCTGTGCAAGAGCGTATATCTAGCTTTCTTTTTCAGATTCTAAAGTTATTTTCAACCTTTTCTTTTCCGCTATTCTTAGCTTGAATGATTTATATTTTAAAGAAAAGACAAGTTAAAATGTTGTATACGGCAGGAGACGAAGTAAAACAACGGTTAGGGTCAGCTATTCCACTCCATTCGACCAGTCTTGACTATGAAGATATTAAGGGGCTCGCTGAAACTGTTCAATACGGTGCCCGACTGCCTTACCCCAGTAACTGCCTTGATTCTATCGATGCAGCTTTATACTTCTACGACAGGAAGATCTCTCCACAAAACGACAAAATATTCCTCATCTCGCACGGTTATACTTGGATGTAAGTCAATACTGGATTTACGGAGAGTAAGGAAGTTTTCTGCAGACACAATAATCAAAACGAAATATTTCGAATTTCAGGGCTCAGACCCCATATAATGTGTAATGTGTGTCTAATTTTTGGAGTTGTTCATTAATCTATCGGATAAAATTTAAAGAATAAAGTTTAAAACGCCCAGGTACGATGCAACATCATTAGCTATGCAAGGTGGCTATCCAAAACGAACAGCCGAGGTCTTTCAAGGGGCCACTGGTGTAGTTGATGCTGCGTTTGATAGTTAGTTACCAAAATCATATTTACTAATAGGGGTAAAACAAATAAAAGAACCAGAGTTTAGTATTGTATTAATTGTAGTCTGGTACAACTTTGTAGTTGTACACTGTGCAATACTACACGTTTTAAAATACGTATTAATTATAATATAACAATGGTATTGCAGACCATTATCATGATCAATTATGAATATAAAGCATTTTTGTGGCTTCTTAAATACATCGATTTCAGCAGGGAAATTCGTTGTTCTCATCATTAAAGACAAGGTATTGATTTACGAATGGGACATGGTCCTTTTCCCCCGCCAAACAGCAACCTTGTCGTCATACTTCAACCTTCCTGCCGGTACCAGGGTAAAATCTGCTTTCAACCACTACAAGGGACCGTGTAAAAGTAACAAGGACATCTGCGCTAAAACAACGCTCGTCGTGTCTCCTACGAAACATTATATAGTGACATGGACCCGAAAGGTGGGATATAAATTTTCTAGTTTATCGGACTGTAAATGTAATCATCACAGTGTAGTAATTCCTGAACTCTTAGACAGGATCGTCATTAGTTATTTTGGTCCTCTTATCGTCTCAATGCAGTAAACGATTTACCGTTTAGTAAATAGCATATTATAAATTAGAAGTAACATGGTTTGTAAAATTTCCTTAATTTTAAGGAAATCCGAGCCCATCACATCCCATCACCTTATCGATTTTTTGATTTCTAAGAAGCTTGGCACAGTGAGTGGAATTATTGGTAAGTGAATTTCCAACTGTTTCAGTCTTCTTACTCTTAGATACTGAAATCAATTTATACACTGCTACCAGGGTCGTCAAGTCAAGACCACAACAGTTGGAAATGGAAAAGATGTTATTGGTCAAGAAATGGGGGATAGCCAGTTTCAGGCGGCATATGAGTACATGAGGACACGAGGGGACACCGAGGAAAAGGAAGTTATGATATTTGATAATAACAAGGTGAGAATAACGTTTATTTTGCTGTCAGTTTCAGTTTCATCATCTCTTGTATGTTGATCAGACTTAGTCACTTTAGCAGGTGTTGAATAAAGTTATATTTATATATTAACAATTAACGGGTGATACTCGTAAAATATTTGTTTCAAATATTATTATGATTATATAAATATAAATATAAATATCAAGACCGTCGACGAGTCCAAATTGGCGTGCGATGAGGTACACTATATTCAATTAAACGCTTGGTTTGCTCTTTCAGGCTGCGATAAGCAGAGTTTACTATCCGGGAGACGATTATAAACTTCGAACAGGTTGGGTGAGCACACCAGATTTCTTCAGAATTTTCGGATGGTGTGTTGCTTAAACAGTATTAGCCATTAAATCGTGGAAAATTGGGAAAGACTATATAATAGTAAAACTATATTATGCATGAACAGCATGATCAATGATATGTGATAAGAATTTTATGAACAGTTTGTAATTTATTATACTTACTCAATCTCTTGAAACCCTCATTTGGGATATTTATAACAATAAGAACAATTACTGATAATGTTACTATTTTAGATCTTATAGTTATACAAATATTTTGTCTTGAGTGTGCTTAATCACTTTACACTGTACAATCGAATGTCGGGATTTTTCTAAACGGGCCCCTGGCAAGTGAAACCGAGCGTGCTAAATCACTCTACAGTCGATCTTCGAGATTGTTCTAAAAGGGCCCCGACAGTTGAAACCAACTTCAATCGATGTATTTTCGGACGCTGATTCCGAATCACCCCCTATGACATAGGGTTAAAATGCTCCCCTGACGAGATATTGGTGAAAAACTGTCTCGATCACGTGATATGACCGTATAAGGAAGTTAGTCCAATTTCTCGTTAGGGTTAGGGTTTCAGCGTATGCTTTTATTAAGGATTGGGTTAGGGTTAGGGTTGGGATCAGATTAGAGGGTTAGGGTTTCGAATAGTCGTTCAGGACCAGCTAGGGAACGAGTAGAAAAAGTCACGTGACAGTCGAGTGTAGAGTGATTAATCATCATCCAAGTGAAACCATTCGGGTTCGACATTTTTCTTATCTGTTAACGCTTATTCCGAATCACCAAACAGGACATTTGCATTCATCGGAGCCAAATAGAAAATGTTTTAAAGTTAGTAACGTGATAACAAGTGTAAAATGATTAATTATTATATTGATCATCCCAGATCACAGATCGCTAAATTCAGAGATCAAAAATGTCGAGCACTTAAGTTGCTGTTATTATTACTATTAGGCAATTTGTTAATTTAACTGTTAACAGGCGGGATCAGATTCGTTTTAATTTATGTTGTTTCTTTAATGGCACAGGTTATATCTCCACCGAAAGCACACTCCCCAAATTGCGCGCATTGCTTTAACTTCTTTCAAACCTCATGAATCGAGGTCAAATCTTTTGCAATGTATTCAGAATCAATATATGCACTTATATACAAATCACTTTGAATACTTTTAAAAGATACTAACAAGCTCAAAAACGCTACAGGTCATAAGTATTTCTCCGTGAAAAGTACAATAGCGTGAGTAGATTTTTTCAAGGTGCCTCGAAAGTAATCATAAAACGATTCCTGGGCCCGTTTAATTTTGGTTGAAACACGTCAACTTAGTATTATATTACCTGCATGGCTCGCCGCGCCAATCTCTGTCATGCATGCGGCGCTCTTTTCAAGCTTCCTGAACAGGAGCAAGGAGCAAGGATAGAAGTACGTAAAAAAGAAATACGTGAAAGAAGCGAGCAATAAATAAACTAGCAAGCTAGGTAAGTTCACATAGCCATGTGTCTACGCGTACTGCGTGACGCGCTTGTTTCACAAGTAGATAGATCTTTATACAACGAATAATATAATAAAAAAATTTACTAATACGGGCGCAGAGTTGGACTTTTTGACGGTTTTAATATTTGGAACAAATGCAAATATTTTACGAGTATCACTTAACGAGTATGGCGGGGTGATACTTTCACATAGCCATGTGTAGCTACGCTTACTTTACCTGGGGACCTCAGGCTTTTATGTTCATAAACATAACAGAATAGAGATTCGGCGGAATGACAGGCTGAGCGCGGCCCAGTAACGCTTACTTCGTGACACGCGCTACTGCTAGCGAAAGGGCGCGCTACTGGCGCTCCTACTAAATCGCTCAGCCAAACAACCTACCCGTCCTGGTAGGTTGTAAACCTACAATGCATCTTGCCGATCTACGGAGTACGGAAGGTTGCGAGAAGCATTATTGGATATTGCGAGCGCGACCCAGTAGTGCATTGCGCTACAATGAACTTACCTGGGTACCTCAGGCTATCAATAGAGATCTAGATTATGGATTAGGCGGAATGACAGGCTGAGCGCGGCCCAGTAACAATGAACATAATAATTGATAGCCTAAAGTCCCCAGGTAATTCACACCTTGAATTACCTGGCACGTTAATCTCAATGCGCGACGCTCTTTACCTTTTCCAGCGTCTCGAATATACTGTATACTATACGTAAGATCAGAGTAGCGAACAAAAAACTATCAAGCTAGGTAAGTTTCCTAAGTAAATCCATTTCTTTGCCGTTTGCATATTCAATATTGATACCTGGCACGCCAATCCCTATGCACGGCGCTCTTTTTAAGCTTCCTGAAGATATGTGAGAGAAGCAAGCAATAGATTAGCAAGCTAGGTTACTATACTGTGGCTTTCGCCTACATGAAATGAGGATTGAGGATCGTGAGGTACGAAAAAAGGCTTACGTATACGTTTACCTTAAGGCCACAATAACAAATAAATTACAATAAATTTGGTTACCATTGATTGACGGTGTCAACCCATCAAGATCGTTGCTCTGCGAAGCTAGTTTGCGCGGCGCGTCAAAGCGGCGAAGTCCTCCAAGGTTCCCATAACTTTTGTTACCATAACTTTTGTTACTTATATTTATTATTATATCATTATTCATTGTAATGGTAATAAAATTTAAATTTTGTTTTACTTAAATTTTGTTTTACTTAATCAATAATTTGAGTCACATATTTCGCAAATTTTTAGTCTACAACAATTTTATATTAGTAACATTTTTCGACTTTTCGAGACCATTTTCCATTCCATTTACCTCAGGAACGACAAATTTAGTCTACCCGTCTGAGCATTACAGATTAAGCTGCAATACATTACTCAGGAATTACAATAACATCATATCCAGAGTTTGTGACTCTGTATCACTAATGACTAAGTTCTTCAGTACATTGTTTAGTTTCTTTTTCACCCTTTTTCGACTTTACCATTTCTGTCGGTACGACGTAGTTAATGTTGATATGATCCTTCAGCCGTTTTAACAGCGAACAGAGCATGCATTGGGATGGATCGATTAAAAATGTAATGTCCAAGATCAGAGGAGCTCTTACCCTTTAAGTGCAATAGGACTTTGCCCTTTGGTACGGTTTTGTTCAGTAGGAACAGTGATGTCATTTTATTTATATTGAAAAGAGCGCAGCGCACAGGGACTGGTGTGCCAGATAAATCCCAACCTTAACCCTAACGGCTAACCCAATCTTTAACAAAAGCATACGCTGAAACCCTAACCCTAACGAGAAATTATACCAACTTCCTTATACAGTCATATCACATGATCGAGACAGTTTTTCACCAATATCATTATGTTGTAGGGGTGATTCGGAAAATGCATTGATTCAAATAAATTTGGTCTCAACTGTTGGAGGGCCTTTTAGAAAAATCTCGAAGATCAACTGTAGAGTGATTTAGCGCGCTCGCATATTACGCACTATTACATACTATATTTTGCGATGCACTGGATGATGATTAATCACTCTACACTCGACTGTCACGTGACTTTTTCAACCCGTTCTCTAGCTGGCCCTGAACGGCTATTCGAAACCCTTTAAACCAGTGGCGTAACGTTGCCTGTTGGCGCCCCCCTGCCGAAAAAAGCGCCCCCTGTTGGCACCCCCTCCCCACAAATTGATTGAAATAAATTTTCGTGCACATACAGAATGAATGGTTAATAATTTAATATATATGTAGACCAAGGTCTGTGCACGGGATGCTTCCTGGAAGAATCCAGTTCTTTTAGCGGGGCACCCTACCTAAAGCCAAATTGAGATATAATAATCATATTCCTAGAGAAATAATCAGAAATCGAATACCAATCAAATAATATGATATATAGGAGTAGTAACCATATTTACTATGCAAAATGCCCCAACCACATAGTGTAAATTTATATAGAATTCAAATTCCATATCATCATTAAACCTCAATAGTCAATATAATAGCCCAAGCAAAATTAAATAACTTCTTATATACCTTACTGTCATAAGCTACAAATTAATTAAACATTTGAAATCTGTTAACCAGAGAATAAATTTCTAAACCTAATGCAAGTGAAATAATTTAGATGCAATAATGAATGCCTAATGTGAGTATCATCTGTCAATTTCCTTGTAAAAAAGTCTGTAAAAGAGATATGAGTAACTAATATAGAAGAAAAAACAGGAAGTTGTCGTCTGTTGAAAAATAAATAAAATATCTAGAATATAAATTAGAATATAAAATAACATTCAGTCAATGTGTCGTCAATAAACTGTACAATTAAAACTGGGTGATACAGTCACCAAAAATAAATACTAAGTATAATAAGTAAATAAATTAAATGTGGTCTATAAAACTACCACTAGGTATGATAGGTCAATAAATTAAAAGTGGTTTATAAAACTACCACTGTGCGAACCCTTCCTCCAGTTAAAACATGTCAGTCATGTGCAAAATCAATCAAAATGGTAAGGTGGTAAAAAAAGGGAAAATCCTTTCGATACATCAATTATATATGCCTCAGATTTAAAAGAATTAGAAGATACTTAGTTATCGTCGACTATGATTGCAGTGTAAAATTTGTCATATGAATTGTCGACGGTATAATTAGGGTCTGTTGTTATAGATGAGAGTAGCTGTTTCTTATACGAATCACTTAAGCTTTTAACATCGGGCAGATTTCGTAGATCTGTTGGAACATTATTCCAACATTTTGCCCCCAAGTATTGAAAGTTTTTATGTGATGTTGATCTATTAACATATAGGTTGCAGCTTTCGCCGCTCCTACTACCTCCTGATATGTAACTAAATTTGTTCATAAAGTTTGTAGGACAATTGTCATGGATGATTCTAAACATATAATTTGACAGATGGAGTTGTCGTCTAAGATGGAGTGGTAACCATTTCATGTCTCTATAAACATTAAGGCTGCTCTCTGTTTGTGGAACGTTGAGAGCTATTTTGGCTACCTTTTTGTACAGAGTGTCAAGTTCAGCAAGTTTTGTCTTGCCAGCTCTACAATAGATCGTGTCTAAATAATCGAATTGTGGCAACATGAGTGCATTGGCAAACATTTTCCTATATTTAATGGGTAGCAGTGCTTTACTTCTATACATGGCACCAATTCTCTTCATGACCTTCTTAATAATATAATCTACATGGCTTTTGAAGTTTAATTTACTATCTAGAATGAGGCCAAGATATTTTGTCTCTTTGCACTCCTTGATTGTGAAAGTTACCTCATTACATTCAATGGTTAATTCATCATGTTGATCAACAGAATCAAACAATAGGAATTCAGTCTTCGTTTCATTGAGTGATAATTTATTTACACTGAGCCATTTAAAGATTGTCATAAGTTCTATTTTCATGTTTATAAATGTGCTTCTGCAGGTTTGATCAAAGAATAGTGCACCATCATCTGCAAATAGAAAGGGCTTAGATAGGTTACAGGCATAAATGATGTCATTTATGAAGATACTAAATAATATAGGCCCAATGATGCTTCCTTGTGGTACACCACTCAGAACTTCTAAAAATGAGCTTATTTTGCCATTGATCCTTGTGCATTGATATCTACAAGATAAGAAGTTCTTAAACCAGGTTAAAGCAATGCCACCAATTCCATAATATGCCAATTTTTGAAGCAATATTTCATGATTCACTGTGTCAAAGGCCTTCTTAAGATCAAGAAAGATGATTCCTGGTTTATAAGACTTAGATTTACTCATATATATTTCGTCCATCAGATCGTACATCAGATAAGTTGTGGAGTGATTTTTCCGAAAGCCATATTGATGCCGGATGAAAAGTTTGTTTTCTTCCATGTAATCAGTGAGTTGCTTGCCGACAAAGTATTCTATAAGTTTTCCTACAAGTGGAAGGATGGATATTGGCCTGTAATTATTAGGATCATCTTTCATTCCTGCCTTATGGATGGGAGTTACTCTAGCTTTTTTACAAAGGGTTGGTACAACACCTGTATTAAGGCTCAGATTGACAATGTGGGTCAGTGGCTCAACTATGTGTCATGTGTGGTACAGCTTGCTTAAGTAAAAATAGAGGCACATTGTCATATGAGGCCTTGTCATTCTTGAGCGTTTCGACATACATTAGGATATCAGTTTCATTTATTTCTTGGAATCTATCAAATGAGATATTAGAAGTTCTAAGAGGTAAAAAATCAGTAAAACTAACTCTTTCAATATTGGGGGCCTGATTTTGTAATCTTGATCCAACATTTGCAAAATGAAAGTTAAATAGCTCAGGATCATTCTCATTGGTAGTTTGACAATTAGTTGTACCAGGGGTCATATTTGATGCCAGTTTGATAGTTTTCCATATCCCTTTAAGATCATTCTTGGCACTTTTAACTTGTAGATCATCGATTACATTAGCCTTTTTGCAGGTTTTAGCTAATTTATTTCTAATATTTCTCTGAATCTTGTAGCAATCCCAGGCCTCATTACACTTTATACATTTGCTACATGTACCACATTCATTGCAATTTCCATTGTCTCTCTTATCCTTCTTTTTACGGAATTTCTTTAGAAGAAAATGTGTATGATTAATGGCATTTAAAAGTTCAGTAGAAGGTTTATGTATGAACTTTTCATGCCTTTCTATGGTCTTGCAAGGGAAGAAGGTTGCATATGCCTGTTCAATATGATGACAAAGGCCAGCAGTGATAGCTTCAACATCTGTACTTTCCAATAGTGGACTGTAATCAGAACAGGTATCTAGATAGTCTAAGAATTGTTTAACATTACGTTTACAATGATTTCTAATTTCAACCTTCTCAAATTTAGGAGCTATAGGTACTTTACAATCTATCTCACACATAATAGCTTGATGATCTCCTATACGTTCATCAAGAACAGAAGATTGGACAAAATCTGCATAACAGTTAGTGAATATTACATCAATAGTAGTCTGGGTAAAATTGTCTCCACGTTTAGCAACTCTAGTTATCCCTTGAATGGTTTGAACTAGATTGTAACATCTCAAGGTCATATCTAATTTTTTGTACTGGGCGGATGAGATATTATTCTGGTCAATGTTTATATCCCCAATCCAGATAACCTTTTTCCCATTCAATTTTTTCATGCAAAAATGAATGTATTCAATAAAGTTATCAACACTGCAATAATTTCCAGAGCGATAGAAGCAGCAAACATTGATCTTGCTATTCTTAAGCTTCACCCATAATGCTTCAATGTTATCAAGCTTACTATCCATAACTAATTCTGTGTAAGCTAGTTTTTTGTTTATCATTAAGCCACAACCACCCCTAGAACTGTTTGGCCTGTCGCATCGCATAAGGTTGAAGGAGGAAGGAATATTTATGGTGTCTGTGTCAATAGTATCATTAAGATTCATCTCATTTAGGGAAAGTATGTCTAATTTATGATCTCTAATAAGTTGGGAAAGTTCATTACTTTTAGCTAAATTGAGAAGCCCTCCTTGAATGTTACAATGACCAATGCAGAGGTTGTGAAACCTATCAGCTGCATTATTAAAATTTGTCATCTTGTGAATCTTATTAATTCACAATGGAATGAATAAAAGTTGTAAAGTTGTGTTTAAACTAAAAAACAGAATAAAAGCAGGTTGTATTTGTCTGGATGTCGTACTGTAAAAATAAAACTGATGGTAGGAGTGTTATGTCAGTATTCAGCAGTATTCTAATGGTGTGCATGATACTTCAAGTGCCTTGCTAATTTCACTATGCCATAATCATTGAGATGGACATTATCCTCTCCATAACTACTAAAAAATGACGATTTTCTAAAGCCTTTCTTATCACTAAACAAGAAACGATTGGTCTCGGTTGAGAGCAGTTTTACATAGGTGTATTTTCTTTGCAGATTTGATATACACTCATTGATATCAGTTATAACCTTGTTTCTGGAGAAACTCTCCCGAGGTAATAAGTTAACAATTTTAATATCAGCTCCAGGTGCCCACTTGTGAAGGAAAAGTACAAGTTTTTCAATACAATTGTTTGTAAAGTCAAGAGCTCTAGCATCACCAGAAAAACTATCAGGGCACAGAAGTTTAGTCCTCATGTTGCGAGGGCAAATGAGGCCTTTACATCAGTTATGTAATATTTGTAGGTTTATATAATCTACCAAGAGGTGCGTCGAATTGGACTAGACATCAGTCTTGGAACAAAAATTTAAAAAATATCACCCATGAATGTCTCTTGCAACCTCATTCTTCCTGACTAATTTCAGGGATTTTGTTTAGGGACATTAATAAAATTACAAGGAACTACAACACTGAACAGCATTAACAATTATTTTCAGCAACATGGAAGAGCTTAGAAAATCCAATCAAGAACTGTTAAAAAAACTAAAAATTGGACAAGCGAGGGCATGGGACATTTTGAATGACTCCTCTAATGTTCAAAATCGACAAACAGCCAATGGCACATCTAAAGCCCAAGACTTTCAGCCTCCTTATGCGTTCAGTACACCAACCAAGACCTACATTGAATTCCTAGATAAAGCTGGTAATAAACGTTATGACCAAATTGCATCAACAAATGGTAATTGTTCCACCAATCAGCTAATCCCTTTGTCAGATATAATGAATGATAGCTCATCAAGTAATTATGGGAGACCACATAAGACACCCTTGAAAGATAAAACTATAGTTGGATCAGATGATAGCCCCATCCATAGCCCTCATTGCACTGAAAATCATAGGGAGAGATTGCATCAGAAATTGAATGCATCTTACTCAAAGCTTGCTGCTGATTTACGTCAAATTGCTCCAAGCTATGGTGCTGATCTAGCATATGACCTGTCTGTCAACAGTGGTATTTCCAACAAACCAGACTCATATTACAATGAACTTAAAAAATTCAGAATGGCAAACAGTGATCTTTGCTCTGTGAAACTGCCCGACCATCTCAACATTACTCAGAATACCCTGATTGTCGAAGACAAGGAAAACTCTGATAAAGTTGAGGAACTTAATCATCAGTGTATTCAAACGTATAGTGTCAGTCAGGGTTACCGGGCAGTTGACTCCCACAGTGGTGGCCAATGTCCACTGTGTATAGGAGATGATGATACCAAACATAAGGGCCTGATCCGAGTCAATATACCACACAATGAACTGGTGGACTATAAAGTGTATCCCAGGGAAATAGACGATTCTGTGTCGCTTTCTTCTCACTGCTCAACGGGGTGGGAGCATGCCTCTACACAGTACAAATCTTTCAGACAATAATCATAAGTCAAATGTGATAAAATGTTCATTGCTAGTGTGGAACATTTGTTAATCAACATTAATTTTAGACATATCATATTTAAGGGACATTTTTACTGTAAAATAAACTATTAAATTATTAGATAAATTGACACCTATCCAATTTCTTGTCTTATTCAGATGATGCTACTTATCAAAGCAGTTTAATTAATTTTGACGTTTACTTCTTTATATATAACAATTTGTAATATTATGTAATATTTGTAAGTTCACATTATTTGATAACGGTTATACAGACCTCGACCTGGAATGTTATTACTCGACAAAAATCATTTTTCCTACCTATCTTAAAGTTAAATGATGTTAGTATGTTACTAATGTTCAAAATCATATCGAGCTTGGTTATGACTGTTCAAATGAACTGTCTTTACCATCTAAAACGGTTTATAGCAGCTACTACTTATCGTCTTATTAATTAGCTAATTTATAACTTATTTTAGACAGCAATGGACCGGTTTTCGAACCGATTCTCGCAAAATGGCGGTCAAACCAAGTTTGATCCTAAGGTTATCTTCAACTTCTCAAACTTGTAAGTTTTCTTAATTCTATGTTCTCGGTTCTTTTTCTCGAAATTTTCACTATTTATTGACGGTCTGTTTTGTAACTTAACAGAACATGGTGTAATGGTGTTGCTACAAACGCGGAATCAATTTTCTAACCACTTCAATCACTTTATTTTCATCCATTTTCGTTCCATGAGTTAAGGTTTAAAATCTTACGTTCTCAGAGACAAGAGCACAAAGTCTCACTTGAAGAATGTGTACGCCTGTGTTTCTATGGAGATCATTATCGCAGCACTCGGAGCAGCAATCAACTGCTATCTCAAGAGCACAGTCGGTTGATTTGTTTTATTCTAATCCGCGTCAATATTATAAGCTATAAAGCAATGAAAGGCATTAGTTTGGTCAAATCAAACGGAACATATGCTATCAGACTTTATGCTATCAGACTTTCAACTGACTAAGGCAGGGTTAAAACTAACAACAGGTGCTATAACTAACAATGTTAGTTATAGCACCTTGATTAAACAACGCAGATAAAATACAGATAAAAACGTAGATATGATATGGAATAACGACAATCGTATAGATTATCAGTATTGTTCTTAACACATTTAAATAGACTTAGATATGTTTTTCATGTTTGATAATTCAGGTTCTTCACTTCGGTGGAATTATCGGACTGTTCGTGTTCATCTACCTTACAGCTTCTTCAAAGAACACTGCCACACCCATGAAACGACTCGGTCAGTAACTGCAAACTAAGAACATACTGTTTCTTGATAATTTAATAATGATTGGAATAAATAAAGCATATTTTGTGCACCTTTACTACATTCTTGCTGTACATTCCATTAAACCTCGATATTAGTTGGTCGCAACTAATACCATGTACTCGTAGATTATCTTAACTCGCAGCCGGTTCATCACTTAGAGTTATCACACAACTGTTAAATTTAGTGACGAAATAGCTTTGTTCCACACACCTGCCCTAATCCAAAACTTTTGTTCAATACATTTATATTTTATATAAGTGATTATTGTGTGTTACGCTGAGTCTTGCGCAATTGTAGTTTTTAATACTCATAGCTAAATTCTGAGAGATTTACACACTACATCGGTGTCATGTATCACCTTTATTACTTTTGAAACTATGTATAAACTTTTGAGAATAAACTAGACTTATATTAATATGATTTGACTACAGTCTCAATTTTTCATCTTTCAGGATATGTCAGTGGATTGGCCTGCTGTCTTGGTCTGGAATCCTCCTATCTCTTAGACTATGTCATATCTGTGGATCCATCGTAAGTTTCACTAAATTTATTTACAACTCATGAAATGTTTGTGAAAAGAGTTGTTAGATTTAATGTATTTTATTCAACACTTTTTCTTTTTTTTACTACTGCACATGAGTTACTACTATGTGACAAATATACAAGTTTAATTGTCCGAAGAGAGTGTCTGAACAACAAATATAAACGTAAAACAAAACCACTTTCAAATCCAAAAGTAGAAACCAACGTTACTATCGACTGTTAGAATTGACAATTCTCCTATTGAACACACAGTTAAGTAACATGTTGTAAATTAACGGTGTCCTCATAGCGTACACTACTGAATCCCACAGTAAATTAAAATAAAACATAACAATAGTAACTCTAAACCCTGGCCTAGATACACCGAACAAGACCCCCTCAGCCAAGCTGTAAAAATAGGGGAACCAGGCTACAAAAAACCCAACAGTTATCAGAGACAGCGTTATTATTATCTTAACCTTCCTTTTCACAGTGTTATCTCGTAACTTAACAGCAGGCTCTTTATTCCGAGTTGTAGCCTTCCTGTTATTAATACTCTTCCAAATCTCATAGAATATACCAATATAAAGGAGATAAACAAAGAAACAGGGTAGTAGGTATAGTAGTAGATGATGTGAAGGATGAAGATGTAGAACTTGCTGTCAAACACAATATGTAGATTGTAGAGAATACTTTTGGGCATCTGAGGAACTCACAGTAAATCTTTGTTCATCATAAAGTATTGAACTTTTCCACTCAAAGCACCTATTATATAACTAATGCGTCTCATGTAATGCTAGATATTTGACGTACGAATCCCAATCATACCAAAACAAGTTATTCAAGGTATTTTTAGCTTTTCAGGAACAATACCTTTGTATGAACAATATAAAGGGGTCAAGAAGAGTGTCTTGTAACTATTTATATAAAATGCGAGAATTTTAAAATAGTAACGGTTTGCTGAATATTCTGAATTTTATCAACCTAAAACAATAATCCACAATATTCGTGCGTGCCATACAACAGATCAAGACTAAAAAGTTTGCAGTTGAATAGATAATGTTATAATTACGCCTTATATGCTCCAAAAGTCAGTTCACAAACGTCAGGTATTTAACAACAAAGCTATGCTAGTTGTTCAGGCTCACTACTTTGCAAGTAAAGCGCTGTACCCACTCATTCGCGGATATAATCCTCAAACATTGAAGATTTCTTCGATCTAGACTACAAATTTAGTCCAGTATCATTCACCTGAACATTGTAACACTGGGAACAGTTTACTGTGTTGTCGGTCACATTAGGGTCTGGTTCGCAATAATCTGAAACATTCCATTACTCCCACACACAATAATCTGAAACATTCCATTACTCCCAAACACAATAATCTGAAACATTCCATTACTCCCAAACACAATAATCTGAAACATTCCAATACTCCCAAACACAAGGAACCCAAACAAGTTACCATTAAAAACAGGTTCCCAACTCGAAACAGGTTCCCAACTCAAAACAGGTTCCCGACTCAAAACCACCTCTTTCAGGATCATCGTGACAGCGTTTGTGACCACCTCAGTGGTGTTTGTGAGCTTTACTCTGACAGCACTGTACGCAGAGCGCAGGTCCATGCTCTTCCTGGGCTCCCTGCTCTCCACTGCCCTTAGTGGACTACTTATCCTCTCCCTGGCTAACATGTTCTTCAGGGTTCCTTCTATTGCTCTGGTTAGTTTCACTGCGCACTTTCATCTATTATTGTATATACTTAAGATATTTCTTGCTCTTTATGTTCATGAGGCGAATAAATTATTCTTTGGTTTTGTTTGCCATAAGTCATGACTAATCCCAAATCATCTCACTGAACCCATGCCCCTTACCGCTTGTCGCCAATCCAGGAAATCTTAACAGTACACATAATTGCAAGTTATACTCCTACTACAGGGGGGGGGGGGGGGGGGGGGGGCGGGGCAGAACAACTATTTGACAACATATCTATTCACTGCAAGTAAAAAAATTTGGTCACTGCAAGTAACAATAGCTGGTTACTGCGAGTAACAATATCTGATCTTGTTACCTACTATATCGTGTTATGACTGTTCAGTTCTGGGCTACCCTGTAGAATTATTTAACCCCCGAAAATATTGTGATAATCAACCTGTCCTCAGTTCTCAGTTTACCTTTCCCTCATTATCTCCTGTCTCTTTGTCATGTATGACACCCAACTCATCGTTGAGAAGAAACGACTGGGAGACAACGACTTCATATGGTGAGTGGTTTATCTTGTTACATTATTTACATTTGTCACCTTATGACCTAGCACCTTTTTGGCTCATCTCTGTTCTATAGTTCTATCAAACTTTTTTTCAACATCTAACACATTATTATTATATGTTCTACTCTAATATTGATACTAATTCTTTCCCAGGCACTCTGTTGATTTGTTCATTGACTTCGTCATCATTTTCAAAGATTTGATGATCATCTTGACTGACAAGGAGAAAAAGAAGGTAAATAAAAAATTATAATAATAATCAAGTATTGAATATCTGGTGGAATGATTTTAACTTTCGTTATTTATAAAATTGTAACTGAACACTAGAAATTAGCATCTTAGAGTGTATTGAGAAACTGATCGATACGTTCTTCTTATTTAACGTTGTTTTTTATTTTAACCGTTGTTGTGTTCAAGCTAGTCTCTTCGGATCAAATCCTCACTTTCCGCAAATATTCTTATTTTTCTTTGATTGCAAACTGGTTTATAACATTTAGACTACTAAAACCAAAATATCTGCCTTAATCTTCAAACATTTGTTATTATGTTGTTATATTGAGTAATTTGTACTTAACTTAAGTCTTGATGTGGAGTGAAGATACAGCCACCGCGTGTAATTAAGGAACAATTTCGGTTAGTAGGTTATTTTCTGGAAGGCGCAAAATATGTTGTGCTGTACAAACTTGATCGCTCTGGCAGTTAGTGTAGCGAAATGTAGTGTCATGACGTCACGTGATTGCGGCGCGTGGTCATGTGATATCGTAAATGTAGAACGTGGGCGAATAAGATCCGAGCGCATTGAAATACAGACACTATAAATAGTTTGTAAGATAAACGACCACCTATTCTGGATCCATTCCAACTTGAGATATGGTCTATTTAATCATAGCTATGTCATTTCTGTGACGATTCACGACAGCCTTGTGTTTCCTCTATTCCTCTACGTGGCGCAAATTTACTACTTTACTACAGTTGTACCAGTGGCAATAAACTCTGCTGCATTTCAATTTGAACGGGACAGGTTATTTTTTGAGGGTCTGGGTTCTAAATTACATGTTATAGTTGTATGATAGTTCATAGTTGATATTATGAACTTTCCCCTGCGAGTTCAGTTTTAAATGAGGCACAATAGAGCGAGCTTCAACCTGATCGATGACTTATTCACTTGTACCCCGATTAACATATATATTTCAGAGGCGAAGCAACAAATAAGAAGGAGGGTGTAGCAAAACACTAAAGAACAGCGATTCAAACGGAGGAATAACGCTAAATCACCGAGTGACATCTAAACCTCGTTCTCCATCCTTTCAGTTATGTTTGGACGACCCCAGAGACAATACAACCTTTTTTTCATGTATTTTGCAAGTTTTTCGTTTGATTTTATTCTCAGGGAAAATTGTTCTATTTCTTAGATCGTGACTTCTTGCTGAGCGAATGAAGAGTATAAAATAGATTTGGTAGCTTGCCAAAAAGATAAAGAACGTGGTTATGTATTTTAATGATTTCTTGTGCGCTTGCAATATTTTGCAATGTTTTAAATTCTGAAAAATTCCATATTTGTATTGTTTATAAAGACACTAGACAGGCTGACGATAATTCTAATAAATTCTAATAAAAACCATGCTAATGTAATAGTGTGTGAACATAAGAATATAGGGTCCCGACAGTCGACAACTATAATAAGTATAAACATAATTTCATCGTGTTATGATAGCATCTCACTGCTACTAGTATTGGTGTCTCTATCAGTCTGCCTGTATCTTATCACGGTAGAGATATCTGCATCTGACTTAGAAAACGGGACTTGAAGCTCGTTAAGTTTGGCATCGGTCGTGTCAGGGCAACTTAAGAACACGGCGTCCGACTTTGAATAGTTCTCATATTCCTTTGAACCCTCTCTGAGTCTGTTAAGAATATGGACGTTGTTGAAGGTGTTGTTGTGGCCGCTATCTGCCACAATGAGCCCTGGAACAGACCCACTTCTGGTGCGATCAGCAGAGGGAGGTACTTGTAAATCTGACCGGAAATCTTCAGACGTGGAATTTGATAACTGCAAACTGGAATGAAAAGTATGGTCAGAAAGAAAATAAACAATAATCATAATATTATGCTGTTTGTAGTTTAATGGAAACAAGGAAACTTAATGAACAAAATGTCTTTCAGATGCAACAAAAAACGTTAAACATAAAGGATTAACCGTACCAATAATGTTTTTTTGTCTGCGTGGATCCATCTTTGGAGAGCTTCTTGGAGGGTTTGTGTTTTCTGAAAGCTTCTATCGTCCACCAGTGCTCCTTTAAATCATATTTCAGCAGTTGCCATCTCCGAGATAGTGCTGTCCAAAACTTGGGAGCTGAGCTCTGTGGAGTGTGGGTGAAACTTTATTATTAATATTAATATTAGTTAATACTTTCAACACTACTATATAACAAATAATTTGAGGTGTGACAACATGATTCGGCGGGTCACGCTATAGCAATTGCCGTGTTGAAGAGCTCTATACTACGGGTACGTATTCGTGTTGAGTGCCCTAAAAGGGAGCTGGATATTTCATTGCTGTTATCGTTTGAAGCTGCTAGCCAAGCTTGGTCGATACGGAATTGGTGGTCAGGTTTTAAGGTGGATCAAAGAGTTTTTGCTAAACAGAAAACAAACAGTCGTTGTTGAAGGTCGCAAATCATCCTTCCAGCCAGTGGCAAGTGGGGTGCCACAAGGGACAGTCCTAGGACCGATCCTATTTATCCTGTACATCAACGATCTGTTGAACAGCATTAGCTATAGTAACGGATTCAGCTTTGCAGACGACACAAAGCTGATTGGGGCTATCCGAGGAATGAGTAGTGTGGAGTTACTGCAAGATGATCTCAACATAGTTATCGAGTGGTCACGTGTTAACAACATGGAGCTACACGAACAGAAGTTTGAGGTTGTAAACTACCCCCTGAATGGATCAAAAGCTCTAAGAGAGCTCCCGTTCTACCCAGAGACTGTTGAGTATACTACACCAAAAGGACACGCAATATCACCACAGGAAACTGTCAGAGACCTTGGAGTGTATGTTAGCAGCAGTAGGTCATGGGGTCCTCACATTGAGAAGACAGTTCAAGGAGCTAGAAAAATGGCGGCTTGGACATTGAGTGCCTTTAGAGACCGGTCACAAGTAGTCATGCTGACTTTATACAAAAGCATGGTTCGCTCCAAGCTAGAGTACTGCTGTCCAGTCTGGAACCCTACAAAAGTCACAGAGATACAAAAGCTGGAGACTGTACAGAGATCCTTTACTAGAAGATATCTGGCTGCCGTGATCTCCAGTACTGGGACAGGCTGAAGAAGCTTAAGTTGATGTCCCTCCAGAGGCGGAGAGAGCGTTATTCTATTATTCATGTATGGAAAATTCTTAATGAACATGCTCCGAACGATACGGGCTTCGAGTTCAAGTCTCATCAAAGGCATGGTATTAAGGCAGAGATCCCAGCCATGAACAAAAGCGCACAGTTGTCGGTAAGAACAGATTACGACAACAGCTTTAGAGTTAGAGCAGCTCAGCTCTTCAACGTGCTCCCATCGGAGCTCCGGAGTATCACATTGCTAGACAGTTTCAAAGTTGGTCTAGGCAGATTTATGGAACAGTACCCAGACACACCACCGGTTCCGGGCTACACTCCGACAAACGATAACTCAATGCTGAGCTGGAGGAGGACGCACTCGATGCAGTTGTCCTGAGCACGCCCTGCCAAACTCACCAAAACGTACCAAAACGTACGTACGTTAAGCCTGGGGGGTCCCCAGGACCCAGGTAACTAAAACATCGAAAATATCATCAAGAAATGATAACTGGCGCTGCTGATCTTTAAAAAAGGTACGGTCTGTAGAACTGGAAGTAAACAACTGTTGTTCTTTCAGGAATCCAAAATAGGCTAATACTAATAGCTGATGTAGAGTACGTTTTGAGTTCAAATATTTGTGTAAGACTGCCCAATACAAGTCTCAAATGATCTGCTATGTAACTTACCGTTACATAGTTCTGTTTGCTGGTCCGGTTAACAAAAATGGCGGCGTCATAAACAGGCTTACTCCCGTAGGCGTCAAGGAGGGAAGCGTAAATCAATTCACATACCTGCAAGTGTAAGTGAATTACAAATTAGAATTCACAATTTTAGATTAATCTTATGACAATATTGGTGGATGAAACGCAAGGTCAAACCAAAACAGTAAGCAGTGATTCCACAAAGTTTTACTTCTATAATTATAAAGGAAAGTATAAAGGAATTAGTTTGATGATCGATGATATGAACTTGAATAAGGTTTATCTGTTATCAAGTCTCAGTTCTACTTGCCACAATAAAGATGGTAATCCCGACCATAAATCCCAAGCTTATAAAGAGTCCAGCTAAATATCCCATATCCAGAGTGGTTCCTCGCTGGCTCACTTCATCAGATTCGCCAAGATCTGAGTGCTGGAATATAGCAACATTTACTTCTTAAAGTAAATATTCACTTCTTTTTTATATATTACATTACATGTACATGATATTATATCTCTTTCATATATAATACAGTAACAGGAGGAAATGTTTTTGTTGAAAATTATCGTGTACTTCTACCCATTCTTCAACGAGTCAAATCTAGTTAAAACTAACATCGTTTCCTTTGCAGGATACGCCCTCTTTTAACCACTTTTGCCACAGTTCCTCCAACAAACCGACTTCCTTGTACTCCAGTATCTTATGGTTCATGATTTCAGCAAACGGTGCATTTCGTTGTATACCAAACGCCAACCTAGCGACGGTTGTAAGGGGTCGTTCACATATTACGTAATCAGCCGAGGGGGGAGGGGGGGTTTACAAATGCTTACGGTTGATTACGGGGGGGGGGGGGGGGGGGGGGGTTCGGTCGCTGATTACGTAATCAAAATTTTCTTTTTTACCCTCTAGAATAATAACAATTTGACAATATCTTAATTCAAATTCCACTCAATTTCACTCTGATAGTGATAAAATTTAGAAATTGATCGAATATCCGGCTATAATTGTAAGTAGTTTAGATGGTGCAATTGGCCGGATATATCATAACAATGATTTCGGCTCATCATGAAAATAATGATAGCATGATCAGGGTAGCATGAAACGTAGAGAAAAGTGTTTTCTAGGAAAAAAGTCAAGGGGGGGGGGGGGGGGGGGGGGGGTCAGCCGTCAGGTCATGATTACGTAATATTGCTGTCAGGAGGAGGGGGGTTGGGTCTTGATTACGGTTGATTACGGAAGGGGGGGGAGGGGGTAAAAATTGCTAAAATATTGATTACGTAATATGTGAACGACCCCTAAGCTAGAAACTGCTGTGTGACTATCAGTATCAGTATCGTACGACAAATGTAGATTGTAATTGTAGAACTAGAATGATTTTTACAGTTGCAAAATTCGACTGAACTCAACTGACACTGACAGCAATGACAAATGATAAATGACAAATGACAAATATTAATTCTTATCTGATGAAACAGTACCTACCCAAATTTACTAAATTCTTCTCCAACTTTCATCAAGTCTGTTATGTTATCACAAGAAAGTTGCTGCTTGTATTCTAGGTAGGGAGACTCGTAGATAAACGCAAATTTCTCCCTTCCAGCCTAAGGGTAAAAAATTACCTTCACTTTTAATCACGACTATCTATAATCTGCTTGTGGGTGATGTACTAGTGAAGTATTGAACTATCATACTGTGTAGAAAATAGAAAGCCTCTGCCAATCAATCGTGCGAATGAAACTGTTCGTCTTTTAAATTATAGAAGACATGAAGCTATTTGATGTAAACAATCGCATGCAAAAATATAGGAAACACAATTCAGGAAAAGGTATATCAATACAGCATCATGTAATTTCGAAATTGTAACCTAATTCACAGAAAACGAACCTTAGCATATCCAGCCTCGGCATCGCTGACATCGATGGCCTTTGCGATGATACGTCTGTAGACGTCTTTAACAGAGTTCCTCATCAGTATCTCTGGGTTAGTTGAGAAAACTGTGCCCCACTTGAACTCGTTCTGGTGGAGCAGATCTTCTACTCCCTGCAATCCCACGTGCAGCCGACTTACTGGGTCATAGTTACGCAGCTATTCAAATTAACAACAAATTAAGTTGAAACTTTCGATACAATCCTATACTTTTAACGCAGAACCACAAAACCGAAGCTTAACAGTAACACAGAATTCTTACCAGTAAGAAAAGCAGCTAGATTGGCTGTGTACATGGCGGATAAGATCATCATAAAGAACCACCATGCCATGAGGATAACCCGACCAGATGCGCAGTATGGTCCCCCCTCCACTGGAGACTGACCGAGCAGGGAGGCGTTTATCATCCAGGATGAGTTGAACATGGACAGTTGATGCAGACGGTCTTTAGCTTCTGCTTCCAGTTGTTCAACTTGACATGCGTACTCGTCAGCTTTCTGGAGGCTCTTGAAGCCTGGGGTAGCCGGAAATGAGTGATTTGTAACTGAGGATGGGCCTGGGGATTCCTTTACAACTTGAACTAAACTTGGTGCTTGGCAGCTTGGTTGTCGTATTTATGGTAAAGTTGATAACCGACGTAAAACCTGATGAATAGTTTGCATAGTCTTAAATAGTCTACAATAGTTAGTACTAAAACAACAATATTCGATCAATTTCTTTCATCGCATCTAGTATCGTAGAACTAGAAGTAGCACCTTGGATAGTGAGTGCACGGTTGAGAGTGCAAGTTTTGCAAGGACAAGTCATGAGGGCGTGCATCTTCGCTCCGTACTTCCCAAATGGAGACACCTTGTTCACCAAACATACCAGGACCGTTACTCCACCACAAGCTAGTAGAACACAATACCTGGACGAGGTATAGTCAGTTGAAATAGGACCCTTTGATTTTTGAAAAGCTAGGAGAATAATAAACAAAATAAAAGTTTCATCTTGGTTGAAAGTTTGGAGTTCTTTAAAAGCAAAGCTCACCAAACTTCTGCACTGAATGGGGAGAGAAAGAAGTATTTGTTGCTATTGCTGTGTGTTTCTCCTTTCACCACCACCATCAGGCCCGCGTCCATAAAAGGAACAGTAAAGTCAATGTACCGCTCTCTCAGCGAATTTATCGACAAGTGAACAGCTGCCACCTCTATTTTCTGAAGCAAAAAAAATCGTTAAAATCACTTCATATTAACATTTACATCGGAAAGTTCAATCTGAAAGATAACACTTCTAGTTCTAGTGCCAGAGACAATAAACTTTGAAATATCATTAGGAGAAAGTTTATCTTTCGAGAGTTCAAGATTCGAGATAAGATTTCACCTTATCAATGAGCATCTTGACAAGCCCATCCCAAGAATCAGTCTTGTTGTAGTAGCCGCCCCAATTGCCATCATCTGACTCCATAAGCTCGTAGGTGAAGTGCAAGTCGCGTGACAGCCTGGCTACTAAGTCTACACAGTAACCACGGTAACAGGACGTGCCCGTACAGTTAGCATCGTCTTTTATCACAAATGGAGTCTCCTAAAGTAGGCGTCTATTGTGAGGGTGAGAAATGCTGGGCTTCAAGTTCAATTAAACAACGAGATATATAAGATATACACTGACAATCAACAGTACAGATTGTAGATATGATGCCGACCAAGTCTTTTCAGTTTTCAAACACCATGATAATACGATCTTGTAACACGCTTAGTAAGCATAGTATGTGATGCAGCAGTTATAACTGATTAACTAACCATCATAACTCCCATACGAAAGTGAGAACCGTTTAGGTTGAGAGACATATCTTTAGGGCGATCTGTTGACTTTCCCAGATATTCAATCTAAACATATTATTAGTTAATAAGTGGGTAACGGCGTGTTTAGAATTTGTATCATGTACTGTAACTCCGTTTTGCGATAAACCCTGAATAATGAAGTATGTTTTTACGTACTTGTCGATAGAGAAGAAGGTTCGGATCACGGTCAGAGGACCAGTTTCCAACTACACTCAGAACACCATTATCTCTAAAGTTTACTATTTCGTACATTTTGTTGTAGGGGGAACCATCTATACCAAACTCGATCATCCCCGTTATACCTTCAAACTGAACCTGAAATGATCCCTTTATAGATCCCAACAACACCTTTGCCTTTAATTGTTCAAATGTTTATAAAGCTTAAATATGCATTTTGATTATATTTCGGGTGTAATGCATTTTAAAGTAGGCCCAACAAATTTCTAACGTGCTTAATTTCTCTGACGATTGTGGATCCGTTTTCCCAGAAGTTGCTTCGTCCGAACTCGTTGACCTGGTCGGGACCGGTCCAGCAGCTGAGTTTGGTTTCGTACAGCTCGTAACCACGGTAGAGATGGCCGTGCAGAGCGTGGGCCAGGACAAACACTGCGTCGTACACTAAACGTGTGAAGATCTGAAATACAGGCACGAGGCACTGAAGATGTGTGCGCGGATTTGATGGATATACAGATTAGGATTTGATATTTGAGGTTGTTGGCATTATTTTGATGATTACTCATACTGGTATTGGCAACACATACGTCATACACTGTACCATTTGTAAGGAAAACCGGGATGTATATTGATGGTAAAGAGAATTGATGTGGATTGGGGCCATTTACGCAACCAGCTGGTATCAAATATTACCGTTAACGATAAGGGGTTCCACTCCAGAAATCCAGTTGTAAGCAGGCGTTCCCGGGTGAAGTTTTGAGAATATAACTTAGCAAACTTGCGAAAAGCTGGACCGACAGTAGATTTTGGTATGGTTCCAATTAAACCGTCAAGGTAATCAGGGTAAAGTCTGTTTTCTTGTTCAAGTAAATGGTGAGCACCAGTTACCCCATCTGTAACAACCCAACTGTATCCTTTACCCATCATACCAGCTTTATTTGCCTGTAAGATTTGGTGGCTGGATTGTTAATGGTATTAAATTAAGCAGATTCTTGCTAAAATACAAATAGACTTGGTTACTTGAATAAGGCATAGCCATAGTCCATACCTATGTTTATTGTTACAATTCCCAGTACTATTACTAGACAATAATCCAAGAAACACACGAGGAAACAGATGTGTTTTTTCTATACAGATAACAAATGAATAAAATGAAATTCAGACCTGTCTGAAAACAACGTTAGCGACACGGTAGTTGCAGTTCAGCACGATAATCTGTACCATGGAGGACTTGATGTTGTGGAGCTGTTGGGTGACGTTTAGGGTGTCCAGGTTGTCCACTCTGATGTGCTGCACACTAGCTATGTTGTATTGGTGTACTGTCGCTAACCATTGTAACTCTAGGACCCCGTTTATACCTGTTTCAATGTCAATTATGGGGTGAAGTAAATCAGGCCATGCTGTTGAAGAGGACCCATTAAGAAGCAAATTTGTTGTTGGATGGTTTTTAAAATGAAACATTCGCTATAGAAAATGGTGACCACCCCACCCCCCCCCCCCCCCCCCCCCACCCCCCGTCCTTATGGTTATTCCCAAACTCACCATATGAATCAAATGAAGTCAGGATTGCGAATTGTCGCCATTCGTTTTCTCTCAGCAGATCAAACAATGCCTGCAGGATTAGAATCTCAGTCTTGATATCCGCATATGATCATCAAATTCAAATTGAAAACAAAACCGTTTCAGCCAGGTTCCCTATAAATTTGTGTACGCAAGCTAAAACAGATTCTTAAGATGAACATGGCACTTTAGGTGCCAAGTAACATACCCTGCTTTGATAGACATCTGACGGCAGCATTCTGATAAGCGTTGAACGGGAGTTGCTAACCTCCAGTATAGGACCTGTCAATATGAAACATTTTATTGGTCCGGCGCTCAAATCTTATTCTTGCCACAATTCAACTTCAAGTACATACCTACCATGAGTAACGAGTGTAACATCGAGAGTAGTAGATTGTCTCTCATTAGTGGAAGGGAACTAAACTGAACAGACAATTAATTATTCGTGTGATGAATTAAATGATATAAACCCCGATAACATACTAGTAGCGGTGGGAGCTATGACTGGAACATTGTAGAGACTAGCAGTGTCAGATATGAGCTTGACATTTTCAGAGGATCCCGGAACTATGATACCAGATACTCCTTTTTTCAGCACTTCACAAACTGTAAGGTGACTATTGTGAAAAACGCAACAGAAGAGAGTTAAGGAGGAAAGAGAAATATCATTAATATCAAGGAGAAATTAAAATTAGTTTAGTGAACAAATGACATGTATTTAAGGATGGAAGAGAAGGCTTTAAAAGATCTCGATCGTTCTCAATGAACATTACGGCATAGATAAATATCGAATACGAATATAGCTGACAGAGGAAAGATATTGTATGGAATAAATATTCTATTCTTCCATACTTATCTGGTTACTTTAAAATTGTACTATTATTGATAGGACCTAACCGTTTTGCACAATCGAGTTGGGTGTTGAGCTGAACTGCTTGAAAATCAGGTTTATTTTGGTGTACGGTAGAAGTGAAGAATCGGAGTTCAAGTTCATAACTGCAAACTCGGCTATGTCTTGATAGGGCGACCTGGATTCAACACTGTATAACACCGCTGAAATATTATTAGATACATTTAGCAAATTTATCATACGATGTTAATATACTACGATATATATACTTCAATAAACCAGAAAGCTTGTCGGCCTGAGGTGGTTTGGCTGTTTTTAACACTTGACAATCAACCAATCATCTTGATGAAGCAACCGAACCAATCTATTTCCTTAATCGCTGTCACGTGTCATTAAATTTGCGTCATTTCTCAATCACCATATAATACACATTTATGACTATGAGTTAAAGACACTTTAGTGCAGCCATTTAATTTTCATAATTTTGGCTACAAGAATAGACTAATTATATCACAACTAAACATATACATAGTAATTGTATTTATAAATAGACGTGAATCAGGACAATATTGAATATCAGCTGAGCATCCCTCTTCCCCTCCCCCTAATTGACAAATCAATATCATCACAAATATTCACCGATGTGGACATCTGAAGGCGGCTGGCCAAATCCCGACCCGGTCCCATAGTCGTAGAAAGACTGACACAGAGCTAGAAGGTAGAAGTGGACTAAAAACAGTACGATGACCATCACCGACTTCAGCTAACCTTCTCTACACCTCGTGTTAAAGAGGTGTTTATAAAACTTAAGTTTACAATAAAAGGTGTAATTTACAAATGCTTTTAACAATGTAACCGTCAAAAAAATGTCAATGCGCTCAGAACGGGATAAGATTTATCAGTATTCTCAACAACAACAACAAAAATATCGTATTAATATATATATACTATATAATGCGAGATCTGAAGTTATCAGGTGACGCTAGCTTGTAATCCAATGGTAGTACTAATTTAAAACCAAGCGAGCTTTCTACAGAAGTACAGAGCAATAATGCAAGTATTTATTGGGCATTTTGACCTACTGGTACGCGGAAGTGTGGGCTTACCTCGTGATTATTTGTAATTACAAGCATACTTTAGATTTACTCAGCTTATTGGATATCTCTACCACCGGATTGGACCTTATCAGATAAAAACATTCCAGTTCCTGGAATTTCTTCATCTTTTTGAATTTTTGACCTAAATTTCTGAATACATTCTCAGATACGGACAGAATTATTGAACACAAATTAAAATCGTCATATTAAGCGCCAAGTGGCATGCATTATGTTTAAATAGTTGGTATGTGTACAATTGATATGAATATTATATACAAAAAATTCGATTTCAGTCTTAGAAACTCGATTGTCGATACAAATAAAAATAAAAACTTAGTCCTAAATTCACAGACAAATACTGCTCAACCGTAACAACATCCAATAACTTCAATAAAATGTACGAAAAAGATTCCCATGCCAAATCGTTCCGGAAATCAATGAAATGGTCGGATATTATGAGAGCACCCAATCATATGTACTACCACATCACCACATGGCCACTAATTAGATAAACTTCCGCTAAACTCGTTTGGTAGAGAATTTCCGGATATCAAGAAATAACATGTCGTAGCCAAATGTGTAGAACTGTAGAATTATAAAATCCTCGTAGACCATAGCACGTTCTACAAAATAGGACGTACGATTAAAATTATCCGCCGTCAAATAACCCAATTTTAACACTTTATTATAAAGGTTCAAGACCAACTCATAACATTATCAATAACATCTGAAAAGTTCTGCCCGACCTTGGCTCCCAGTTCCTTGACCTGAGAATCCGATCTCTGGACTAGAGGAACTAGACTTTCGTTTTTATTTAAGTCGAAACCCACCAGAGGTTTACCAACCGGGATATCCTCTAGGGCAAGTCTCTGACAAGCAGCTGAGAGTTCCCCTTTTAAAGAGTCAGTATGAGATTTAAAACTCTGTACATCTCGCTCTAAACCGTTCACTCGGCGATGAGTAAGTTTCAGGATATCTTCGTACATAGCACAGATCTTCTGAACCTCCTCCACCTCCACGTTGTGATCTCCATCCGCAGACAAATACCCAGTATTGCTGCTCAGATTCCCGGACGTCACTCTTATCTTACGTTCCTGGAGTGCTACTTGCAGTTTGGAGAGGTAACCCATCAGGATCTCATGGTCTCTGATTCTAATGTCCGCACATTTCTGAACGGTCTGCAGTTGCTCAAATATGGTTTTCTTGTCGCCCTCCAAAGACGATATCTTGCGGGTGTTTTGTCGTTGCGTCTGTTCTGACTGTCTGTGTTGTACCTGGGATGTTATCGTTCAGTAATGGGTGAGTGAGGTACATATACAGGTCTTGAAAATTGAAAGAAAATAGCCACAATTTTATACTGCTTGTGAATTTGGAAGCATTTGTTATTACTGTATTCTCATCCATAAACTGTATACCCGCAATACTGTTATAGTTTCATTAACCTTCTGATTAGACAGTTCCTTGATAGCCTCATCTAATGTTTCTGAACGCTCATTTAGTTGAGACAAAACATTTTCATAGTCCTCCTCCAATCTTTTGAGGTGCCCTCTCATGTTATGAGACTCCTCTCTGGATGAAGTTGCGATGATAATAATCAAAATACTCTTTCAAAATAATAAGTAATATTACGTGTTTGACAAAATTGTTTTTTGAAGAATATTCTCGTTTGTTGTTACAAACCATCAATTACCTCAAACATTCTTCTCTGGACATTACCGAAGCCAATTCTCTCATCACTCCTTCATGCTTTGAGAGAGGGACGGTATCGAACGCCTGAGTGAAGTGGTTTGTCATTCATCGTTGATCGTCATGTCTTGTCGCAAATATAGTAAGGTTATAAAAGTTTGAGCCACAAGTCACTGTACGGCTAGACAATTTCATAAGTTTTATTTGACAGCCTGTTAAAAACTAGATATAATAATAATATCGAATGAATTAAATTGAACTGAATTAAATTTATCATATCAATAATCATTAGTCATTATTGATAATTTGTTGAATTGCTCGTAATTCATCACTTAATTTACAGAAAAAATGTATTTCATCATTAATATTTATATCAACGTTAGTAATTCGATTTTTACTTAACTTGCATGGTTACACTTAGCGCTTACATTTTTTTACTCATTATTAAAATCCCGTTTGGCGTTCGCGCGTTCCGTGAAGTAATGCTTACCATGCTCTCTAGCTCCTGCACCTTGCGGCTGAGAATGTCGGTTTGTTCAACGGCTCCCTTCAATCCAGTCGCCTCTTTTTGCCAGTGGTTCACTTTTGCGATAAGGGACCTCCGTTCAATTTCAACAGAGTGCAGTCTTTGAGTGAGGTTTAACACAAATGTCCGCACGTTTCCAACCGGCTGAAACATGATATGCCCTTATATGGTAAATAATTAGAGCTTTTGGGGAGGATAAACGATTTGAGGCCTAATCGATCGAGGTGATTTGTAACACGCGTGTATTCATCTGTCGGTGTTAAATGTGTGTAAAGTCGCGGAATGTACACAAGTTCCGGAGTGCTTGCCTAATTATGAGTTGCAGCACAAATTAGGCTCGATGGAATAAGCATGCTACAAGTTTACATCAGAAGATAAATGTAATACAATTATGGCTCGCAAGAGAAGAAAACCATCTAACATTTCACCTACATTCGGTAAGTTGTATGCGTGTGCCACGTCTCTCTGTCCTAGGGCTATTTTGTGGAGAAGACTTCCTGAATACATTTCGGCACACAACCTGAGGATATTTTTAGTCGTAAAACTTTACTAATATAAATGGGGCACAGTTCGCGTAACACCGCTAGTTTGCAGGACTCGTAAATTTAGAAAAGTTTATTAAAATGAACACTTAATTATTTTGAATCTAAGAATAATAAGTGAACTAACGTAGAAGTGTTGTTGTAAATAGCAGAAACTAATTTATCAGCTGTGTTCGCTAACGGTCGCCTTCTCCAATGTCGCACTGAACTAGTCACCAGCTTATCCAGACCTTCACTTTCCAGCCATCTGAGAGATTAACTTATCATAAAGCTACAATGGGCGTGGTCTAAAATATTCGAATTTTCAAATTTTGACGACGGAATCCTCGAACCAGTAAGTACAGTATGCCATCTGCAAAGCAACAGCTCTCAAATATAAAACACGGCGGAGCTATTAAGGCCAACGTATGGGTACTGACTTTTGGCCCACCCTGTATAATAGCAATCCAGGATATGTTGTTTAGTTTACAGCCAAAATGTGGAACGTATTTGATAATCTGGACGCTAAAATTCATAATAAAGCAAGGATTGCTTTATACAACAACAACAATAACCACGACAATATTTATTATTTAAACTGCGCTCACGTGATAGGGTTGTTCCCCTCGGGTACTCCAAGCACATAGTTCTGTTTAAACTCTCTCCCCAACACTTTCAGTCTGTTTGCTGCTAGCACTGCTATAACCCCTTTTCTGTGAGTGACGTTTTATTATTTCTTACTTCTACTTAAATTTATAATAAATTACAAATTATTAGTTGGTTATTGTTTTCATAACCAAAATATTCATTGTACATATTTATAAGAACATGGTCAAAATTCCAAAATCTAAACAGGTACAAAAAACAGATGAGTTTATCTCCGCAGGCAGGGTACCTGAATTTGAATATGGGATGTTGAGTAGTTTCCTGGTCAGACAAAGCGTTTGAGAGTGACACTAGCTCCTCAGACTGGACTTCAGCTATTATCGACTGAAATGTGGGGCGGTGGTTAAATTTTAGGAGTTTGTTAGTTTATTGGGTGTTACTGATAGGTTTTCTTGTCGTTTGATTCGCAGGTCTATCGAATCCGACTGATTTTTACTAAAAATTTGGAATGTGACAATTCAAGATTGCTACATTGAAAAATGTTAGGAAGAATAATAACGATTTTAACTTCGGAGGCATGAAAATAATAATCATAAAATTTAAACACTGCTTGATTGAAATACATATAACTAAAATCATGCTAATAAAATAATACCCTCGCTTTTGTTTGTTTGGAACACCCTGTGTGTTCCAATGATTAAACACTAATGATTCAACACTAACTCTAACTTAATTCTGACAAATGAAACAATACAGTCATTACAAAATGTCACCTAACTTAATTATGATATTTACTGTTTCAATAATTTTCGGGGGAATAAATCATAAAAATAATAACATAATACATATTACATACTAATTTAAAAACCTTTCTTCGCATGAAAATTATTAATTTACCTTATGTTGCCTATTTACAGCAAATCACCAGCAAATACAGTATAAAACTAATAAGCAATTGTAAATAGACCAACTTATCGAACACGATTGCACTAATCGGTCTAAAACCACTGTATACCAAAATGTACCTTAATCATTAATTGTTAATTAATGTTAATAAGATAATTGTAACTATTTTTTCCTAAAAATATCATTCCCTAGATCATAGTTGGGGAACGAGACTATGCTTCAGATTGAGAATTGGAAACACTTGGGAGAAGAGCGATCTACTTCTTCAGCTTCTTCCTCTTTTTCAAACTTCCTCAGCTTTTTCCTTTTTTTCCCTCGCTTTTTCCTTTTTTTCAGCTCTTTCCTTTTCAATCCAAACCTCTGGGGCCCACTCTGGCCAAGTTTTCTCCTGTTTTTCCAGGAGACAGCAGTAAGTGAACGAATATATCACTACGGCAATAAACATGATGACCTCAGTGATAGCAGATATGATGTAGAGGTTAAACCCTGGGTCATCTTTCCCCCACAGACTCTTGCTTTTACACGGATAATAATCTGGGTAATCTCCTCCATTCAGCCAGTCGTTGACAGATTTTCCGGGACATTTCTTTTCTGTAATATTTCCGTTTTTTTCAAGTTCCTCTAATTTCGCATCTTTTCCGGCACTCCATTCATCTTGAGCCATAAAGTTTGTCGTAACACAAACAATTCCCGAGACGGAAATGACAAAGAAAATTAGTATTTGAAACCACCTGGCAATGCAAATGTGTTTTCTTTTATCAGCTGATGTTTTGGGGCACCATAAAAAACTTTGATCGTATAGGAACATCGCAAGAAAACCCAAGCCGATAAAAACTAGGCCGATTAGATGCCAAGGTTTGTTGAAAGACTGTTGGAAACAGCCCGTGATAACCAAACCCAGGAACAAAGATGATGATCCGAACCAATAAATACAGGGATACTTAGCAACGATGTGGCATATTTTTATGGGGCATGGTTGAGCATTTTCTGCTTCATTATGACTTAAGGCGGATTGTGTTTCCGAGATAAAAGTATCCGTTTCATCACCCACTCCATTACCCACTTCAATACCTGCTTTATTATCCATATCAATACCTGTTTCATTATCCACATTATCACCTGCCCCATATTTGATCTGCTTCATTCTCTGTCGAAGTATTTCTCCAGCTAACACATACATCAGACTACCGATGAGAACCAGTCCAACACTAAAGAAGCTCAGTCCTTCTTGCCAGTTTCCCAAAGCGCTCAGGTGGAAAATCTTTTCCTTTTTGTAGTGCTCTGGAGATCTATGCCGAGCCAAGAGGATAGCAGCGACAAAAACACACAATATCAGTAAAGGGATGAAATGATATCGGTAACGTAGAAACTTGCATATTCCCATCTTGTACCTTAACATGGTTAGGTATGTAATTAATATTCATAAATGTACGATAATAAGCATAATATCTAATCAGTCAAAAACAAAAGTTTTTTTCAGTAAAAAGACCTCACTGTACTGCTTTACTGGAAGTAGTAAGTATTATATAACATTAATGGTGGAAAGAATAATAATGTTAAGGACAAGCCTGGCCTTATTTCTGTGAGTGATCAGCACTCAGCAGTGAGATCTCACAGGGAGAAAATTAGGAACTGCAAACAAAAAGATAAACTATTTTGAGCAGCATCCTAAAATGTTAAGAGATAAACGGGAGAGTATAGACATAGGAAGTCAAATAAAGACAATTTAATTTGACAGAAAAAGCTTTGGATTTTGAAAGGATGTAACAGATGGGTGATGTTTCTAAGAACCGGAGATGGCCTCTTTCAAACTCCTAACCAGTTCTACATTTATTAATACATTCGATAAGCAGTTTTATGGCAATACCAGGTACCTACCCTCACCAGAGATAACGTTTAGCTTCAAGGTTTCAGAACTTAAATCTTACTATATATAAAGCGAGACGATATATATCCGTGCCATTTTACTGACACCACGGCATCAACTTTAACGTGACTTTCCGCAAAAACCGTAAAAGATATACAACTGAAACTTTTTTGGCTGGGTCAAATGCCTTAATGGCCTCCAATTCAGCATGAAAAAATAAAAAAATTGGCCAAGGAATAATGATTTTAGAGCCGAAAATTTGGACCCCCAAGTGGTGTCAAAAACGCCAATTAAATAGGTAATAATTATTTTAGTATCTTGAGTCTTGAGTCTCGACACCGTTTAGGGTTAGATTATACGGATTCATGCTAGTAATACTAATGCCAACAAGATGCATGCGACTGACTTTTTAACACCTCATCTTAAATACACAATTGTGACTTGTATATTAAAATACGTCATACACCCATGTCCCATTACCTAATACAACAGTTTAACATTTATCGTTATCATAAAGTAAGGACGGTGATCCAGAATGTTCAAGAAGGGGCTCCCTAACAAACTCAGCAAGTGGGAGACAAAGAAAATGAACCTCAACTGGCAACACCAAACAGAAATAACACCGAATCGGAGCTTCCTTTCATCTTAGTTAACGTGGTGATGTCATGACTGGCCCAAAAGCAAAACTGATAAGTTTAGCTGTTCTCATTTAATAACAACAGTTCAATAGCAGATCTTGGCATAATGGTTACCTACCAAATAAAGACAATTTAAAGACAATTTAATTTGACAGAAAAAGTTTTGGATTTTGAAAGGATGTAACAGATGTGTGATGTTTCTAAGAACCGGAGGCGGCCTGTTTCAAACCCCTAACCAGTTCTACAGCAATATTAATACCTTAGATAAGCAGTTTTATGGCGGTACCTACCCTCACCAGAGATAACGTTTAGCTTCAAGGTTTCAGAGCTTAAATCTTACTAATGCCAACAAGATGCATGCAACTGACTTTTTAACACCTCATCTTAAATACACAATTGTGACTTGTATATTAAAATACGTCATACACCCATGTCCCATTACCTAATACAACAGTTTAACATTTATCGTTATCATAAAGTAAGGACGGTGATCCAGAATGTTCAAGAAGGGGCTCCCTAACAAACTCAGCAAGTGGAGACAAAGAAAATGAACCTCAACTGGCAACACCAAACAGAAATAACACCGAATCGGAGCTTCCTTTCATCTTATTTAACGTGGTGATGTCATGACTGGCCCAAAAGCAAAACTGATAAGTTTAGCTGTTCTCATTTAATAACAACAGTTCAATAGCAGATCTTGGCATAATGGTTACCTACCAAATAAAGACAATTTAAAGACAATTTAATTTGACAGAAAAAGTTTTGGATTTTGAAAGGATGTAACAGATGTGTGATGTTTCTAAGAACCGGAGGCGGCCTGTTTCAAACCCCTAACCAGTTCTACAGCAATATTAATACCTTAGATAAGCAGTTTTATGGCGGTACCTACCCTCACCAGAGATAACGTTTAGCTTCAAGGTTTCAGAGCTTAAATCTTACTAATGCCAACAAGATGCATGCAACTGACTTTTTAACACCTCATCCTTTACACAATTGTGACTTTTATATTAAAATACGTTATACACCCATGTCCCATTTACCTAATACAACAGTTAAACATTTATCGTTATCATAAACTAAGGACGGTGATCCAGAATGTTCAAGAAGCTAAGAAGGGGCTCCCTAACAAACTCAGCAAGTGAGAGACAAAGAAAATGAACCTCAACTGGCAACACCAAACAGGAATAACACCGAATCGGAGCTTCCTTTCATCTTAGTTAACGTGGTGATGTCATGACTGGCCCAAAAGCAAAACTGATAAGTTTAGCTGTTCTCATTTAATAACAACAGTTCAATAGCAGATCTTGGCATAATGGTTAAATCATCGCGTCCTTGACGAAATTAGCACATTCATCTCACCGAGGATAAGATAATATGAGTATTACATTTCACATGATCTAAGCTTCTAACGCACTGAAATTTGAATGTGCTGTTACGCAGATACGTAGTGAGCTTTTTTATGAATCGGATTTATGGAGTATGAATGTTTCAATTTCATGATGAATTTTTTACATTTTTATCTGCAAAATTATTCGGATTTTTACGCGATTTTTAATTTTTATTGTTTACAGTTAGAGTTAGACACTAACAGCTTTAACATTTTAGTCCACGAAAGAAGAATTTTCGAGAAATTTAGTCTTAAAAATAAAATCTTCTGAAAGAGGTGCGACTAGAGGGGAAATTTGATATGGGGCTTATATTAGCTCAACCTACTGATCCACTGAAGTTGCAAAAAGGGGAGTGGTCCTACTTTAAGTTCAACACATCTTCGGTCTCACGTGATTACACAATTCGAAACCTTCAGTTGAGAAGATATGTACAGAAAGGATAGAAATCTTATATTTTCTGATAATTCAGGCTAGATTTAAGTAGGAAGTGTTAGTGGTAGATAATTTTGCACTCTTGTAAAAGCTTCTGGGACCTCCCCAGCCCAAAAATCACATTTTCTACCATAACTTTAAAATGTAGCATTT